CCCAATATCAAATCATAAAAATAATAAAAATAAAAAATAAAAAGTAAAAATAAAAAATAAAAATCTAACAAACCGAAATGGGACCACAGATATTTCTAAAGCAAGCACGCAAAAACTAGAGCACCACTGACTTTGCAACTTTTCTGCCAGTTTCGTATACTATACACAAATCAGTACGAAAGAATAAACTATTTCTCGAGTAGTGAGCTTGAGCTATGGACCTTAGTTCTAGATTAGGGACCTGAATTACTTTGAATTTTGGAACTTTGAAGTTAGTTGTTTGCACTCAACTGTAAAATGATCAGTTAGAGTTGCACCATTAATATCAAACAGCTCTCATTGAGCTGATTTGAATTTGATGGAAGGATAATTCCCACTTTGAAAATTGCCTCTCTTTCCAGTTTTAGATTGTGGAGCTAATTCAAGAGTGGCACTTTGATTATTGACATCTAATACAATTACACTTGGTAATGAAGTATTTCCTTTCTTTTTCATTTTTCCTTTGGAATGAATATGAAATACATGTGAACCAATCTTCAAATGGAATAAGACATGTGCATTTTTCTTAGTCGATTCACTTTCTAATTTAGGCATTTCAGAAACTAAATGTGATTTCAATGTTGTCGCATTATAAGTACCCACTTTCTCAAATGAAAGAGTAAATTTCCCAAGTTCTTTTGGGTTTTCAGTAATATTCATTGACCAGTATGTATCCAGAACCAATTCACATGGAGATGAAACCTTAATATAAAGTTTCTCACGGATCTTGGGATGATTGGTAGTAAAATCGTACATTATGTCATCTGAATTTGAAGGAGCTGATTCCTTTAGTTCTAGAGAACTTAATTCTAAATATGGTAAAGTACATTTCAGTTTCTTTGCATTATCACCAACGGAAGTGTTATTTTTTCTCTTTTTAGCATTGGATTCTTGGTTGACTTGTGTCATGCATTCATTCACATGTTGTAAAGGATGAATGTCAATACCTTGGTTTGGGATCAAATATTGAAATTGTGGAATATTCTCTCTACTTGTCAATGGTGGAGGTTTACTAACACCAATTCCCATACCAGACTCACGTATCAATGACTGTTGATCCACCTCTTCACTCACCATGGATTCATTCATTTCTTTCTTATCATTTAAAGAAGTTGACTTGGAAATGTCAACATTTTCTGTAGAAAGTTGTTCCTCTTCTGCTGAGGAGTTTGTACTTTCTGTAACAACACTCAAATCATCACCGAAAATGTAACGGAAAGCATCATCCATTTCAGAAGGAGAGAAAGTGTAAACATTTGGAGAAAGGTTAAACAATTCGAATAGATTGGCCTCTTCTTCTTCTTTTTGTTGTTGATTAGTTTCAACAGCAGTGTTGATGGTACTATTATTATCAGAGGTAGTAGAAAGAATCATTGTCAAGTATTATTAATTTGATGAGGATTATTAGAATCTTTTAAAGTGTGATGATGATCAGAGAAAATTGTTGTTTTTTTTTGATTTTCGTCACGTTCAAGAGAAACTGCTTGTTCTATTTATATTATTTTTTAGGTTCCTAACCTTCGTTTGATTGGTTTGATTGGTCAACCAACCTTACAAAGACAGAAATCATCACACGTTTAGCAGATTAATATTCACCATGACATCAAAGACCATCATTGGGAGTACTGCTTCCACCGTGTTACTAATTCAAATCCATTTCTCTCACCACTTTACAATTCTCCTCAGTAAGGAACACTCGTTTTGTGAAATTGAATAATTTTCCTTGAAAATCCTCCTCAAAAATCAGTAAGCAGTTCTTTGATTTTGCATTTCACACAAAATCCTCAAAAATCAAAATCTAAAAAAAACTAAAAAATTAAAAAAACTTTAAAAAAAAATGAAAAGAAATTTGCTGGATGAAATTCCAGATGAAATTCTAATCGAAATTTTCATCTACCTGACCGAATCATTGAAAACAATCATGATTACACTGCCGAGTGTTTGTGAGCGATTTTACAAGTTGATTGATCCTCCGAAAATTGAACACGATGATTTTGCAAAATCTTCCGATGATCAATTACTTTCCGATCAATTGAAGAAATTAAATATTCATCATGATAGGGATGAAGGAAATTTAATGAATGATGGATTGTATGAACATTTATTACGTTCCTATTCGTTGAATACAAATTTTGCTTCTTCACAAGTATTGAATCAATTTACCAGTTTTAGAATGGCCTTTATTCGTAGTGGAGTGATGGGATTATCTCTTCCATTGGAGAAATGTTTTAGAATGGAGATGTGTTATAAGGAGATGACCATCTTTGAGAAGGAGGATTGCTATCTCAGTTCAGTTGGACAGGATGTATCTAGTAGTAGTAGTACCAGTTGCACGATTGGAAGAACTGTGAGGATGAATCAAGATTACAAATCTTCAAATGCTGGAATGTGTATTGTGAATAATCCAATTCTTTATGATAGTGGAATTCACTTTTTCGAGTTTAGAGTTCACAAAAGTGGAACCTTTGATAATCTCTTGATGGGTTTGATATTGATAGATATATTATCGGAATGTAAAGTGGAAGATCCAATGAGTTTTGATCGTTTATCAGAGAGATTTGAAATCAAGACAAAATCATTGGACGTACCATTTTTGGATTATGTTGGATCAGGAAATTCTCTTGGAATTGGATATTATGATGAAGGACATCACGTTTATTTGAGGTTTGTTTTCTACTAGTATTAATAGAGTTGTAACATGATTATAGAAATACCTCAATCAAGACATATGATTTCGGTGTTGATCAAAATATTTTCACTTATCCATGTGATACTACTAATTGTGAATACGTTATTGGTGTTTATTTTGATTCAAAGAATATGCGATTGGCATTCTCTAGAGATGGAATTTTCATAAAACAACAATTGGACATTTCAGATCTCATTCACAATAGGTATGCAGAATATTTGAGTGGAAATTTGGCTTTCCACCCTGCCGTATCTATGGGACAATTAAACGATGCCATTACTTACGAAAGTAGAATTCCCTACGAAAAGATCCAACATTTGAGAAAGATTTCTACAGAGCTAAGCTTTGTACCCTATGCTAGTGAGGAACTTTTTTAAAAACAAAGAATTTACATAAATAGTTTTTTTCATTCAATGTTACATGTGGAACCAAACTTTCATAATTGCTAAAGTTTGTTGTCTAATCTTTGCAACTTGTTCATTACCATTTTCAACACACTTATAATTGATTTCTTGATTTTGAGCCCAACTTGGACAACCTCTCAAGTCAACACAATGTCCACAATTGTTGCATTCAATCAAGAAACTGAATTTCTTTGGATCAATATCAACACCAGCTCTAAGCCAAGGATCTTGGCTACCATTGACAAAGACAGTTCTTCCTGTAGTGGTATTCAACAATTGCTTGGCACCATATTGGTTATTGACAAAGTCAGTGTTTGGTTTAATTGGATATCCAAAGATCTTTTTGCACTTGTCATAGAAATAGTCCAAATCCAACCATCTACTTCTAATGGATGGCAAATTCTTTGGTGGGGCAGTATTGAAATAGGAGAGTTCAGAACAGGTTTGCAACCACCAAGATCTGCCACCATTAGCTCCTTGTGAAGGATCATAATTATCATTACCAATAGCTCCATTGTAATAATCCAATGGTGAGGTTTCGAATACCTTGTAGAAAAAATTAAGAGAATAATTGTGGAAATTTTGATAAATAACTTCATCCAAATTAGTGTTACCACTCTTCATGGCATTACACAATTCATAATGATATCCATATTGAACGCTTTCACCAGCAATATCACCAAAAAGAAGGAACAAATCTCTAATATCCATATCTGCTGGAGCTTGGAAATCTCTCAACAAATTGGTTGGATTCATCTTTTCCATAATAGAAGTAGCACGAGTCAAGAGAGCAGTACATTCAGGACCAGCAGCTTGTTGAACATGCATATCAAAAGTATAAAAGTCCAAAATAGAGTTGACAACACCAGATGATGACAAGGCACCCTTGACAAGATGTGGATATTTCATAGAGAAGAATGCACTCAATGCACCTGGATAACTACATCCAACAATAATAAATTGATGAGGAGTATTATTATCTGATGGCAATGTTGCAATATATTCAATAAAGACTGACAAGTCAGCCAATGCCATTTCTGTCTTTAAATAATTGGCCATATTAACAGTCTTCATTGATTTGTAAGGAACTATTCCAATTATTCATACAATTTCACACATTATTCCACATTAATTCATTCATCAAATTTCCAATATTATCCAATAAATTAATAAATATTCAACATTATAAATTAATATATCATCATCATCATCATTGAAAAACATACCTGATTTACCATAAAAACGATGTTCCAAAGTATAAATTGTAGCCTTCAATTCCATAGCATAATTTTTCACATAATTATTTGGTGTTCCTCCACAAGTAGCCTCAGGACAAATGTACAACAAGTGATTAGGTGATGATGCTGAAACTCCCTCCGGAACAAACTTGTAATAACGTTGTGGGAAAGTATCAGTGTTCAATGCATTAAAGTGATCGATACGTTGATGGAACCAAAATTCAGGTTCTCCAACTTGATAGACGTGCTTTGGTGAGCCAGCAAGTTTAATATTATTATTATTGGCTAATACTTGATTGTTGCTGCTGGTAAATAATGTCATCACCAAGATGAAAGCAAAGACGGAGATGAAACTCCTCGACTTGGAGTTTTGCATTTTTTTCTAATCTTTGATTATTGATGATTCTCTTATCTAAAGTGGAAGAAGTCAATAGCAGCGATATGAGTTTGTAATTTATGTATTTAAGCCTTTTTGAATTTAATATTATTATTATTTTCGGAGATGGATGAACAAGATATGAAGATAAACGCGTAGGAAAACCGTTACATTTTTAAAATGTTAATGGAAATTGTTAAAAGATGGATAGTTACTACATTTCCACATCAACATTTCTCTTCATAATAGAGTTTCGGAATTTCCAAGCACAAGATTAAAAAAAACCGAAATGACCCAAGCAGAAGAAAGAAAGGCTTTTTCTCAAGACAATAACAAGAGTACTCCTGAAAAGAATTGTTCTAACAACACTGATTGTAGTACAGGAACATCAGCATCTCCGAAAAGAAGAATTTTAATTCATGGTATTCCTGGCTTGTTTTCTGATTTTCTCTTGTTCGATCCGAGAGTAAGCAAATCATCTTCTCTCAATGGAGGCACACCACAAGAAGAGAAACATTACTTTAAACCTGCTCTTGGTGTGGTGGAGAATTCAAAGGAATTTAAAGTAATTTGTAATGTTCCTGGGTTGGAAAGGGAAAATTTAAAGATTAATATTGATGAGGAAGTTCGGGTATTGATAATAAGTGGAAAGGTTGAACAGGAGAACAGTGGGGACAAGATTCTTGTTAGAGAAAGAAATAGTGGATCATTCAAAAGGAGTATCTATCTCCCAAAACAAGCAAACCTTGAACAAGTTAAAGCTCAATTGGAGAATGGTGTTTTGAGAATTATCATTAACAAGAGTGAGGAAACAAAGAAGATTAGAACAATTCGATTGAGCAATTTGTAAATTATTATTCAGTATTGTTCTTCTCCTCAATTTACCAAACAGGTAGATGTCCTTTTCCTCCTTTCAGAAAACTGGAAATACTTTCAATGAACTTGGCAATATGTTCTAGCTCAGGATAAGCGATTTTAATACATTCCAGAAGTAACTCTCTTAAAAACTTTTGGAAATATCCACATTGCTATTTCTAGTATGATTTCTTCATCCTCTTTTTTATCGTCTGAGCCAATATCTAACTTGACTGTGTCAATCTGTGGCTTACATTTGAAGTTGTTCTGAATTAAATTGATTTGGTTATGCTCAGCTACTGTTTTTGGTGTGTTCACAAAGACGAAATGGTTTGAAATAAAATTTTGTAAATTTCAAACTCCAAATCATTGAAAATTACAAAAATGATATGCCTCAAAGATGATTGCTTATTCAGATGTGAATGAAGAAAGTTTTTGACTATTTTTAGAGCTAGTCTACAAGCTTCTTCGATTGGATAACCATAATATCCAGTACTAATGCAAGGAAATGCAATAGATTTCAGATTATTTTCCATAGCTAACTGTAAACATGAATTGTAACAGTTTGATAATAGTTCTGGTTGAGTATTTCCATTTTCATCCAAATATGGTCCAACTGTATGAATAATATATTGACATTTCTCACTCAAATTATGTGCTTGAGTAATGACAGCCTCTCCAGTGGCACATCTATATTCCAATTCATCATTTCCATAGGTAATGGAACCTTTCATTTTCAGACAAGATGGAGAATATTTAGTTTTACATTCCAATTTGAGCTCATCACCAGCTCTAGCATGAATAATTTGATCAATTCCACCTCCTCCCATCAAACTTTCATTAGCAGCATTCACAATAGTATCGATATATATTGGCAGATCGACAATACTCCCTTTAATTATTTGTAATTTAATTCCGTCCTGATGAGGATCAGAATTAATTTCCATCATAAACGATGAAGAATTTTCATCATTAATTTGCTGATCGGAATGTTGCTGATTGGCAATTTTTAACTTTTCTAATGATTGAACATTGAGTCTCTTTAGTGCATCGTCATGATCCATTCTCAACTCGTTGGAATGTTGTTTAGATTGTTCATCATTGTGTGTTGCTTCATTTTTTTGTAAAGTTTGTTTGAACTCAACCCAAAACAAAGCACTCATTATTATGGTGGAGTTTTGTATAGCCTTAGTATGTAGGGTACTGCAGTGATCGTCTTAATTCTTAACACCACAACAGGGTGGTTAGCTCAGCGGTAGAGCACCGGATTGCAAAGATATTTGCAGCAGACATCCGATGGTCACGTGTTCGATCCACGTACCACCCTTCCTTTTACCTTCTTTTGAGTTATAAGAAATTATTAATTTTTAATCCAAAATCAAATGGAAATTATAAAGTTTTCCCAATCCTTTTGACTCTTTATTAATTCACGACTAAATAAATCCATTAAATCTCTATCATCTTCCAACAGGCACTTTTTACGATCCTGTTGATATTTGAAATAGATGCTACCAACAGTACATGAGAACTTTTCACTCAAACGTGTTTTTAAATTGGAATAGCTTCTCAATTCAATATCAGATAGACAGATCATTTGCAAACTTTCTGGAGTATCTACCATACACTTATATTTAGGCTGTGAATGGATTGTTTGAGATTCATTCATTTCATCAAGGTTGACTGATGAATCTGACATGTTGTCTTCATTGGCTTCTTCAAAAAAATTTAAGATATCATTACCTGTTTGTGGAGAACGGAGTGGATTAGCACTTGATCCAATACTTGAGTTAGAGTTGTCACATGTTTGAATAGTTTTCTTCCACTTCACTTCAATGACATCATAAAATTCAACTTTAATACCAAGTTCGTATTCTTTTCCAGTCTTTGGCTTGAGAGAATCCAAGTTGATTTTTGTCAATTCTCCCTTTAAAAACTTCTCAAATTCGTCCTTCATTTCTAATGTTATTAAACGTTGGATCTTTTCATTAAAGCTTTTGATATATGGTTTCCCTTTACCAGTCATTTTTCTCAATTGCTTGATATGTTCGCACCCTGTTTCTCCACAAACACATGTTTTACAACGTGTGCCAGTTGGTGCGGTAGGTTGATCTGATTTTACCATTCTTTGTTATTGATGGAAAGGTTTCGCTTTGTTTTTTAAAATTGCTATGCTACAAGGTTGGATATTTATAAAGGTTGTGTCTGCCAAGAGACACAAAAATCCTTGTTTTCTCACCGAAGAACCAATCAAGAGATTAGTGTCTTTTGTAACAAACAACAATTTGAGTTCTATTTTAGAATTCTGAGACTGTCTTTGTAATATTGTAAACATTCATGAAATGCCACCTTTCTGATTAATCACCAAGCTAACCCAAATAATACCATTCTCACAGTTAATTTATCAATAAGAATTTAATGAAGATCATTCACTCTTTATCTTGAACGAGCTTTTTTTCAATACAAGTTAAAAGAACACTCAAAAGAAGAATTAACAATTTCTTATAACTCAAAAGAAGGTAAAAGGTAGGGTGGTACGTGGATCGAACACGTGACCATCGGATGTCTGCTGCAATTAACTTTGCAATCCGGTGCTCTACCGCTGAGCTAACCACCCTGATGAATGATTAAGGTTAAGGTAATTAATGTACCTAGAAGCTATTCCACATTGGCTGACATTTGGGATTTGTTTCGATTAGAACATTCAAAGAGATTTTCTCTGGCTTAATAATACAGTTTAATTTTGAAGGACAATATTTATTGTGAATGAATTCTTGTTGGATGATGTATCATGCTCTCAATATATTTAATGGAAGGAATTTTGATATTCTCTGATTTATCAACTTGTCTGAAAGGTGGCAAGATGATTAATTCTGGTTCATGCACAATGGCACTTTCCATCATGATTGGCTTTGCATTCACACAACTTGTATCTTGATTTGGAAATGTCAATTGACTATTATTGCTATTTTGGGAAGAACTCATGGAAGAACAACTTGATGAAGAATTGAATGATGTTTGGAATGGTGAAGATCTTTGTAAATTGGTTATTTGTTGTGGATTTCCTTCATTTACCTTAAAGTGAAATATGAAATTTTCCTTTTTTGGAGGTTGTAAAGTTTCAATTGGAGTTTTTGAAATTGTTAATTTAGGAGATCTATTAGATGGTGATGAAAATGAACTGCAACTTCCACTATCCATTACTGTAGATGTAGATTGACAAGTATTCAAAACAAATTGTTGAACATAGGGATGATTTCTGACAGGATTATTCTTAACTTTAACCTTTCCGAATGGACACAAATCTTTGGAATAGCTTTCATGGAATGTGAGTTGGCTCATTATTGATTCCTTCTTTTGATTAGTAATCGGAACTGTCTTTTGCAAGTTGACTTGAGTTTCCATTGGTTTCTTCTCCTTTCTTTGATTTGATTTAATTGATTTGCTCATCTTTTTTGGTTTATCAACTTTGTAATTTTTGAATTCTCCTCTAAAAATTGGTCTAGCTATAAAATTATTTCCTGGTTGACTAGATTTGTTGCTACTACTTGAAGGAGAAGATGAAATATTTGAATTGATCATGGTGATGGTTGAAGAAGAAGATGAAGAATTAGCTTTACTGTTGGACTTTTTCATTTCTAAAAACACGAAACGGTGGCTGTTTGTTCTCTTTTTTTAATTCAAAGTCTGTTTATATTTAAAACGAAAGTTTTTAATATTCGAAACGAAACGAATGAAGTTTGGATCAATTTAGAAAAAAGATGTTGAAACACACAAACCTAATTAGATCCATTTGGAATGATAGATAATTTCAGGGGGTCCCAATAAGAAAGAAGTATAAAAAAGTACCTCGTTAGAACGTTCAATTCGAGAGGAGTTTCGTCTTTTTCCTTTCTTCCTTACTTTAAAAGTTTCGGTTCATAATTCTGGAATTTTACAATAAATGTCTAAATGAACAGAGATGGAAACCCTTTCGAATAGGAAATGCACTTTTTTATTAAATGAAAAAACGTGTAAAATTGCAGGTTTTTAAGAGTAATTACCTTCTTACATCAATACCATTTCTAATAAAAGAGACGAAAGAAGGAAATAAATAGTATGGCTTTATCCTTAAGCAGATCAAGTAATCGTTCAGAAAATGAACGTTTGATATTTGAATTCAATTCTGGAAGTTTACATTCAAGAAGTACAGTTCAATTAGGTTGAACGAAACTTTAAATTTCTTTAAGGGAGAGTTACAAGAGTTCCATCTCATTTACCTTATTCGAAACTTTTTAATAGAACCAAAAGTTTATCATTAATTTGTAAATCAATTTGAAAAATGTTGTAACTGGTTCAATGAGAAACGAAACTATTCCAATGGAAACCTATCACTAACAATGCGATAATAGTCAAGAGTTTCATGGAAATTCAATCGTTGTAATCAGAAAATAGAATATTTAAAGTTGAAAAATATGTCACAAAATCATCGCCACCAAATCCATCCACATTCTCTCAAGCAAATTACGAATCAATTACCGAAACCACTTGACAAGAAGCAAATCACCTCTCATCAAAACTTTATTTCCAAACAACGTGAAAATACGAAGGAAATTATTCGAAACTTGGGCAATTCTTCCGATCATGATCAACATGATGATTTTCAGAAAGTTGATAATGCTAATCAAATAACAATAACTTGCGAATGGTTTGATCAAGATTTAATATTGGCAAATATTTTCCTCTATTTAAGACCGATGGAAGTTTTTCATCCGAATTATTGTAACAGTTGTGCTTGTTTGATGATGGTTTGTAAGGGTTGGTATCGGTTTATATCTGGTACAGAATTTGCCAAGTTTTATTTCGAACATTCGTTTTGTGTTTCTACTCCTTTCATCAATGATGTAAATGGTCATGAATTTGAAGAGCTTGACTCGATGAAATTTAATTTTTCACAAACTATTGAAAATGATGTTGAGCAATGGAAAAAAGGTATTGAGGAGGTTAAACCTTTAGAGGCACTAAGTTGTGTGAAATGTTTTGAAAATGAAATTAGAATCAAAACTAATCTGCTCTGGAAGAATAATTTTCATCGAAAGTTTCTGATACTTACTGCACTAATGGAAAGGAGAACCCATTTCCCACACACCAATTCATCTGATACAGTACCACTTTTTGAAATTATTGAAAAATTATTGGAACCTTTAACTCGATCACAAATTGAAAAATTGAATTCCATTTTGAAAAAATTGAAATTTTCCAAATTATTAACCAATTCCATCAAAATTAACTCGGGAAGAATTGTAATCTTCCATGATTCTGGTTTACCTTACATTCTCTCATCTATTCACACAATAGTTTGTCTGGGAAGCACATTTCTATTCAATGTCATTGATAATTCCTTCAGCACCTCAAGCAGAGTTTCCATCTTCCTTCCTCCATGTAGTACCTCTGCAGAGAGGAAAACATTTGAAGAGGTTCTGTGTGGACTCTTGCCCTCAATCTTGCTATTCTTTAAGAAGCGTACAGTGAAAAGAGTTCCCTCTCCATACATGTTGTTCTCTCAACAGAAAAGAATGGAGGTGGTGTCAGAAAATCCAAATATTTCATTATCAAACCAAGCAACGATCGTTGCAAATTGTTGGAACAGGATGAGTAATGATGAGAAACAGGTATTTTTTGATAGGTCAAACAAAATGCAAGAGGAATATCAGAATAAGATTGATAAGATTCAGTACATTATTTCAGGTTTAGAATAAAATATTAGTAATCAAAAGTTGATCACTAAATACATTCCGTTAAATAGACAACATAATAATTTGGAAATAAATTTTTTGGTAAGACGAACATTCGAATAGTATTGCACTGAGCTTTATTAAGGTATCTTTAGAGTCAAAGATTTCCTTAATTGAATTGTTTCTGTTACCTATTGAAACATTACCGAGTTCCTTGACAATCACCTTTTTGGTATTTTCAGTGATCAAATGATGGTAATTGTGAAACTGTTGTCGAGGGGGTTTGGGTGGATGTTCTATTGTAATGTTGGTGCTCTGAATCTTGGTGTTGTCTGGATGGATTGCAACAACAGGACTGTTGCTGTTTGGTTAGATTGGTAAGAGATTCTTCATTTTACAAGTGACTAGCTACAGAATTGAGGAGTAAATATCCTCAAAAAAGGAAGAAGATAATCCACTGCAATAGATTCCATTGTTTAATCGTGGAGAAATTAACGAAACAACAACTATTTTTTTTCTAACAACACCATTATCTCAAAACCTGACAATGATTCGATGGATTTTAATCGGTCATGACAAGGTCATGAGATGATGAAAAAATGATAGGTTTTGAGGTGAACAACTTGTGTCTTGGTTTCTTTTCCAAAAACTACAAAATGAACTTTCTTCACAAAACTTGATAAAAATTGTTCAATATGAGGACGCCAAGATCCTCCCACACAAACAGTAAGGCAATTTTTTCCTTCCTTATTGTCATATCCCTCGTCGCCGTCATGGTGATGGATTTTTGTATTGCAGATGATATAGCTAATGTAAAATATAAACTAACAACAATTTGTAATGCTCCAAGATATGTTAGCACACCCAGAGGATTGTTCTATTATTCGGGTTCTTTGTATTTTGCTGAGGAACAAGGACATGTTATTAGTAAATGTAATTTGGCAAAGAATGAAGTGGAGATTGGTATGTGTTTGATTTAGACAGGAACTCTTAATTTAAATAATTGCTTGATGGTGCTGATGGTTGTTAGTGGTTGGAAGTTATAGGGAGTCTGGATTCAGAGATGGAAATGAAGCATTGTTCGACAGTCCGAGTGATGTCTGGGTAGCTAAGGGAGGAGTTTATTACATTGCAGACACCAAGAATAATAGAATTAGAAAGTACACAAGTGGGGTTGTTTCAACTCTTGCTGGCAATGGAATGGACACAAGCAGTCCTGATAATACTTTACCAACTCAATTGAGTAGCCCAAAGAAATTGGCAATGGTTGGCAGTAATTTGTACTACTCTGAATGGCAAAATATTAGAAATATGCAAAATTTAAATGCAGCCAAAATTGTGACCATTGTTGGGACCTTAATGAATGTTTCTGCAACGTTTTATGTTACTGATCCTTCCTATAATTTTGCAATGCAAGTTAGAGAACCTAGGGGTTTATATTTCTATTCTGACACAAAGTATTTGATTGCTGATACGGGTAATAATCGTATTGTTCAAATTGAAGATGGTGTTGCAAGTGTTTTAGTTGATGCTTCTCAAGTTAACTCACCATCCAATGTTTTATATTATGGATCCTTCATTTATTTCACAGATAGTGGAAATCATTGTATTAGAAGGATTGACGTTAATGGAACTATTTCAACAATTGCTGGACGCTGTGGTGCAAATTCAAATTTTGAATTTAATGGAGATCAATCAGATGCCACTGTGGCTACGCTTGGTGAGCCATATGGGCTAACTGTTGGTGAAAATGGTAAATTATACTTTACCGATTCAGAACACTACTTGATACGAGTTCTTGAACCATACTGTGATTATGAGAATGGTTTCTTTCTATTTGGAAATATTTGCAAATCAATTGGTAAACCGGTTTGCTATGAAAAAAGTGCAGAAGACACCAGTGTTTGTTCAGGAAAAGGAGATTGCACTTCTTACAACACCTGTAAATGTAATCAAGGTTATGCTGGAAACATGTGTCAATATAATTATACTTGTGGTGGATTGATTCCAGTGGATGCAAATGTTTGCTCTGGCCATGGTTCCTGCCTCTCTCAAGATAAGTGTTCATGTACTGTTGGTTATGTTGGCATATTTTGCAATTATACATTCACTTGTAAAGGCCTAGCTCCAGATGATCCAACAGTTTGTAGTGGTGGTGGTAAATGTCTAGGAAACAACATCTGTTCCTGCAGAAATTCTAGCACCAGTGGCCAATATTGTGATACTGTTATTGGTGAAAGTACATCAAATCAAATGACTGCTATCATTGGTGGGGTGATTGGAGGTTTTAGTCTTTTGACCATTATCATTATTTGTTTTGTTCCTGTCGCGTATATTGGAAATTCAATGTACAGAAAGAGGTTTGCCAAGTATCAGGAAGAAAGAAAAGAAAAGAATGAGGAAGAAAAACGAAGAGAAAAAATAAGAAAAGATGTGGAGTTTGAATATAAAGAAAGAAGAAAGAGGGATGAAGAAGAAAGAAAGATTAAGGATGAAGTCAGATTAAGGGAGGAGAAGGCAAGGAAGCAGGAAGAAATGGAACGAAAGGCGAAAGAAGAAGCAAGATTAAAGGAAGAACAGGTAAAGATTAAGGAGGAACAATCTAAGAAAGAGCAAGCTATCAAGTTGAATCAAAATCAAGAGCTAATCACTGTCACTTTTACAAGTAACGGTTCTGAAAATACTATGAATCAAGGCCAATTATCAACATTTTCATCAATGCCTTCATATACCAATTACCTTAGTAATGAAAAGAGCGGGTCAACACAAACCAGTAGTAATAATGGATCTTCTATGCAAAATACAGAGCTTTCGTATACTGCATTTTTGAATCAGAATCAAGACAATTCATTCATGCCTCCTCCAACGATTGTATCAAGTAAGGGTAGCGAACAATCTAGTAAGAACGATGACAATACCTTCTCCTCAAAGGATCACACTTACAAGATTATAAAGGAATTGGGAAGAGGTGGATTTGGTATATGTTATTTGTGCGCTGATGTCAATACGAATGATTTGATTGCTGTAAAGGCAATTTCAGCCACACAAGACAATTTCATGGCAATTTGCAGTGAATTCTCCAAATGTCTGTCCTTCCAACATCCAAATCTTGTAAGATCCTATGAATATTTACAAGCCAGTGAGCAAAAAGTCATTTGTCTTGCAATGAAATATTACAAATGTGGAGATTTGGATCATTTGTTTAAACATGGAAAACCTCCTTCTGATCAATTACTAATTTCAATCATTAATCAAGTGGGTGAAGGTCTTGATTATTTACATAGAAATCAAAAAGTCATTCATCGTGACATCAAGGCAAATAATATCATGGTTGATGAATTTGATGAAGAAAGCTCAAAGATTTCAGTTGCCATTGGAGATTTTGGTGTTTCAAAACAAGCAGCTACAGCTCACACTTTCACAGGAACGCTTTATTATGTTTCACCTGAATTATATTTGGGAAAGCAAACTTCTTATCCAACAGATATATTTTCATTTGGTGTGACTTTATATTTAATTATTTGTGACAAGTTTAAGTGTTTGAATCAAGCATCAATTACACAACAATTGCTTGGAGAAGGTGAAGAAAAGGTGTTTGATAGAATTAGAAAGGAATTGAAAGACACAGGTATCAGAGAGGACATCATTGATATTATCATGAGAATGTTATCAAAAGAACCAGAAGATCGACCACTTGCTGAGGAATTAGCCAATTTCTTTAAGAATTTCATTTGTTAAAGTGTTGATTTGATTATAGCAACTTGTGAATTCTTGCTTGATATGCGAATACCACCATAAATTTTTTAAACGTTGTTGGCACAAGTTAAATTCCTTGTGGATCATCAGTTATTGCCCAAGATTACAACAATACTAAATTTACCTCTAATTGTGATACATCCTTGACTTTCATTTGAGGAAGAATATTGACAAGAGTCGTCAATGTCTCAATTTGAACATGTACATCAAAGCTAAATACTAATTCAATTATTCAAAGTTTGCTATTTGGACTAGTTTTAGAAATTTTCGAATTCAAATAATTCCCAATTAAGGAATGTTATGGATCGGTGGCCTATTACCTAATAAATACACGACAATAGAGTTCCGTTATTCAATGCACTTTAATAGAATTTTATCAAAAGAGGTCAATTCACTAGAAATGCTTCATCTAATGATAGAAAGTCCCCAATTCGAAACCAATTTATTTTCTCTTGATTTTTAAATAGAAAAAAGAACCCCAATAACATTGATAATATTTTACAATCAATATTTTGAAACACAATACTTGCTCAACCCGTCAAGTATTGTCTCATCTCTCATTGATTCTCTTCTATTCGAAACTACAACAATATCCGAAGCCGTAGAACTCATTCGATATCCCTCAAAAATCTACGTTGTATCATAACTGACTCGTAAAATACCTTCCTCACAAACCATCATACACTTAGCAGAAAGAAACCGAAACCAGTTTTACCTTTTTGTTGTACAACTCAAGAACATTCGTACAACACACATCAAACTAAACCAAATTGACGTGCATCAAATTTTCCATTTGATTCCCGTACAGAATAACCAGCGAGAGAGATTTCAAACATTAAAAAAAAAGAGTTTCGTCAAACCTCAACAAACTCTCTAAGCAGAAGAAACATTTCGGCAATTAATTATCATACACAATTGAAAACCATTAATATATAGTGGAAAATGAGTCAAGATTTTGATAAAACTTCGCCTTCATCATCATATAATTATCAGAGAAGATCGAGTGGTGCTTCCTCTTCTCAAGATTTGGACTATGCCAAACTTTCCTATCGTGATTCCTTCTCATTGAAATATGGATTGAGAAGTTTGATTAGTTTTGCAGAGGGATGTAGCTCCTCAAATGATTATCACAATTATTCTCAACAACTTCCCTGCTCAACCACAACATTGGAACAATTGCCTGATAGAATATTTATCAGTGGTTCTACAAGTAGATATAGTGTTCCTTCAATGAATTGTACTGGTTGGATTTCTCCTAAGGATTTAGTAGAACATGTCAAGACAGATATTGAATCAAAGAGACCAAAGCCAGTGGCAACTTCCCCTTCCAATTCTTCAAATAGTTCAATTCCATTCTCAGATGCAGCTCAAATGAATAATTGCAAATCGAATAATACACTCTTTCCATGTGATCCTAAGGAACTCATTTCAATTGACTGTGGTTACAATGTCACATTTTACTTGACCAAGACTGGACTTTATGCAACTGGTTCCAATTCTGTGGGTGAATTAGGTGTTGGTCATTCCAATGAAGTAAGAGATCATGTGGAGGCGGTTGCCTTACCAAAACTTCCTCTTACTCCAAGCTACTTTGTCAAGAAATTGGTCAGTGGAGAAGGCCACACTGTTGTGTTAATGTCCACTGGTGAAATTGTAGTGTTTGGTAAGAATGGAGATGGTCAACTTGGTATTGAAAAGAGTGTTGGAGAACCAGTGCCAAAACTCATTCCTTCCTCGACATTTGGAGGTGAGAAAATTAAGGAAATTGCCTGTGGATATTATCATACACTTGTCTTGACAGAGACTGGTATAGTCTATGCCTGTGGAAGAAATGTACAAAATCAAATAGGATGTGTGCCTAATCATGTCAATGTTTCAAGTGGATTCAGACCTGTCACTGTTCTGAAAGAAGGTGGATTGAGTAATGATGGTGGAAAAGGACTCAAGATTGTTAAAATTGTTGCAGGAAGTCATCATTCACTCTTTTTAACTGAAGATGGAATTGTGTATGCTGCTGGTGACAATCAATTCAATGCCATTGGTAAAAAGTATCCAGTTTTTGCTCCACTCGAACCATTCTACAGTAATAATCAGAGAACATCCACTGAATCCTTGAAAGATTCAAAGCAGATTGTGCCACACAAGTATATCACCAATGTATGGTGTGGAAGTTTATCAACCTTCATTCAAACAAGAGATGATAAGGTCTATGTTTGTGGAACTGCCAATGATAGAGCTCTCTTCTTAGATGAACAATATGTGAATGGAAATGCAAACTATGTCACTGAGGGATTCATTCAATGTGATTTCCTTAGTGGAAAATCAATCAAGGAAATTGTTGGTTTCTACTCAATGATTGCTGTTTCTGAATCTAGAGATGTCTACGTGTGTGGAAATAATTCTTGCAAACAGTTAACTACCAAAGATCAGCCAGTATACAATATCAAACCACAACATGAAACGTTCCTATCTGCAAAATTGAAGCAATATCCACAACTAGATTATTGTGTTTCGGCAGGATTTAGAACATGTAGTATCTATCTCTTTTCGAAGGAAAAGAGAAGTAGAAATCAGAATGAAATGTTCTGCCACCTCTACCAAGCACTCTATGATCAAGATGAAAGCAATAAGAATTACTTTTCCGATATTTCCTTTGTTACTAGAGAAGTTGATGAAGATGAAGATGTTGTCATGTATGATTTGTAATCTAACAAGATTAACAATTCACTTCTATCACTTCACTACGATTAGTAGTTCCCTTCTTCATGAATAATTATTTAAATTTCCACTTTAGTAATATCATGTATTCATATCAATTTTGACCTGCGACTTTAAAACACACACATAGAGATGCTCCACAACCTTTCAATAATTGTAAATAAAATAGTAATAATAATATATTCTTTAAAAAACTAGAAACCAAGTGATTGATAATTGCTGCTTCTTTCATCAAAAAACACAAATAGTAAAAATTGCTAAATCGGGTGATGAAAAACTTTGGATTTTTATTACTTGGCAAAATATTTTTACAGATAAAAATTTCGTAACGACTGGCAAATTTACGACTTGGCGCCACGATATTTTACATTTCCAATACGAAAAAAATAACGGCACATTAAGGCCATCTCTCCGTGTACTACTTGTGTGCTGCTGAAACGAGATTTTGATTCAAGACCATAATAATAACAACAACGAATACTTGGAGAGAATCGTTTTGTAGCATAATTCTTGATTGGTATCAACGATTCATTTTTGATATTATCAGTGTTTGGATTTCCCTTCCAAAATTAAAAAAAAAATTTAATATTAGCTAGCGACAGAAACAACAATATGGATCTCAGAGTAGGTGGAAAGTGGAAATTAGGACGTAAGGTTGGAAGTGGTAGTTTTGGAGAAATTTACCAAGGTTTGTTTGCAAGCATTTCATCATCATGACCAATTTAATGTATTACTTTGTGATGATGATTATTTTGCTGCATTTATTCATCAAATCGATTTTATGTTACTACAACAACAACAACTTTTTATCATCAATACAAACAACAGGAACAAATATTCAGACCGGAGAAAAGGTTGCTATCAAATTAGAGTCTGTCAAGACTCGCCATCAACAACTTTTATATGAATCTAGGTTATACAAATTATTAAACCTCGGAGGACCTGCAATTGGTGTTCCTTCCGTTAAATGGTATGGTGTTGAAGGTGACTATAACGTGATGGTTATTGATCTTCTTGGTCCAAGCATGGAAGACTTATTCAATTTTTGTGGAAGAAAATTTTCACTTAAAACAGTTCTCATGTTAGCTGATCAGATGATTTCACGAGTAGAATTCCTTCACTCTAAGAATTTTATTCACAGAGATAGTAAGTTTTATTTTGTTTTTTATTTGAAATCTAACTAGGTCAGTTAAACCGGATAACTTCTTGATGGGAACAGGCAAAAAAGGTCACCACGTCTACATAATCGGTAAGTGGTTTTTTCGTTCAACATTGTTGATCTAATCGAACTTGTTAGATTTTGGATTGGCCAAAAAATACAGAGACAGTAAAACTCATGCACATATTGTGTTCAAAGACAATAAGAGCTTAACAGGCACAGCCCGTTATGCATCAGTCAATGCTCACCTTGGTATTGAGCAGTCGAGAAGAGATGATTTGGAAAGTTTAGGATACGTTTTCATGTATTTCCTTAGAGGAAGCTTACCTTGGCAAGGATTAAAAGCCCAGTCAAAGCAACAAAAGTACGATTTAATTAGTGAAAAGAAGATGTCAACAACTGTTGAAGCTCTTTGTAAGGGCTATTCATCAGAATTTGCTACATATCTCAAATATGTAAGGTCGCTCCGATTTGAAGATAAACCAGACTATGCCTATCTCCGTAAACTTTTCCGTGACTTGTTTACACGAGAAGGATATCAAATGGATTATGTTTTCGATTGGACAATTAAGAGAATTGTAAGTTTTATCAATGGATTAGAAGAAATATTAATATTACTCCTTTCATTCCTATATGAATTATTTAATGTATTGGATAATTACAGAATAATATGAAACCTGAAATGCCAATAAGTACTAATGCTCAAACTTGGCTTGAAGAGCAACAACAACAGCAAATTGAAAATCAAAAAGCTGTACTAACACAACAAGGATCTAGTAATGTACTCCTTTATCAAACCAATCAATCCTATCAAGACACACCAAGTAGTTCTAACTATCATTCCAACTCTCACAATAATATTGAAGTAAGCAATCAAAGAGAAAGAGAAAGGGAAAGAGTAATTGTTTCAAACTCATACACGAAACCGTCTCAACACACTGAAAATGTTCAAACAAGCTCTGGAGCAATTAGGTCCAGAAATGTTGCCTATGCTCCAGCTGTTTCTAGAGGTTATCTTTCTGGAGGGAGAAATATGGGTGCATCTCCAGCTTATAATTCTGGATACACTTCTGGTTACACTTCTGGTCTCACCTCACCTATACAATATACTTCAACAGGAGGTGTGAGGACGAGCTCACATCTGCCAACAGCAACCAAGTACTCGACCCAACCAAAGAGAAAATGATTGTACAATTCAAGTTTAATAAACTAATGCTAACTGTCTATAAATCATAGAGTGGAATTCCATCTTTCAATTCCTCATTGTATCGTTTTTCAGCTCTTTCTTTTGCATCTTTGGCAAACTGTATTATGGAATCGTAAGAGACAACACATGAACTTAGCTCACTAACATCATAGTCCTCATCTTCGTCACTACTATTATCTTCATTGATTTTCTCAACAACAATTGCATTATCTGTTTTCACCTTTTTAGATTTGTTAAAGACAATCTTGTCAACTTTTTCAACTCGATCTCGTGCTACATTTGCAAAATTTGAAAATCTAATTCTCTTCTTAATCTCGTATTTTGGTTTGGTATCTTCCTCTTTAACTTCTTGATGGAGCAGTGATTCTTCATATGCTTTCATTTTTTCATCATGTTCCTTTTTTATCAATTTAGCATCCAAATTACTCTTACTAGATTTGAATAATCTAACCTTTTCAGTTGTTGATGGCCATGATGAAATATCCTCCTTTGAAAAATCTTCCTCCATACTATATTTCAATGTCTTGTTTGATACTACATAAACAGCATTATATCTTTCAATTTGCTTGGCAATTAAGGCCTCTGCTTTCTTTTCCAATTCCAAATCCTTTCTCTTGAATGATTTAACTGGTTCCCTCCTCTTAGAGATTACATATTGTTGTTTACGTCCCAGAACATAATCTTTCGACACCAACTTTTCCTGTGGCATCAAATAACTAGTGACTGTATTATTTAAAAATCTATTATTCTTTAAATCTTCCTTTTCCAATCGGAATCCATCCTCTTTGGCATAATATATCGTCCACTTTTCACACTTTTGTTTAGATAATTGTTTATGTTCATCGTTATTCAGTATGATTTTACTATTAGGTTGTGTTGTTATTGGTGCCGGATTTGATGATGAAGTTTTTACTTGTTGTTGACCAGCAGCATTGATTTTAATAGTAGTGGTACTATTACTCTTGTTATTTGCTTCAGATGTTGTTGCAGAGGGAAGACTTATTTGTTCGCTCATTTTTTTGAATTAAAAAATTATTTAAAATAAATTTTCTTAAAACAACTCACAAAACAATTAGCTGACTTGACAGCTATTTCATGGTATATTGCATACTCAGTAGACAGGGAATAAAGTTTATTGATTATTTTTTTTAATTTTCTTCAAAAGGGTGACAAGGTCTCTAAAGAACAATTTCTTTTCTTTCTCATTACGACTGAGTCTTCTCTTTGGATGTCTTCTGTGTCTTTTATGATGATGGTCGTGATGTGGTCTATCTTGATTAACATTGATAAGATTGGAAATGTTGACTCTAGATCCAGATGCCTTCTTTTCTTGATGTTTCTTTACTGGCTTCTTCGACTTGTTCTTCTTTTCTTGAGGTTTTGGTTTGGTGACTGGTTTTGGTTGAGGTTTAGCTAAACCAACTTGATTAGAAGTGGATGGAGTGATGGATGTATTTGAAGTTGATTGAGTACTGAGCTTTGGTACAGGTTTGGCAACTGATTTTTGAGATTCTCCATTTAATAATTTGAGAGTTTCTGCAATAGTTCTTGATTTAGGAGGTTGTTGTTGGGCGACAGGAGGTATTGCTTGAGCATTGAATAATTTGAGTACACTGCGATCAATAGTTGGAGATGTCTTTTGTGCTTCACTTCTAGGTTTTGTTGAAACTTTTGATGTTGTCAAACTTGTTATTAGGTTCTTCTTTTTATCGGAGGTTGGCTTTTTTACTTGCTTAGTAGCCTTCTTTATCTTCCCTGTTGCTGGAGAAGATGACTTAACAATATTCTTCTTCTTTTGGGTTGGAACAGATGAAGGTTTTGGTTTTTGTGCCTTAGAAACCAATTTTTTGTTGGTTGGAACTTTTTGTGCGAATGTAGTGGTTGCAAGAAAGACAACAATTCCCAACAAGACAATCAAAAGAATAGTCTTCGATAAATTCATTCTCTACAAACTGCTGTAAAATTGTCCTCCCACACTGTGATGGCGTTATTTTATTTTTTTAAGGATGGTTTCTATAAATAAGGGCGCTTGATATTAAGGTATTAATGAAAGGAGTTTGTCATTTAGACTAGTTTTTCAAAGAAGTTGATCATTGTCTTTTACTCTTTTCATCTTGACTAGATTCGATGTGTAGCATCTTACTCAAATTCTTAGAGAAGTAGCCCTGTATACCTTCATGATTTTCACTGTGATTGAACAAGACAAGATGGTCTCCCGAGCTCCACATGGCATTCAGTAAAAAGTTAAACTTGGCAAATGGAATGATGCTATACTTTAAACCATCTGTTGATTTGACATAGGTATTCAATTTTGCGGTCATGTCTCCTATTGTCCACACTCCATTTGTTGTTATCACACTCGTAGTGAGATAAGATGCTTGAATATCTGTTATTTCTCCATCCATCGTCTTGGGTTGATTTAAGAGAGTGATAGGTACCATAGGGATCTTGTTTTTAACATTTTCATAAATTCCACATTGGTAGTGGTTATTGAAACCCCACGCATAAATATTACCATTCTGGAGCAGAACCACATTGTGATAGCCTCCACATCTCACTTGCCTGATAGGAGCTTCCCAAACCTTATCAAACAGTTCAAAATTTTCAGATGTTTCAGATCCTTTCTTCTCGCTTCTATGTATGTACAATTGATTGTCATTGGTCACTATAATAATTCTGTGTAATCCTACTCGAATAATCCTTATATTGTTTTGAGATATTTCTGGTGGAAGTTGCAACTTTCTTCTCCTCGGCTCTGGATCCAATACCATTATATCCAACAGGTAATTGGTTCTCCCTCTTGCGTGACCGTACAAGAGTAAGGTATTGGAGCAGGGATTTGTTTCAATCCAATCAATGGTTCCTCCTGCATACTCTTCAAAGAAGGATATTTTAACCTTTTCCGCAGTTTCTGCAAAATGTATAAAGATACAGAAATTATTCCTCATTTTGAGCATGAATGCATCTTGTGTTCCATAAACCTCAGTCAATTCCAAACTTTTTGGATCTTGCAATACATATGGATCTAGATTTACGTTATTCTTCTCAAACTCAGTCCTGATAAGAGTTTTGTAGTCAACTTCTCTCAGTTGTGGATGAAAATTTGAATTGCAAAAGGTAAAGTACTTGTTATATACATTTTCAACCTTTTTGGTTGGATGAAGGAGTGGGTTTTCCTTATATATTACAAACACTCTTTCAGTTTCTTTACCTTCCGCAACAAAAATTGTAAATGATCCACATGGAACAACTTGTTTCACTCTTGATAAACTCTTATCAAAGTATATAATCTCGTAAGGTCTCTTTCTCTCAACTTTTTCATTCTTTTCTCGAATTTCATTGAGAACATCACCAGACACGACGACAAATACTGAATCAGCTGCCAGTTCATAATCTTGTTGTTTGTGATTCGATGGTGATTTGAGTTGATGCAACGAAGCATAGGTTTGCATCTTTTCGGTAATCTTAATTTGAGGAACATTAATTACAGGTACATTCTTTCTTCTCACTGGTTTAACATCTTCGACGTGCTGATTTGGTATTACTAGATTGGGGGATGGTTGTGCCACCATGGGTCGTGCTGATGTTTTGGCACTTGGTGGAACAATTTGACTCTTTGAAACTGTTGGTTTCGGAACAGTGTGGAGAGCATGCTTATTTGAACGAAATTGTTGAATGGAATTCCTCACCACTTGATGTTGTTTCTTTTCTAATTGGGCCGAACTAGCCTGTGAGAGTTGAAGTGGTTTCAAGATTGGTGGAATGTTAGCAAACAAGGCAGTAGATGAAGCATTATGTACAATAGGAATATCTGATGAAATTAATTGCATTGTCTTGTTGGAACTCCTCTTGATCAAGTGAAATGGGGGACTCAGTGAATTACTAGTCATGTTGTTGTTTTCTTGCTCGTCCTCTCCAATAATTGTTGATGTTCGCAATGATGAATCCTTCACTTGTGTAAATTCAAAAATTCCTTCTCCAGTTGTATCCTCAATATTATCGTCCTCAGTAATTCTCTGCTTTTGAAAGGCAATCCACTCCTCAACAGCAGATACTTCTCTTCCTTCGTCACTTCTAAATGATGTTAATGGTTGCACAGTAGAATCAAATATATCCTCCTTTTTCAACTTCCTCTTCAAAGGAGATGATAATTGTGCTAGAATTTCCTCCTTAATGCGATAATTTGATGATGGATTCTTATTGTTGCTATTATTATTATTAGCAACTGTAAATTCTGATAAACCTAATTTTTTTGATACGGTAACAGGAGACTTTTCACTATTACTATTAACCGTTGATTGTTGAGAATGATGATGTTGATGATTAAGGTCCTTGTTACAATTGTTGTTAGTGGTCGAGTGATGATTACTCTCCTTAACAACCTTAGCAACCTTTATAGAGTATAGTAAATTTTTTTGTCGTTCCGTGAGGTTCTTAACATTGGAAAGGCTCACTGAAGGAAGATGAGAAATTGTTCGGTTGGGGTTTTCCTCTGATGGTTCGATCGTTGAGTCTTTCACTGTAGTGTTGTTCATTGCAGTAGTGGCAGAGTTGGTTTTAAAGCTCCCGATGCTATTGCTACCGTCACTCCAAGTTGTGTAGACACTACTGTGTGTGATTAGAGCAGCTGATTGTTGCTGTTGGGGACTATTGATGTTATAACTACTCGGTGAAGAGTTGAAATCTGAATGACGAGAGAGGAATGAAGAGTACTCCTTTGGTGAAACGAGCTGGGAATCATGGGAACATTGAGCTGTTTCTGGATGAAAGTAGAAAGTTGAACAATGTTTGAGAAGACGATCCTTTCGAGGAGAAAAGACTGGTTCAGAAATTGGCACTGGAAATCTCTTCTTGTATATAATTGATGATGTTGCTTTCTTTGGAGTATTTTCATTGGAATCATCACTAGCAAGAGATTCCTCAATTGTATCGTTTAGATTCGGAAGTGATGTTGGAGAAGGAAGCTTGCCATTTAATGATTTGAAGTAATCATCTACTGAATAATTCATGTCATGTGTTTTGATTCTCATATTTGATCTCCTTCCTCTTTCTTCAGACGAATTCAAATCTTTATCTGAATCATCGTCATCCTCCTCCCCCGGCAATACTTCAATTTCCTCCTCAACATCAGCTGGAAACGATCCATGACTAGAAGGATCATGATGATGCTGATTATTCTGTGTTGAGGTTGGTTCCATTCCAAAGAATAATTCCTCACTACCACTGTTACTACTGATAGTGTCTAAGGATTCTCCAATTTCTTCCTCAATATTGTTGATGTTATTTACAAATGATTCCCTTCCGGTTGAAAGAGGATCATAATCGGAATGAATAGAATAATCGTCTTCCCTTATTTCCAAAGATGATTGAGTATGATGAAGGTGATGATGATGAGTATTACTACTGGCTGCTTCAGTTGGAAGAAGTGACAACATTAATGTTTGTTTTTAAAGGTGTTTTGAAATGACTATTGTTGTTGTAGGTTTAAATGTCTTTTCATTAGTTTTTTTCAGTATTTTCATTAAATATCCCAATGCCGGCTCTTGATGGCTCTCTGACTGAATTCATATTATTTACTACCTGAGAGATAGATTAGAAACAAGTAAAAAACCTCACAATGAAGAGTTAATTGGAAACTCCAACAAGAATTAGGGTATTGAAGGTGTTGTCATCACACAAAAATTTCCAAAATATCATTTCGTGCCAAACAATGTGCGCCTTTGGTTGACCACAACATTCTTTTAACACAATGTTAGGTGGTCAATACCCCAACACTATTTGTGAGAAAGGCAAGAAGCGCTGATTTTGGATTTTTTGAAATATAGACCTTGCTAAATTCAAACCCTCAAAAAAACAAGTGCCTGGCTTTTCTCAGTGCCTGGCCGCAAAAGTTTTGTTTTGTTGATACAAGTTAGACAGTATTTGAAGAGAGTGTTTGGATAGATTAGAATTGAGAGAGGAAATAATATGATAGCTTCTTCACCTTCATCACCAGACGCATCAGCTAATAAGCAACAACAACCTCAACAACATCAATATCAACAACAACAAATTATTTCGATATTTCCTCACGATGCGGATGATGATATCTTTTCAGTGGAGGAACCTAATGGAGGAGGTCGTAACGGAAGCAATACAGGTGGCTCATCAGCCACTGAATCATCAGCAAGTGGAACAACGGCAACAGATGTAGACTATTGGGAGGAACATAAAAGAAAGTGGCGAAGTAATAGTAAAGGAAATAATTTTAATATTATGCGATTTGTATCATCTAGTTCGAGGTCATCAGGTTGCCCTAATGTTGATAGTTATCTTGGTGATGGAAGTGATGACAATCCTGATTTCAATCCAAAAGACTATTCACTTGTCTTTGAACAAGTATTGAAAGATAGAGAATGTTCAGAATTATTCCTTACCTTTTTGAAAGTTTCAAAAGCTGAGGAGCCTTTTGAATTCATTATTGCTTGTGATGAGTATAAGAAGGTTTATTCCAAGTGGCGAGAGAACAATATGGAGATGAATGCCACTAAGATCACAACAACCACAAGTTCTTCGAGCCACGATTATACAGATGACTCACTAGATAATCAGCCAATGAAGACAATGGATAAGATCAGTGTTGTTACTGAAAAAAGTATCTCCTCAAGTACATCTAGGGATGATCTTAATCATCAGGAGAATAATAAGGATGATCCTTCTAAAGTTGTTGAAAAAGATCATTCAAATATTTCCACACCAACAATCGAAACAAGCCCAAATACAAATGTGGATGAGAGTAGAGATCAGACTTCCTTCGATTTACTTTCAAAGCAACTAAAGACCAGTAAGGAACAGATATACAAATTGATGAACAAGGTCAAAAAGGAAATAATTGAAAGGTTTATCATAGAACAGGCAGAAAAAGAATTACACAGAGGTCCTCTCAAAACAGACCTATTAAAGAGTTGGCTTATCATTTCTGAAATGCATAAGGACTTGATCAAAGAGGAGACCAAGAAGTATTCCATAACCGAGCTAAAATCAAAGAATACAATTGTTCAGGAAATCGGCAACAAGTTGGATCCAAATGTAATATTTAGGGATTTGTACAATAGTGTCCATTTAGATTTACAAGTTGACTCGTTTCCATGGTTTTGTAAACACCCAGACGTTTTATATTTTTTGAAGAGAAAGGGTGAGGAATATACTAGATCCGTAGCTGTGAAGAATTATTCATTCAACATTTTGGACTGGAGAATTAAGGAGAGTGACATCAAAGACAAGGTAATTAAGCGAGAACATTTTTATTTTGGTTTCTCCCTATTATTGGAGGACACTAAGGATTGGAAAGTCATACGAGATAAACGTGGCTTGAAAGTATTAGCATCCAAGCAAGTCTATACTTTCGATAAGGCTCTAGCTAGTAGAATGAAATTGACCAAATTTTCAACAACTATTGATTGCCCACTGGAAAAATTTTGGAATATTTTCACCAATATTGAAAATCAGCAGAAACTGGACATTAATTCTGAAATACAGGTTAAGGAATGTAACACTAATGTATCCACTCATAATGCTACCAATCCATTTGCTTTTGGAGTTTGTGAAACAGTGTCGAAATTACCATTCATGGCGACAAGAAAATCCCGATACATTTATACAGCTATAGAAGAGCCTTCAATTGATGCAATATTCGTAATAGGGCACTCGTTGCAGGATGAATCTGTCGAGAAAGAGTCAGAAACAGCAACCTTTTCAAAAGAGTACTTCTTTTATCTTTTTACAAATTTGAAAGAAACAAAACAGACGAGAGTTGAAGGATGCCAATATTCTGATCTTAAATTGATTCTGACGTCGCGTAAGAAGTTTTTGGTCAAACAGTACAAACTTTTCTACAAGTTAATCAAATCGCTTAGCCTTTCGAGTTCAACTACTTCCCACAATGATTCTCTGAATTACAACAAGATTTTACAATGTAATAGGGAACTAAATGTTTCTTATTATGATTCTTGGCTTAAACTCAAGAAGAATCAACCCAACAAATAAACCTTAAACTTTGTGATTAATATTCACAAAAATCTCAAAGATAGTTATTTTGGTTATGATAAGGACCTGTCAGTTGCCAAAAACAATTATAATCAAATAATCAATTCAAAAATATCCACAAAAAAAATTCAAACCAACAACACCAAGCCAAACAAATGGCTAACAAAGCAGTTTCAAGAGTTTTCGCAATAGTCTTGTTGCTGTTGACAGCTTGCCTTCTACTTGTTACCCTCTCCCAACAAGCAACAGTAGAACAACAAGCCAAACTTTCCCGCCACGAAGATTTACTCGTAAAATTACAAACACAGCTGGAGAGTAATTTTAAAACTTTACCGAGAAAAAAGCAAAATACTCAGAGAGGCGCCAATGATATAATCATCAATGAGGAGAGTGAAGAAGATCCATCCGAAGTTAGTAATAATAGTAACAACAAACTGAGGGATGTCTTTATATTGGGAAAGAAATTTGCTGATGATGAATTGATGAATAGTTTTCTTCATGGAAGAAAGATTTTGTTCAATGGAGAGCGATACATTGATACAGAGAATACTCCTTCACTCTTGCAAAAGCTTGTTACCTTGAAAAGAGCTGAAAATCAACAAGAAGAAGTAGAGGAGGATAACACAGAGTTGGCTGACAAGGCTTTTGATGAGTTCAAACAAGTTCTCAAAGAAAAGGTTACACCAACAGAAATCTATGTAACAGTCAAATCACCTGTAAAGACAGGCTTTGGAGACTTTTTGAAACGTTACTTTGAAAGTAATTCTGAAGTCAATTATCATCCACACAATAGTTTCGTTTTGGTTGCTCCTTCAATTGTTTCTGTTTTGGATAAATTGAAAAAGATTGATCAAAAGAGATTGAGTAAGGAACAACAAAAGACTGAGGATGACAATCTTGCTGATGATATATTGTGGGTTGGTCTTGCTGATCCATCTTACAAGGTTAGTCATGAATTGCAAGCAAATAAGAAAAAGCCACTCGCCACAGTCAGTCTTGAAGTTCAATTATTTTACAATACTGATATGGAAGGTCTTATTAGAGAGTGGAGAAATATTGCTTTTGATCTCATTGATAAAACCAATGTTGAACAACTCATCAAAACTGAAGCTAAGAGAAATGTTATTATTTACAAGAAGAAGGATTTGACAATTGCTGTTACCATTCCACAAATTATTAAGGATAGTATTATTGAAATTCTTTCAAAGAGTCCACTTTCTCGTCACATTCAAAAGGAAGAAAGCTTTGGTCTTGAATCTGATTTTGAGGATGATGAAGAAGAAGAAGCTGACATTCCTTTCAGCCAATTTTATCAAAACTATGTCAAGGAAAAATCTTTTGAACAAGCTGATTCTGACAGTGAAGCTGCCACTGCTTTTAACAAATTGTTAAGCGAACAAGAATATTCTTTGGATGATGAAGAAACCTTCCAATTGTTATCTGCTGTTAATCCATTGAGTGATTCCTACAAGTCAGTTCTCTTCAAATACGGATCAACCAAGTCAGCAACATCTAAAACTTATTTGGGTGAAAAATTCCATCAAATTGCCAATACTACTCTCAATTTTGTTGAACATGACAAGATTGGCCACTCTGCTATGCCTGATGTTAAATGGATGTGGGAAAAGGGATTCACTGGAAGAGACCAAGTTATTGGTATTGGTGATACTGGTGTTGATATTAACAATTGTTGTTTCTATAGAAGAGGACAAAAGGTTCCTTATAACAAGATTGAAACTGACACTCACGATAAGTTTATTTCTTACAAGAGTTTTGCTGATGATAGAGACATTGTTAGAGGTCACGGCTCTTTTGTTTCCTCAATCTTGTCATGCTCTATCAAGGGAGACCAATTCGATGATGGAGAAGAAATGAAGGATTTATTTGATGGAGTTGTTAAAGATGCCAAGTTGTGTTTCTTTGATCTTGGTTTACCAACTCGTCGTCTCAGTGTTCCTCATGATTTGAGTGGAGATTACTTCCCATACATGCACAACAAGTGTAATGCCAAGATTTCAACAAACAGTTGGGGTAGTCCAAAGAGAGGCATGTACACAATTGCCTCCCAAGATGTTGACGAATGGGCCTATAAGAATCCAAATACTATTCAATTGTATGCTGCTGGTAACAGTGGCAGAAGTGGTACTAGAAGTATCACAAGTCCAGGTACCTGCAAGAATTGTATCACTGTTGGTTCTTCTCAATGGACTAGAAAGAGTTTCGAACTTGGTTATCCACTCTATGGTGATATTATTAGACACGAAATGATGGAAACTCAAATGTGTCTCAAGGGAGGTCATGGAAGAATGCTCTTTGCTACTCCAACCTTCTGTAAATCAATTGGTGCCAAGAGATCTCCATGTTTTGATCACAAACAATCTTTCTGTGATAGTATTGATATTACTGGTGAAAAATTTGCTTGTTCCAGTCATATTTTCAAGAAGGTTTGTTGTGGAAAGAAGTACTTGAATGACATGATTGAACACCCAGAACATTTCAGTCCAAACAATATGGGTACCTTTTCCTCAAGAGGACCAACTACTGATGGTAGAATCAAACCAGATATTGTTGCTCCTGGTCAACTTATTTTCGGATCTCGTTCATTGGGTACTTCCTCAGCTGATGATTCTGAAGAGATGGCTGATTCATTCTCTAATAAGGGTTATTGTCCAGTTCCTATCGCCAATCAAGGTACTAGTTTTTCCACACCAATCGTAGCTGGTTATGCCTCAATGGTTCATCAATACTTTACCAAGGGATTTTATCCAACTGCTAAAGAAAATTCACAAAACTCTGTGGATCCAACAGGTGCCACTTTGAAGGCTATTCTTGTTAACAGTGGTCAAGAATTGACTGGAATGGTTGAAGCTAATGGTGCAGGATTGTGGAAGAAACTTCACGGTACTCCTTCATTCACTCAAGGTTTCGGATTGGTTCGTCTCAGACATGTCTTGCCTTTTGCTGGAGAGTCTGATTTTAACATGTTCGTTTCACAACAAGATTCAGTAACAACAGACAGTTATAAGCAATATTGTTTCAGAGCTGTTCCAGTTAAAAGCACTAAGGATCAAGCATTCAAGGAATTGGATCAAGCATTGAAGGCAACACTTGTTTGGACTGATTATCCTGGTTCACCTAATGCAAGAATTCAACTTGTCAATAACCTTGACTTGGTTGTTAAAATTGAAAATAATGGTCAAGAACATTATGGAAATGGTGGAAGAGATTATATCAATAATGTGGAACAAGTTAAAATTAATGGATATTCCAAGCACATTGCTGACAAGACTGTTTTCCGTGTTGTCGTTGAAGGCACACAAGTTCCTAAAGGGCCACAAACATTCTCTCTCATTGTAAATGGACCTCTCGAAAAGATTGAATGTACTGGTGAACCAAACTTGAAGAATACAAGAATTGTCAAAAATCCACCAGTTAAGAATCAAAAGGAACCAGAATTACTTTCTGCCTTTATGAAGGTTGTTGGTGGTTCCCTCTTGTCTGACAATTCTGAGGAAAATTAAATAAAATTGTCTCCTATTGTAATACAAATACAATAATCATTATTTTTGGTCAGCAGAGTCTAGGGGTTGATAAGGTATTTCATCAAAGTGATTCAGCCAAATATGGCTTATCTTTATCATCAGCAGTCTTATTTAGAAAAAAGCTGGTTATCACATTACTAAACATAATAATTTTCAACTAATTGTGGTTTTCGAAAAAATTTGCAAAATTATTTATTTCAATCCACAACAACAGATTTTGTTCTTTTGACTGCTCTTTGTCTTGTGGAATCTGCTTTTGCTACTTGTTTCATTCTTCTAAAATCAATGTAGTGAGTATCAGAAACATTGACTCTGTCTTTAGAAGCATTATCCCTATATTCTCTGTATGCTTTTTCAATAACGCCACAAGTTGCTTCATCATAACTAATAAAAGTGTTCCTATTTTGCCAAGACCATGTGTAGATTGATTTCAATTTCTTACGTTTAACAGGCGTAAGACCTGTTGCATTAATAGAAGAATAAGCATCCTTGTAAAAGTTATTTGTTGTTGGGCTAAAACCAAGATTAATATGGCAATTATTGCACAACTACTTACTTGAAACTTCCAATTTTTTGTGTGGTTGGCTCAATAACCATCCATTTAACTTCAGCTTCAAGGGTGGAATTGTCACCAGAGGTGTGCAAAACCGAGAATACATCATTCAAAGCACATTCGAAATGAGGTTTCTTTCCCAATTTTTCCATAAAATAAGCAATAACAGACTGGGTTGTTTGATAGTTATGGGATGGGGTTGCTGTTGAACTGTATGGAAGGCAAAGCTGTTTATAATCGTGGTCATTCTCCTGATTTTCAATATTTTCTTCCACAATCGATTTTCTAACATTTTTTGCATATTTGTGAGCTTGTTTGTACAATAAAATCCTTGCCAATCCTGTAACTCTTGAAACATCAGCCTTATGATTGCTAAACCTATAATATCTGTATTTTCTACGATAATAAAATGGGTTTTTACCCTGGGTTAAATATTCATTTTTAATCAGTGATGGATCAAACCCTGGAATTCCTATTCTGAAACCTCTTTTAGCGTACTTTACTAAGCGAGCTATAAATGTTATAAATTAAAATTGAAGGATCATGACTTACTTTCATATGTTCTGAATTGATGATCAGTTAGCAAAAAGGTTAATAAATAAACTTACGTGGACTGACGATCTGGATCTACTAAATTCATTCTATACTTGATAGCCCTTTTGAATCTTGGTAGGGCAAACACTTGATTGCCATCGAATGCAACAGTTACACTATCAATGTCAAAACCACACAATATCTCAGTAATTGATTTGTAAATTCTTAAAATAATTTGAACAGGTCTGATAGGATAGGAGAAATAAAAGGTCACAGCATGTTGAGTTCTGACAATCATAATATCATCAGATATCCCATTCTGGTATGTTCTTGCAGTGTGACTATTCAAATTCTTCTTGAATAGAGTGAAGAGGTATGTGAGTTTTTCTTCTGCTTGTTGTTCAGTAAGCCCATACAAGAAAATATCAATATCACTGTCTTTCCATGCTGTACTTCCAAGTTTGTCGGCCATCTTTTGATTTTCTGTTCTATTGTCAGCAAAACTTGAGGCACCCCACGTTCTATTATAACTAGTTCCACTGTAACCTGCATTGTAGGATTCATTATCTGAATCGGTAAAGCAATTATCTGCGTTAGATGCTTCAGGTACCTCTTCATCAGATGCATCATCTTCATCCCAATTGTGTCTACCTGGATTGGAAGTCTTTTCAGGTGAATCAGAATGGTTCAAAAGGCATGCACAAATACTTCCTATATATATCGAATTGTGTGTTTGTTTAAAATAAAAGCAAATACTAACCTCCAGCTACAGCCATATTTGAAAAGTCAGCATCTTTGAAAATACCATAGGTAACTGCATTGAATTGAGCAATAAATTCATCCTTACTAGAAATAATTTCTGGAATTCTTGGTTCAGCTACATTTCCCTTCCAAGTTAATTCTGAGCATTCTATTTGATCTTCAAAGTTAAAAATTAATGGAATATTCGGATTGGTTGTTTCCTTTTTAAAACCATCTCTAATAGTTTGATTTTCGAAAATATTGATCAAAAATAGGTAAGGATCTTTCAATAATGGATTTTCTCTGTCAGTTGCAAATAATTCTCTAATGTAATCCTCCTCCTCTCTCATTTTGATATTCTCTTTACCTATTGTTTCTATTGGCCAACGTAGTGGATCGAAATAGTCAATCATTTTTCTCAAGTTGAGTGATTTGGCTTCACGATATATTTGCTTCTTCTTGTGTTCTTCACTTGGAATTGAAAATGATCCATTTTGTAAGAATGAGAATATGTACTGATAAACTTCTGGATCTCTATCTATTAAAATTTCATTATTATCCAATTCACCAGAATCCACTCTAGCTAATAAATCATTGAGAATACAATCGGGATGAGCAACAATTTTCTGAATGGAAACAACATGCCTGACGCCTCTTACATTGAACACCAATTCTGGATTGGAGCATGAGGACAATAAATCCTTCTCTCTTTGTAACAATTCTTTTCTTTCCTTTTCAAGTTTTGTTTCCACATCTGAAAAGTATGAATCTGCATTTTCCTTCTCAGTTATAGTAAGAGACATGAAATTCTCAATGTATTCCTGTTCTTTCTGTTCTTTATCGATTGAAACCATACTAGAATCCAATGAGGTTAGTTTCTTGTTTTCACTTCTTTTATCTGATTCAATATCCTTTACAATTGTCTTTACAGCACTTGCTAATTTAGACAAACCAAAAAAGTCAGCCATCTCCAACAATTCATTAAACTTGTCAAGATAATCCTCAGTTCTTTCCTCAAACACACCAATATGAGTAGTAGAACCTGTTCTAATATGTTCCAAAATAATTTGAAAATAATCTGGATTACAATCAAGTGTGATGGCACCTGTAGAATCGGTATCAATACCAAAATTGGAAGATAACATGGTCTTTAGCATATTTTCTCTCTTTTCAATAGTTGCTCTCGAAGTGACGAATATTTTACCTCTCACATTAAATCTAATCATATTTTGCTTTCCCTGTTCTTGAAGTAAATCAATCACTGCTTTTTGTCGGAAAAAGATTTGATAATCAATTTCTTCAACATGAGTAGCAGACGATGATGGAGTAACAGCAGAATTAGGTTCGGAAATGCTCATAGGCTTGTTCAGAATAAACTTTTCCAAATAATCTAATTCCCTCCTCTGACGATCAATTTCTTCCTTCTCCTTCTTCAATTGCAAGAGTTTCGAAATTTTTGCTCTTTCAATCTTTTCCTTCTTATCGACTACATTGGATGGATCGATGGCATGGACGGAAATTTCTTCATCATCAATATTTTCATCATTAGCTTGATGAGCATCTATTGTCGATTCGGAAACTCTCTTGCGCTTGCTCTCTGATGTTGTTAACATTTTTTTTAATTTAAAAAATTTCCACTTTCCACAAGAAAGTTGGTTTTTTGTAACAATCATTTAATAATTAAAAAACATGAAAGATTTACTTCTGTCAATTATTATTATTATTCAACTCGCTGTTTTGAATAATTTTAAAAAATCAAAAGAATTGGATGTTCAAAAAATTGAGGAATTGAATTTACCTAAACCACCATTTGATGGCTCAGTTGCACATCAAGAAACAATTCGCAGTTTATTCGAAAAACACTCGGAATTAATATTAAAGATTGTGGAAAGGGTGAACAAGGAAATTCCAGAACTGGTCAATCAGGGAAAGTTTAATTTTTCTTTCGAGTTAGAATGTTCACATCTTACTCATGTAGTTCTTAATGAAATTAGGTTGGTACTTGTTGCACACTATCAACCCATGAAATATAACGTTGGAATTGATCCTGGGTATTCTCACAAGGCAACACAGTTTGACAGAATTCGAGTCAGTGTCCAATTCTGAAAATTATGAAACTTATGTGAATCTGAGGAAAAATATTCTTCATTACAATATTGCTATTACGAGTTGTATATTTTATACAATGAATGATTTATATTTTGTTGTTGCCTTCTATAGATTATTGATATAAATACTAATGTTAATGGTGGAGTCATTAATATTAACACTTTACAAAGTTTAACAAGTTTGAAGGGCGAGTATTGAGTAAGCTTGCCAAATTGAAAATTCTCAACATTAATCGCAATCCTATTGGTGATATTGGAATTGAATTTATAGAATGTACTGTTAAAAGAGGGAATTATGCAATTTTTTGTAAAGCTCTCCATTAAGGAGAAGCGGTCTTGACCGAGTGGTTAAGGTGATTGACTAGAAATCAATTGGGGAGACCCGCACAGGTTCGAGTCCTGTAGACCGCGATCATTTTACATTCAAAATCAAGTTGCCAATATCATTTAACAGTAGTATTTATGGTTGTTATTGTTTCAACCTATTCAAATGTTAACTAATTCGATTTATTGTTTAATATCATTTGTAACAGTTTTTCATGAACTAGTTCCATTTGAATTAATCTTCCCTGAAGGATAACATTTTCAGTTTTTAAATCCTCATATTCCTTCTTGGGTATTGTTATAGTTTCCAAGTTGATATTATTCTGCTTTGGACTATACACCTTACTCAAAGTTTCTAATGTATTGTCAAAGTTTCGTTTCGAGGTTGTGCTCTTTTTGGGCGAATTTGATAAACTAAACACATTAAAATGATCACCAGGTTCATTATCTAAAAGTATAGACAAATCTGTCCTCTTAGAATCTAATTGCTGTTTTGGAGATTTTAACAAGTTTTCAGTTTCGGATGTTAATGAGACTATTCCTCTACTATTATTACTTGATTTCTTTGGAGAAGTTAAATTGAGCATGTTTAAGGTGGAAGACGATCTTTCTGCACCATGTTCATCGGGTGGAATAAGTTTTGGAATTCTGGGAATTAATTTCCTTAATTTTGCCAATGATGATAAAGTTAATAATTCATCCTCGTTCTCTTCATCATCTTCATCATCGGAATCGTCATCACGTTTACTACTATTATTAATATCATTGCTATTATTTAAATTAAGGTTTTCATCGTTAAAGGCTTTAATTAGGCTCATATTTAAACCCTCATTAGTATTACTATTATTGCTACTAATACTTGTATTATTGTTAGTATTGGAAGATTGCTTAGGAGATGAAGATATTGATGATTCGGAAGGTCCAGGAATATTAAGAGCCAATGAATTCCACCACTCTTCACTAGCATTCTCCCTCTCATCACCAATGGTATTCATATCCTTCATGATATGATGAAGATCCTTCATTTCCAACATGAAGAGTTTATATTCATCATCGGACATGATTTCATTCTGTTGTTGGGAATGTTGAATATTATTATTATTGGTCAATAATTCAGAAGCAGCATTCCCAGCAAGAGTCTGATCGGCCAATGAATGATAATGTTGTGTTTGATTCATTATTGACATGATGGAATTTGTGTTCAACATTGCAGACTTATTAAGGGAAGTTGATGCAGCTTGATTCGTCATGTGAATGCTGTATGAAGAAGGTTTGTACAGTGAGCTATTGGAGGGCCTATTTCTTTTGTGTTTGTTAATAATATATATTAATTGAATCAATATTTCCTGTTTCATTAATACAGTAAATACTGTATTTCACCTTAATTTGGCAAGTAGTTACAATACTCTATTAATTCAAAACTTGGTGCTGAAAAAGAAAAACTGGCACCTCGTATCCATCAAACGATCCAATAGTGAAATGCTTTCGTTTAATGGATTACAATTCATACAAAACTAATAATACTAATAATTAATAGTATCTCTGTGTCTTGAGTGGTTTTCTAATAACCAAATCCAAGAATTTGTGTAAAACTGCAGTGAGAATATTAGCAACAAGATGAGTGGAAAATCCAGCATATATTCCAGATATTCCTTCATTGGTCATTTCTGAAATAATATCACCCATTGCCACTTCAGGATTCATTTGCATTCTCAAAGATAAAGTTGTAAATGGATAGCTAACTAAACCAGCAGCCACTCCAATCATTACTCTCTTCACAAATGGGAAAATTTCCCCAAGAAAAGGATAATAAGAAATTCCAGGAATCACCAATCCATTAAAAACATTACTTCTATTCACAATATTCACCAAATAATTAGCAATTAATTGTGGAATAATTCCTCTAAATAATCCTCCAAACATTCCATTCAAAGTAATAACCTTTCCCAATTCTTCTTTCCATTCTCTAGTATTGGAAAGATCACATCCAACCCTATGAATACCCACCATGATCGGATGAGTAATAATTGTTGCCATCTGATGACCCATCGAGAATTTCATCAACAAGGCTTTCAATCCATGTCCAACAGCAAACATTGTATAACCATGATATAAATTAAATAATTCAGCAGCTTCATCAGGTAGTACTGATAATGATGATCGTGGTGATGGTGATGCAGATGATCCTAGTTTTTGCAAGAGAATGACCATCATTGGAATTTCATCATTCTTATTTAAATTATTTAAATTATTTAATTGATCATGATCAATATTCGATTGCTCAATCCATTGTGTTCTTCGGAGTGGATAAAGAAGACTCTGAACGAGGAAACTCTGTATAAACATTGACATTTTTTTTTATAAATTAAATTTAATAGTTTTTCATTTCCTTTTCCATGCATATTCGTCTACTTTATTAAGCTCCATATATTAAAAAAAGATTATAAACCACATGATTAAGACATGCATTAATAAGGCAGCAACTTGACTCTGAGACATTCTGTTGCAATCAACTACAGCTCTGTGTCTCACACAATGTTGCGAATCGAATGAAAACAACAATTTCTTCATGAAATTGCTACCTGCTTAACCACTGTCTCATATCTTAGAAATGGAAATGTTAAATATTGGAGGAATTCCTCCAATTCTCTCAAAACTAACATAACAAGTTTATATTTCCTAATTGATTAACTTGCAAGAATTTACACAATCCTAATGAAGAATGTTGTTGACAAGTAGTTGCCCAGTAAATCATGAAGCAAATTCCTTCGTGTTTTCGCACAGTGTTGCCGACTGACCGAAAGCAAAGTTATCAGAAACTGTTTTTGTCAATTTTACAAATATCAAAAACCTTTTAAAAAAATCAAACCATGCAAACGAAACAATACACACAAGAGGGTTTAGTATATTACGATTTTGTTGGAGGAATTCGAATGCAAAACTTTACTTTGCCAAGCTTTAGTGAATTTATTGGAAATAATTCAGTTTCGAATAGCCACAATTATGGACATGCTCAGCATGTGGTTCCTAATTCAACTTTCAACATGTGTCACAATGGAGCTTGCATGTCAAGTGGATACGAAGGAAGAAACGAAATGTTGCATGCATATAATAACGTTGCACCAATATTTTACCAAACTAACTGTACATTATCGAATGCACAACAACATGATAGAAATGCAAATGATTCACATATTGACATTTTAAACTCTAGGATTGGTTTATTAGAAACCAAACTAAATACTCAAAGTACAATGTTACGTCAATTAGTTGAGGAAAATCAAACATTGAAGAAACGTAAATTCGAAATCCTTTCAACTGCAGATAACGATCAATTAAACCCACCTAAAAAGAAAGAGAAGGCACAACATACCAACCACAGCTCAACTACATTCAGCCTAATCTCACAAAATGATTTTCTACACAAATATCGAGGAGTAGTGACTGGCAACTGGGAAGAGTTCAAAGTCTCATGGAGATCAAAAGAATATGTCATTCTCAAAGTATTCTGTAATAGAGATGAGGTATTTAATTACTTCTGTCCATTATTCGAAAGTCAATATCCTAATGAAAAATCATATCGATTAGTGCTGGAAAGGGAAGATTACAGAAAGTTGTTTAAGGAAAATAAGAACGTGGAAAAGTTTTATAGACAACATGCTTGGAGAATTTCGATATTTAGTATTGATTTCTTTCATTTTGTTAGAAACAGAAAGCACAAGTACCAATAATAAACTGTAAAAATAAAAATTTGCCGACACCAGGGATCGAACCAGGGACCTTAAGATCTTCAGTCTTACGCTCTCCCAACTGAGCTATGTCGGCTTCTTGGCACTACCTTTCGAGATTCATACATAACACTAATTTGCAACACTCCTTTTTCCAATCAAATATGCACCTAATGTGTCATTTACCATGATTCCATCTTGTTTGGATTTGTAGTAATTTATTTTTGAATTCTTACACCAGTCAATATCATATGTTTCAATTCTTCCTTTGTATAGCAAACTGAAATGTCAACAGTTTTGTGTGATCTATTGATTTGAAGAGTTTTGTAATCATGAGGGATAATATTCAAAGAGAATGATCTTCTGCCCTCCATACCTGCAACAATAGCGTCCAAATAATTTAATAATAATGTTGCCACAAATATATCTTCTTTCAAAAGAGTTCCCAACAAGTTTAAAAATTGCTTTGATGTTTCCTCATTGACATCTCCATCTCTTTCGACATATTGATGAAGAAGTTCATTAACCAAGGATGAAATAGTGTTACAATCACAAGTAAGAGAAATAAGCTCTTGTGCTGTAAATACTTTAAGGAAATTAGCCAAATCATCTCCTAACACACTTCTCAAACCTGTTACAAAACTGTTAGCCATCTCAAACTTGGGTGATCCTTGTGGAATACTAACTCCATCAACAAATGACTGCAGTATTTCTTGGTCTATATTGAGTGGACCCAAATAATATTTGCAAAGAAGACTTGATCCAAGTAAACAACCCATAACAAAGTAACAAGAAGTTATATCTGATTGAAGGACAAGAGTTGGAAGAATACGTTGAAGACGTTCACATACTTGGTTGAAAATAATAATATTCGCTATACCGTGTCTAGTGTTATCATCAAACAGTCCTTCAACTTCTAACATGTAGGAATAGTCATCTGTATGAGTATACTTCATATTGCTAATGTTTTGTCTAAATACAGTGATAGGATTACTTAGGAATTGTTGGTAATTTAAAGGAACTGTTCTCTTGGTCACAACTGGTTTAGACAAGAATAGAGAGCCAGAAGTGCAACTGATTCCTTGATTTTTACCAGCAAAAATGTTCAATTCAGCCACCAAAGCTTTTTTCTTTTCGCCAAGTGGAATAGTATTCTTAATGCATGGAGTTAGCAATAATTTAGAGTTGGAGTTGGAACAATAGAAAAGGGAAAAGTTGGTATTTCTTATGATTGATGATGCTAGTGGAGATTCAAGTAAGAGTTGTATATATTTACAATATGGCATCAGGGAAGAGGTGTTTAAATTCCTCATTGCTACTGAAGAAGGATATTTAAGAACATTTGAATAGGTTTCGGAGAAGGTAGAGATGGAAGAACTGGAATTCAGGTTAGATTTAAGGATTTGGATTAACATATTAAAGGTCTTGAAAAATGTAGTTTCTCCATTACTATCAAATAAATTTGATGATGATAATGAGAGGCTATTTTGATTCAAGAGATCAACTGCATCTGAAAATGTAACTTTCCTTGTGGCTATGCAAACCATTTGGAATAGATCAAAGCAATACTTGTGCAGAGTAATACTTGTGTTTTTGATGTTTGAATTTTCTAGTTTTTGGCGTAACCTATCTAAATCATGTTGAAGTTGTGAGTTTTGTAATTGTTGAGCAACTTGCCCAAGGTATGTCTCCCAAGTGTTTGAGCGTTTGATTAAAAATCTGCACAGCAATACTAACAAATCAACATAGGTTTCATTGTTAGCCAATCTGTTAATACTAGCTTTAAACAAATCAAAGAAAATCTCTTGATTAATATTTGAATTTTCAGAAAGACCCTCTACGGCACCAATTAACCAAGTGGTAGGTTTTAGAGGTAGATTCTTGTCTGACGACAAGTCACTAATGAGCTCTAATACTATACTGCCCAAATGAGGACTTAATACATCCCTTCTGTAGTAATCAGCTTTGTAAACAATAACTTCAGATAAAGGTAGTGTAAATTCTCTTAATTCTTTCCTTATTAAAATTTCTGGGTGCTTTTGCAGAATCCAGTATCTTGCAAGGTAAAGCAACATATTGTCTGTACTTTCAATAATATTACCCCATAGAATTTCTTGTGCTGATTGCTTGGCTGCTGATCTAAAGTAAGTTGCAATGACATCATAGTACGAGTTGAAATCTTGAGTATCATTTGGGTTGAATTGTCGAAGCCCCTGTTCCAAAATCATCTTGAATGTAGTACTATAATCAGTATTATTAATTAAAATATCTGGATTAACCAATGAATGCTCATATGCCAACTTGAGGATACTAGATCTGAACATGTAATATAATAAAGAATCTGAGGAATAATCAACCTTGTGATGAAGTAGTAGCTCCATAATATCAGGCCTACTTGCTATTACTTTTGCACACTCTTTGGAAGAAAATATACTAGGGTTTGAGAGAATAATCAATCTACTGTCAAAAGATAGTCTTCTACCTGGCTCTGTAAAATAGCTCTTTAAAGTTGTTATTGCATGGGATATTAATGCACTAGTCATGCTAGAATCCTTGAGGCCAGTATTTAAAATATCTTCATAAAACCATAGCATGCTGTCTTGGGATTTAGACAGACTTGTCATACTATTTTTAAACATCTCTTGGTCACCAGTCATTCTATCAAAATAAATTCGTACAGCAGCCTCCATTACACACCTCATCACAATGTTTCTATAATATGGGCTATTCAATTTTTGAATTATCTCTCTAATCTTGTTTTCTGTGTGAGCATTTGTATATCTGGCATGAATGTTCAAAAGCTTGAAAATAATACTCTGGAAAACCTCAATACCACAAGACTCTAAGTTGAACACCAACGAAACGTCTCTGTGGGGAAACCCTAAAAAAACATGAGCGTTAATTGTTCTAATATTTTCATCCAACAGATAATCGAGATGTCTTGAAAATGAATGAGCCAAACTCGTAAGTCTAAACATTTCGGTAAAATGATTTTTCTTTTGGAAAATGGCCTCGAATACATCATTCTCCTGGGCGTAATACTCTATTGTATGTCCCTCTTCTATTGTTTTGTAGTAGCCGTTAAGTGTAGAAATTTGCATTAATTGGTCTGTGTGTTGTAAAACATCTTTCAAAAGGTTCTTCAAATCCTTAGGGCTGACTGAGTTGTAGTCGTTAGTATTTTTCTTGTATGAAATTGTGTTTTCTACTTCTTGATGTATTCTACGCAATGTATCTGTAGAAGTTGGGCTACAGTGCAAGAATAAAATCCTCAAAACAGAGCACAATGAAAAGAGAATGATTTGTCTCTTGCCATGATCATTGCAAAGATTTTCAATCCAAGGATACTTTTCTTCTCTGTAGTAGTCGTGTAGAAACATTTCAAAATAAATTTGATCAATATGCTCAATAGTTCGTGTGTCTTCTGGGAAGATTCTTGAAAACATTGTAGATGGATCTTCCTGAAAGCTAGAACAAAAACTATCTTTTGAATCAGAACAATCTGAAATGCTCATCTTCTCGAATAATTCACTTGTGCTGCTGGTGTCAATATCTTGAATACTTTTTTTAACCTTTCCCAAATGAAGGCTCATTGACCTAAATTTCCAGTCTGCTGGTAATTGAATTGGACTGTTCAATAAACCAAAAGCGATATTAATTTGAACAGGTTGCATATGCGAAATCAAATCCTCATGCACTGATGAAACTTTTTCCATATAAGCACGTGTAGAGTTCTCCATTTCAACCCATAAGTCTGATTCAATGTCATTATAATATGTAGTTCTATAACGTTCCAGAACCTGTGGTATGACTTTCAAGCATTCAAAATAACGCAGATCATGTACAATAAAAGCCAAAGATAAATTTTTTGAATTCAAATTCTGAACCATTTCTGTTGACAAAATAAAGAAATCTTTGATGAAATTAAATCTACTCAAGTTATGATGACGAACGAAATTGTTTACATCGTGGTTTCTATCAATCCAGCAGTGATAAAAATGCATAATACGTAAAAAATACTGAGCAGCTGAAGACACGGAGTGTTTGATGTCTTCTTCCTTATCAGTTCTCTCTGAGAAAATTCGTTTTAAATTCATTATAGAAGCAGCCTCTCCTTCTTTTACAATAAGGAAATCTAATGTTAACATATGGGGCAGTTCATCTGGAATACCATTTGATGTAATATAGTTCAGTATTTGGTCATTAGCCTCAGATAATTTCATCCAATTCAAATTGAGTAAGTTTCTGTCAAATAAATTGTAAAGATATTTCATGGCTGTCTTGGATACTTTTTCTTTCACACCATTTGAACCATTATTTCTGCTCATCATAAACCTCCTCATAGTTTCAAATAGCCTTTTCAAATCCTTTGTAATAAGGAAAGGTATTTCTTCATACATTAGTAATTTTCCCTTCCAAGTATCTAGTAATTTAAATGTTGAGTTTTTTTCGTAGTACTCTAATGTGATCGCAAGAATTTTTGTGATTATTGCACCTGTGTTTCGTTTGTGGAGTTTTGCTTTTAAAATGTTGGTGGGTATGAATTCGGAGAATATTGAAGCAGCTGGAGATGTATTCTTTTCTGGTAACATTAATGTTCCATAAGTTAAAACCTCCATCACTAATTGAGGAGCACAGGTAGCAATAGCAAACTTGTGCGTAATGTACAATATTATCATTTGTTGTTCAAGAGTTACATTATTCTTGTCAAAACACCTTCTCAGCTCTATTAATAGTTTATCCACTGTGGCATAATTTTGCAAGTAGTGTTTTCTCAAACTTTTAAGAGTCCAAGTATTAACATAGGTTTTGATAGTATTTAGTGCTTCTGAAATTATTTGCTGTTCTTTCTGTGGATCTGTAGTTGGTAGTGGAGTATGAGAAAGTTGTTGGTTGAAAAAGAATTGATGCTGAGAGGATTGTTGTGAGGAAAAAGGATTGATGAGTTGCCCAAGAGCTATTATTAAAGGATCGATGTATTGATCGAAAGAATAATTTCCCAAAGGAATAGTAGAAGATGCATCCTCTAATTCATTAAAGAAAGTTTCACCATCAATTGTGTAGAGTGTTTGGTTAATAGAGTGTTCTAATATACATTTGCGCTCTGCTGGCTCGTTTTTTGGTTTAAAAGGATTGAACATGATGTTTTGCTATGAAATAATACTAGAAAGAGTAGTAATATTATCAAATTATTTCTATCTACAATAAAAACCAATATTTTGATGATGATTCCCTAAATGTTATTGAGGTAGTGTTGATAATTATCAATTTAATCAAATTGTTTGACTCCTCTCAATATAAACAAGTTGTTGTCCAAGTTTAATAACCAACAATTATCAACTGCGCGATGAAGAGAGAGAATTGATGTTTGCGGGATTTGATGAGTTTGATTGGCAAATATTTTTTCAAAACATTAACTGGAGTTTATGCAGCACACAAGTAATTTTGCGCAAGCGACCACATGCGCGACACATCTCAAAAAAAAGCTTTTTTTCTCTGGCGATAGAATATCGCGTATTTTCTCAAATCTATCGATGGAAATAAGAAAATTTTGTATTTAAATTGTTTTGCTAGGATATAACAGGTCCATTGCTGATGACAAATATTACAAGATAATATATTACCAAGTATCTAGATCCTTAGCTTCCTAGATTGTTGTGGTTAAAATTTTGTTTGAACTTATGAAAAAAATGTCTGAAACTCCTGCTTCCATGATTGGTGTCAAAATCACCAGCAGTATTTACATGGCAAACCATCATTCCGTGGCTGTTGTTGGCTTGTCAGAAATTGATAGTACATTAGCTAAGAATTTAAAGGAACACTCCATCACTCATGTCCTTTCTTTGGTTCATGATAAACCAATAGTAAATGAACAAACACCAAATAGTAATAATACTAAAAAACAACATGATATTATTCATTGTCTTCTCTCGTATGGAAGTATTGTTGGCTCTTTGGAAACAACAGAATCTGTGCCTGATTTTATGGAAGGCTGTTTAAATTTTCTTGTTCAAGCCTTCAAGTGTAAAACCGATGATAAACCATTTGGAATTTTAATAAGAACTGACTATGAGACTGATTATAGCCCTTGTGTAGTTGCTTTGGCTTTTTACTTAACCGAGGAGAAGAAGCTAACAATTGAAAAGAGTATTGAATTTATTCATGAAAGATTGAGACCTGAAAATCTTGAGGAAAGTCTTCATGATTGGCTTTCTCCAATCTTTGTTGAACAATTGAGATTTTACATTAACGAAAAGAAGGAAGCCAATGCCGAATACTATTGTCAAATTTGTAGATTGAAATTATTCTCAACAGGTGAATTGATTGAACATTCTCCTTCGGAGAAGAGAGGACTCAAAGATTTTGAATATAAGAAATTGAGAAAGGATGCCAAGAGAGGAGTTTCAAAGACTTCAAAGAATTGTACTTCTCTCTATTTGGGAGAAAAGATAGATTGGATGGGTTCAATGGATGGCGATGAAGGAAGAATTTTCTGTAAATGTGGACACAGAGTTGGAGCTTACAAGTGGAGTGGATCTCAATGTTCTTGTGGTATTTGGGTTTCTCCATCCATTCAAATTCAAATGTCTCGAGTTGATAAGAAATGAAAATTCTAATTTATTGTACAATAAGGCGTTCACTGCTTGATGATGGTTTCCAAGATATTGATCTTTTTTGAATTCTGATAATTGAACAATTGACAATGACGAGAATGACTATTTTCCTAACTTTCCAGTTCTTATTAGGCCACCATCACTTCAGACTTAATAAATTTGAAGTAGTAAAGGAGTGTGTTTAGGATAAGAATGTTGAGAGAAATATTGAAAATTGTAAAAAGTATTATTTCTTGGAAATTCTATTGATTTGGGGTGGTGGTACAAGAGTCGTGTTGATATTATTAGGAATAATAAATGGTCTTGGAGGAGCCATGGAACCAACAAGCCTTGGAATATTCTTGATTGGATTTGGTGAGTAAGCAACACAATTTCCTTGAGTGATTTGTGTCTTGAAATTTGACATATCATCGACTAGATAAACATCCTTCTGACATACTTCGCAAAACTTCCTATCATTGTGAGAGAACATTGTGTTCAAAGTGTCATATTCCAGTGGACATTTGTAAATCCATTCACAATTTTCAATGTATTGCTGATCTTCTACTGTTTTGGTGAATTGTGGAGTTTCAATTTTAATGTGTTGTGGTTTCCCAAGGTTTATGTATTGAATTCTTCTCCTCAAAACGTGTAAATAATTTTTAACATTCAGCTTTTCACCAAATTTGGGGAAATAATGAAAAACTAAAGGTTTCCAAATCAAAGTTTGAATTCTTTCAAAATCCATTATTTCATCTGTTTCATATTCAACATTCTTTGATTGTTTATCCTTCAAATTTCTATTAAAAAATAGGTTAAATGTATTCGAATCTGCCTGAGCGAAACTATTCAAATCCTTCAACTCTAAAAACTGCCCATAAACAGCAATCTCCTCAAGAAAGATATTAGAAAGTGGCTCTCTAATACCAACACTTTTTTTATCTGATTCAGTAGTATGTTCGATTTTCTTTCAAAATCTTGATGGATAGTAAATGTTACTCAACCTGTCACTTATCAACAAGAATTACTATAATAAAAAAGGAAGAACTTTACAGAACATGAAAAATTACATGATGGAATTTTCAACCAGGTGGAGGTGGTGGTAATGGTGGAGGAATAGGTGGTGCAATATATCCCAACATTACTGGTATCATTGGTTTAGTTGAGTAAGCAACACAATTTCCTTTCATTAAGTTGGATTTCATTTCAATCATGTTATGAACCAAATGCACCTCTCTATTACAAACATTACAATGAGAAAGATTTAATTCTTGTGGATCAGCTTTTAGAGATTTGAATGACAGCGGGCATTTGTAAATCCATTCACAATTTTCAATAAATTTCTGATCTTCAACTGTTTTGGCAAAGGATGGAGTGGGAATTTGGAATGAGTGAGATGATTTGTTTTTGTGGATTTTAATGTGCCTTAATCTACGTTGTAAAACATGAATCCAATTTTTTACATTTAACTGTTTTCCAAAATTGGGAAAATGACGAAAAACAAGAGGTTTCCAAATTAATTATTGAATCCTTTCAAAATCTGAATTTTCGTCCAATACATAATTGATAGGTTTTGTTTCATTAACTTGTCTATTAAATAATAATTTCAATAAATTCGAGTCAACTCGAGCAAAAGAATTTAAATTTTTCAAATCCAAATATTCAGCAATATGAATTGAAATTTCATCAAGAAAAAGATCAGAAGATGTCTTGACAATAATACATGTAGAATTAGATTTCTTGATGGTAGTACTTTCCACTACTGTTTCCGATGTGGAAATTAAACTTTCCGATATCGACTTTGAAACAACTTGTGAAATATCATCCGCAGCTTCTTGTTGGTTATTCCTACTAGGTGATTGTTTCATCCAACCAATCAATCGAGGCATTTTTTTGTAAAAAGATTGTATCAATTTGATCCCAACTGTAAATAATTTACAACTACAGTAATATAAAATGTTCACACTTCATGTTCGAAGGAAGAATTTCATTGATCTTACTTGGTGTGTTTTTGTATGTCTAAGACAATGGAGAATGGAGAATGGAGAATAGGAAGAGAAATAAGAGTCACAAAACAAGTTTGTTGGTGATGACGATATTGGTGTGTGGATATTAAGTAACGGAGTTATAAGGGATTTTGAGCATGTACTTAATTGTTTGTCCACTCTATCCCATGTTGAGATCAAGGGAATCTTTCTCAGAAAGGAAGTTGCTGCGTGGCCTTCTTCGAAACCAACCTGGAACAGTCCAATGTGGTGCAATGTTGATTTCATTCCACAAAAAAAACATCATACAGGTCATAATGCAAATCGTCTTTTGCGTGTTAGGACTTGTGTTTAGTTCGTTTCACTTCTTTGAATTAGAAGATATTGAGATTAGTCTACAATCAGATACAACATCATGGTGTATTAATGGTTGGGAATGTGAATGTTGTTTAGAGAGAGGCCATGAGGACTTTCGATTGCTTGATATACACCTTCAATACATGATGAAAATCGACAGCTTTCTTACAGAAAGCATTCGAGAATTGATTGAAATCGTTATGAGGTGATCCTTTCGAATAGTTTCAAGTCAGAATTGTATGTTTACTCATACATTTCTGAAACGGCTTTAAGCATTAGAGATAGTTTGCAATAAATTTCCAATTTAGTCAGAGGAGTAATTGGGAAAGCAGAAGTTGGATTTCAAAATGAGTCCTACCGAGAACATCCAATTAACAGAATCTGAAATTGGATATCTTTAATCCTTCCGAATGGAATACGTGTCTTTTGAATACGGAATAAAGATATTGTCGTGATCTCCATTGTTATAGAATTCATTGAAGACAATTTTTAATTGAAAAGAATCCAGTAATTAATTTGCCTCAATAAACAGGATTCAATTCTATCCTATAGAATAAAGGTTGTAATATATTTCTAGTTATCATATTTTGGTTGACTGTCTATCACTAATCACTAGAGTTCATTAAAAGTGATTTTATGTACAATTTTAATTTACAAAATAAATTATTCTTCCTTTTGCTTGGCTCCAGTAATCTTTCCAATAATAATTTTAGAGATGGCAATCCACCACAAACATTGAACTCCATAATAAAGAATTGGGAAAACAAAGGATGAAATGAGTGCAGTGCTGTCAACTTGTAATACTGGGAAGAGAACAGATCTGTGGAATTGTGACCAAAACACAAAATACATCAATACGCCATTGTAAAGAATTCTTGAAACAAAGAATGTGACTACAAAGCAAGCTTGATTCAAGTGATACCACCATTTGCTGGTTTGTTCCCACTGTCTAGCATAATATCTCACATGTAAGAATGGTGTACTAATTTCATTAATCTCGAATGAAATGATCAAAAAGCTTCCAACATTGATCGAGAAGAAGTAAACGTAAGCCAAGCAACTGATATAGTGATGAAGCAAATCCAAACTGAATGCTTGCTTAATCATGACACCAAGAACATGTGAAAGGGAATTTTGATCGTTCGGAGAGAATGGATGAAAGTGATTGAAAAAGTAAAATGTCAAATCAGCAATAAAGTATCCCAATGTAATTGCCAAGAACCAATGTCTAGTTTTGAAAATCTCCAAATCGAATGGTTGATTGTATGCATTTTGCAATGCAAAATTCAACAAATCCATTCCATAAATATGAATAGTACAATAATATGATCCAACAGTTGCAATAATGGCATGAGCAAAGCTTAGGGCAACTTGACTGTGATGTGCCTTTTCGTATGGTGTAACACTCTTTTGAAAATATTCAACATAACTCTTTCCAAGCAACTTTAACAAGCTCGGAACAATAATCATTCTCAACACCAAATAAGATATTGTGAAAGCAATATATGAATACAAAGTTGTCCTAATATAAATATCATAAACATCAGTATGAATTTCAAGTTCTGGTTTAATCATGGCAATCAGCTTGGTTCTTTCCTCTGGAATGGAAAAGAAGGATTCCTTTTCTCTTCCCTCAAAAAGTAGAGCCACACTATGATTTAGAACCTTGTAATGATCATGATGATGCCCATGTGGATGAATAAACTCTCCTCCACTCTGTGCCATCACTCCTCCGATCATTGCCATCATCAAACAACAAATAATTCCCAAATAATAATAATTAATATTATTAAAAAACCTTCTTATTCTGAAACGATTCAACATGTTTCTCACTCTATATTTATGTATATTATGTACAATAACCGATCTATATATATTTTAAATAATTTAAAAAACAACAATAACAATGAAAATAACAAGAATAAAGGGAAATCCTAGAAACACAATCCCTCCTCAGATGCAGATCTTCCTCGATGTAAATCTCTTGTCGGAGATGAAACTCTATTTTTTTAAGATGATAAATCAAAGTCGTGCATGAAATGATGATCGCTGTACAATGTATTAATAGTTTAAAATTGAAGATTTTTGGAAGTGTCTTTACAATGGAAGTTCTTGAAATGGACGGTAAATCAAAGGTTTGTTGGTTGTTCCTTATTGTGGGATGAAATTCTAGATTGAGGTAGTTCCAAATTGAGGATGAATGGTAAAATTTGAGGATTTTCATTAAGGTTTTACAATAAATTCTGAGAGATCTTTCAAATCTTTTAGAATTGTTGTATCTGAATGCTATTCATGTTATCAATTGTTATGAATTCCGATCTCATCTAAACTTTACAAAATGAAATAATTAAAAATAATAAAAATAATTCGTGATGAGCTAAAAAAAGACTTTGACAACATTTTAAAAAATATGAGTAATAATCACCACCAAAATCCATACTACAACAATAATTCTTCTGGTGGTTCGGGTCGTCCTCCACATCACCATCATCCACAACAACAACAACAGCAACAATATGGCTATGTAGGAGCTCAAGGAGGCAATAATTATTACTACAATCCAAATCCTCCACCACCACAACAGCATGTTCGTGATTTTGAGCAAGCTTACGGAGGCCATTATACACCACCTGCTGCAAGACCTTCACCCCAGATGGGTCATTATGGAAATGTAAATAATCATCCTCCTCCACCTCAACAATATGGTGGTTATTATGCTCCTCCACGGGATAATCAATATTCTAGTAGGGATAATAATCAATATTATCAACAACCATCGAGTAATAGTTATAGTAATAGATCCTATCATGATAATTATTCACGTTCATCAGATAGAAATGATAGGAATGATAGAAACGATAATAGAAAGAGACGTGATTACGACAATAGAAATGATAATAGAAATGAAAATAGAAATGATTATAGACCACGTAATGATCGTAATGATCGTTCTAATAGTAATAATTATGATAGATCAAAGAATAGAAAATACAATAACAACAACCAATCATCATATAACAAGGCCATTCCTCAAGGATTAGATTCCAACACTTTAAATATTAAAGCTCATGATGACAAGGTTCCTCTCAGAAATAATATTCCGATTTGGAATTTTTCTCATCAATATACTGACACGGATATGAAATCTAATGGTGATGAGCAACGTAAACGATTCTTTGAAACAGCTGAGAAGGAAGGTACCAGTAATGCTCCTTTTGCATCCTTTATTGAATATCATAGATTCAAAAAAATCAAAGAGTTGAGAAATCTCTATGAGGATGATGTGAAAGAATTACTTTTTGGTTTGGAAGCACCTAAAGAATCTCTGAATAGATGGCTCTTTGAACAATTATCCTCTGTTAACAATCAACTAGTTGATGAAAATGGAACAGCAGTTGTGGAAAAGCAATCAACACATGATTCACTCTTAAAGAGACCTGAATTTGCCATTGAAAGTCCTGTTTTAAAGGCAGAAATCTATTCTGAAATTCCAAGTAGACTCAGATGCAGAGGAATTGCTCAAGCCTCAAAATCTCTTGACAGCTATTATATGAATGGATTGGATTGGTTACAAAAAATCAAGAGGTTCTTTGCAGAATTAGATACAACAAATGATACTGGAAGAGAAATTTGTGAAAAGATTGGACAAGAATTGAAAGAATTGAAAGAATTTTTGGATCAAAATTCTAGGCATAAATTTGACTTGGCAACCCTTGAGCAAAAGCAAAAGGACTTGACAAGCAATTGTACATCACTCTTCAAGGATGCCCTTAAGGAACGAGTAGATGAGGTTTGTGCTCGTCTCGTTGAACATTCCAAGAAGATTACACAAGAATTGGATGAACTCATCTCAACTAGGAAACCACTCTCTGAAAGTGAATGGTTAATTAAATTAGAATATATTGAGAATGATTCTGAACCACTCTGTATAGTAGAATTGTATAGTGAAGGAACTGTTGTTGATTCATTTAAATTGAACTTGGTACATTTTAACAAGTTGAGATTGCTCTATCAAAAGCACAATCAAGAAATTGATCCAGATTTAAAGATTTTCCCATATAGACTCTATGCATTATTGAGAAGATATCAAACCTTTTTTGGTGATTCTGAGAGTGAAGAAGGTGCAAATTTCCATGCAGCTTTACCTGAGAAGGGATTTGAATTTCTCTATAAGGAATTCAATGTTTGTCACGAATGCTTTGCTTCCCCAATTAATTGTTACTTTAGCTCATTTTGCAGTGCTTTCCCTGATACGGATGTTTATTTTGGATCGAGAGGATCATTCTTTGAATTTAGACCTACTCAAGGTTTCTTTGAATGTGGACCTCCATATACACTGGAAGTCATGAACAAGACTGCAGAATACTGCTTACAATTATTGAAAGCCTCAGACGAACCTCTTTCTTTTGCAGTATTCGTACCAGAGTGGACTGATACAGAGTATGGCAGAATGCTTCATCCAGATTCGACACCACTCTGTACGGGTCACTTATTAGCCGAGCAAGGAAAACACGAATATGTCATTGGTATGCAACACTTTAAAGAGAATGAGAAACGTTATTGGACTCTGCCATTCCCAACTCATGTCTACTTTTTACAAAATGAAAAGGGAAAGGAAAAATGGCCAATTACACCTCAACTCATTGAAAGATACAAGAAGGTTATGGAAATTAGTCAATAAAATTTTGGATGAGTTTGAAAGAAATATACGAAAGTAGAGGAAGTCGGCTTTGTGATTTATTGAATAATCTTCTTGAGATGCTTAATGCATTCCAAGAAAGAAGCAATACGCGTAACCCACACAAGCTCTAATGACGACAAATCCGCAACCAATCATCGGTATTGGCGCTCTAAGAATAACTTCAGTTACAACAAGAAGAAAAAGAATGCACCAACAACAACAACAGCCATCATCATCCTCTTCACTATTACCACGACTATCCATGATTGGAGAGCCTCAAGATTTTTCCTACTTTCAATCTCTTCAGTATCCAACAACATCCCCACTAACAACTTCATCTTCCTTATCGGGATTGATGCAAAGTGGGCATAGCCAAAATCCAATGTATAATCATACAAATTATCCAACCAATAATGCATCTATTAGTACGAATAATCATAATCATAGTGGTGGTAGTAATTACAGTAATAATAATGAGCAACAACGTATTGGAGCAAATACTGTCAATGATAATGAACATGAAACAGCAACAACTGATACTTCTCCCAACTTTCACCCAATTGCTTGTGAACAATGTCGCAAAGTTCACAAGTTTTGTAGTATGTTTCTATCTTTTACTTATTATAGTTATATAACTGATATGTGTTAATGTGACATGGTGTTATTTTTTTTTCTCTTGAAAATTAACAGCAAAGGTATTACCAATATGTGATAGATGTTCAGAGAAGGGTATTACATGTGAATATAAAACTCCAAAGAGAATGAGATATCACAAGAATAATCAACAGCAAAAAACAAAGAAATCAAAACCTTCCTCAAATGTGTTAAACCAGAAAACTCCTCAAAAACTCTCTAAAAAGGAAGTGATTGAATTTTTCTACTCTCTTCATGAAAATGGAACAATTGATAGGAAAATGTTGGAAGATCACATTTTACAAAGAAGTGACAAGAAGGAAATTCATGCCCTCTTTTATGCTATTAAGGGATTGGTTGAGCAAAGACTTGGAATTTCTACAGCAGAGGCCTCTATTAAGAAATCTAGAGATTTGTTGGCACCATTTTTTGACACTGTTGTTGATAATTTCAATGTTGCATGCACCTATTCGTTACTGGCCTCTTATGAATCTGGATCTGGGAAAAGAAGTTTGTGTAAATTCTATATTGGAGCTGCAAGATGTTACGTTGATGGAAAAAAGGATGAAGAATTGAATCAAAATGAATTGGCATTCAAGAAGGGACTATTCATGATGGATATTTTCCTATCAAATAATGAATTTTGTTTAAGCATGATGGTTAAGGACTTTCCAAAGATTTTTGAATATTTCACCTCTGAGAAGCTTCCACCAGAGATTGCAAAAGCCCTCCAACAGCCAATTACACCAGAAAATTATCATGAACATTTGAGATTATTCGAGGTTGTAGGAACTTTTATTAGAAAACATATGGTTTGCAAAGATAAGGATGAAGAATCAGATGAAACTAAGGCAAGAGCAACTGAATTATTTAAATCCATCATTTCCAATGGTGTGAAAATCAGTCTCTTAACCAAAGCAGGTTATGGCGACTGTCCAACAGTAGAGGAAGCTGCTTTAAAGATCACACTCCTCACAGAACAAGACTTGTTTTCCTACTTTTCAGTGGTTGTACTGACCTACATTGCTATGGCTGCCAGAGTTCATTTGAGAATTGTTAACAAAATTGAACAGGGTCTCCGTCAGAATTTATTAACAGGAGTTACTCTTGATAATGCCATAGTTCCAATTGATTATTATCAAATTCTAGAAAAGGATTATACGGCTCTCAAATCAATGGGAAAGAAATACAAGAGAGTGGAAGTGGATTACAATTCGATAATAACAGAAATTGAGGAAATTCTCCACAAGAGACAGGAAAATACTTTGAAAACCACACCAACCAACAATTCAAGTTGTTTAGAGAGTCCAACAACTAATTGCGATTCAGATAATTTTGATCCATTCCTTTCCAATGAAGACATGTTACAAATGTTCCTTCAGGGTGCCTCCTTTCAATTCTAAACATTCAAATTCATACCACTTTGTAAATAGACATTTTATTTAAAAAGATCCTATTCCTATCCATGAAACGAACAACGTTTCATGAGTTATTGTAAACATTTGGAATTTCAATTTAAAAATTCTTTTAAAAAAATGCAAATGCGAATTCTCGTAATTTTACTGTTATTTTTCCTTCTCGGAGGAATTTTCGTTCATCAAGCAAGTGCTGAAACCGATCATTCCGAAAGTAATTCTCTGTTTGATATTTAGAGATTCTTGTTCAGAAGGTGGTTCAGCACTAAACCAAGAGAATTTGAAACAATCAAACAAGAAGAGGAAATAGTAGTAGAATCTACTGGTGATTCATCAAAGACAGAAGTAAAACAAGAGGAATCTAGCACAGAAATCACAATTCACCCAAAATATTCTGACAGAATGAATTTTAAAAGGAGTACCTCTTGTGAATTCAAAACAACAAGGAAATCAAATCTTCTTCTTAGTGCAGCAGCTGGAACCACAATTGTCTCTGCAGCCACTCTTTCATTTCTTCCAACTATTGTGGGATGGGCTGGGTTTACCAAAGCAGGAATTTCTGCTGGCAGCGTTGGTGCTAAACTAATGGCGATGAGTGCTGTTGCAAATGGTTAAGGAGTCGCTGCTGGATCATTGGTTTCCGGTTTACAAGTGATTGGAGCTACAGGTGCAATTATGAGTGCACCAGTATTGGGAACAGTTGCAGTTACTGTTGGATTGGGAAGTGGAATTTACTATTTATATCAAACCTCAACATATTCCAGTACTCAATGTAATTGTAATGAAAAATGTGGAAATGAATAAGAAAAGTTACTTTATCATCCAATCATATAATAAACAACAGATTGAAATTAATCGAGCAGACTATTATAATTCATTTGGATTAGTTTCTTACACTTCCGCTAGCTCAAGAAAGATTGATATGTAAATATTTGCACTACACCTTCACATGTCTAAAAGTAATGTTAATTCTCTGTTTTGAAATGTTTTTTCTCTTTGGTAGACAATGTTTGTAGTAAAACTGTGTATTCCAATTCATAATTATCATTGAACCATTTGGCAGATATTTTGTAATGATAGATTTGTCAGAATTTTTCTGTTTGCCTTCTGATGGTTTAAATTGGAATGGTCTTGTTTCTCCAAGTGTCAAGGAAACTATGGAAGAATTTTCGACCAAATCTTTTGTTTTATCTGAATGCCAGCCAATATAGTCATTGCCATTATCGTACACATTTACAAGAGCATAATTAAAAACCTCACCTGTCTTTTCTTGAATCAAGGTTTTCAATTTGAGCAATTCAGGAAACCAAGGTATTGACGATCTCTGCATTCCAGAATAAGAGTATACAATATTCGAATCTGAATAGGATAGAGTTTTTCTTGGAGCTTCAATATGTTTTCCATGAATTACCAATTGATCCTTTGTAAACAAATCCATCGATTCATTAAACTTCTTAAACAGAATTGATGCAAAGTGAGCATGCAAGAATCTCTCAAAGTATTGAACCTGAACCCCAATGCTAGCCTCCTTAATAATATAGGAAGGTTTCGAAACCAATGGATGAATTACAAGATTAATAGGAATATTAAGTACAACATTAGAATTCATCACTGTAGATTGATTCTTTTCCCTTGTTTCATCAACCATTGAAATAATTATTACTATTATTAATCAGTGCATTTTCTTTCTCCTCTACTTCTTCTTCTTCAATAACTTTAATCGTCACGGAAGGCTTTTTTATGATTCGGAGTCTACTAGTGCTATTATTCGATTTTTGTGAATTGGATGATGAGGAAGATTGTACTACCACTGATTCAGTTGCACGGATTGAATGGATAGTTGAATTGGTCATGATGGATCCTCCTCCTCCTCGTGGAGGAAGTAAAGATTTACCTCTCAATATTGGTGGAGATTGTTGCTTTGGTTCTTCTAAATCTTGTTTGCTGCTGCTGATTTCATCAAAGGTTCGTTTTTTCATTTTTTTTTGTTTTTTTGGAGTTCGAGATGGCACAAGAATTTTATTTTGTTGTTGAATTTTCTCCATAAAATGTGTCAATATGAAATGTTTGTTGGAAACTTTATTGAAAATGACAGTGGAGAAATTTATTTATTGAACTTTTGAGGAATTTACATAATGTTGATTTTGTGATATCATTGTAAAAACAACTTGTCAACCATGAGTTTCAAAAGTTCATCATTGTTTCTTTTCATCAAAAAAAAATGTGTGGAAGTGTACCTTCTGGTCCTGTTCTGATCCTTCTTTTCCCGCTCATCTTGGGTGGCTCTGCATACAATTTCATTCATAGTACCTTCTCCTCGATGGATAGTAAAATTAGAGAAAACAATCAAAAGATTGATTCCAACTGGAAGATTAAAAGAAGAGAATTGAAGGAGAAGATTTTATATAGAAAGCAAGATAAGGCCGAGAAGATGTTGAATAACAAGATGAAAATTGTTGATGGTGACGATGCGAAATTAATTACAGCCGATGAAAAGAATGAAAATTCAGCAATAGAAAATTCAGCACCAATGGAAAACTCATCAGATCCAAAAGTTGTATTATCATCTGAAGATGCAATTTTATACTTGCAAAGAACTTTGGTGAGATGTGCCTCTAATAAGTATGAAAAGGCAATGAACGATCTCAAATTTGCTATCTATTTGGATTACACGCTGAAAGAGACCTATATTGTCAAATATTTGGAAGGGTTTCTTCTCTATGTGACTGGAGATTATTTGGAATCTGCTCATGCATTCAAAAAGGCAATAGAGTTGAAAGAAGCCAACGATAGCAAATCCAATGAGGTGGAGAAGAAGGTTTTTGAAATTCAAAATGTTATGAAACATACTGCTGAGAAGGTGATGGAGAATTTGAATGAATTTCATGAACAAACCAAATCCTATTTCAAACATGCTGGAAACTTGATAAAGAGCAAGTTGGGGAAACAAGTACAGGAAGTCACTGCTCCCCAGGAAGAACAGACAGAGAAGGTTAAAATTCCTTCCTCAATAATATCTCTTGAAGAGCTATATTTCAGAGCTGGAATTTCATATTATTTTTCAACCTATTACAGAGATTCTATTGAATGTTACAATAAGGCTATTGAAATTGGAAAGGATCATCCAAATTTGGGCCATTATATTTATAATAGAGGACTTTCATACTATTATTCACATGAAGTTGATTTGGCATTGGATGATTTTTTACAATCAATGAGTATTATTAATAGTGATGAATGTGCTAAAATGATTGCCTATGTCTATGGAAGAAAAGACATGAAAAAGGAACGTGATGTATATATTCAAAAAGCCAAAGCTCTCAATCCTAATACTAAAATAATTTCAGCATTTAGTTACCGCCTATTGGATGATAACTCTACAGAATTAATATTTTCATTCCTACCTGTCTATAATAGAATGCTCATTTCAAGAACTTGTAAATATTGGAGAGAAATTGCCATGAAAAGTGTGGTCAATGATGACATTCTTGAAATTTCATTTAGAAATTTAATTAATAATGCTGACAGACAGTTAGAGAAACACAATCACACATCATCATTGAAAGAAAAATTATTCATGCCAAGCCATGAAAGAGTTAATGGTATGCAAATACTTGGCCACACTTTGAACTCTTCCTTTTTCAATTATTATTTGAAAAAACCTGGAAAAAGAACAGTTTATTACATGATGCAACCTCTAACCTATGGCTCTGAACATTTCTATATTGAAAATAGAGATGTTGAGAAGGCATTACTGACTGATGTAGAATCTATAAATACGAGTCATGGTGCTATTAGTGGGAGGGTGATTAGAAATCTAGCAAAAAGATCACCCAATCTCAAAGAATTAATTATAAGAACGAATACATATGCACAAAATGATATGGATATTGTAAAATCAATCAAGAAATTCAGACAGCTCAAAAAGCTAGTGTGGCATTTTAATTTTAGTGATAGTTCTGATTTTGTTCAAGATATTTATCCAAAGTTAGATTTGCCACCAAGTTTAGAGTATTTTGAGTATGATTCGAATAATAGTGAATTATTTTCGAAATACATAATTCCCCACCATCCAAGAATCAAATTTGTTCCAAAAGATAATACATTAGAAGTGGCTCAATCCTATCGTGAAGTAATTACTGAAAATTGAATTGTACCCGATAAATCTCAAATGTAAATATCTGTCCGTCAACAATAATCCTTAAGTTAAATCTTTTCTTTCTGTTGTTAAAAAAGGTGTAGGAAGACAGGGAATCGAACCCTGATCTTAGGAACCACAATCCCATGTTCTACCACTGAACTATCTCCCTTCTCTAATTGATGTAAATTAGTTTATTTTATAATCAGTACAAGTTAAAGTTAATAATGAAAAACGAGATCTGTTTAATTATGATTTAGACATAACATTTTTTTTGAGAATTTCACTCATTGTGATAGATAAGTTAAGCAATTTAGAAATATTAATAGTTCACTAACATTATTTTGATAATATGATTGGCTACGGCCATATCACGATGAATGCACCTCATCCCGTCCGATTTGAGAAGTTAAGCATCGTCGAACCACATCAGTACTGAGGTTGGAGACAACTTGGGAACCTGTGGTGCTGTAGTCTTGTATCTTTTTGTGTGGAATAGAGAACTGGTAATAAAATTCAAAATAAAAGCTAACAAATTCATTTTATCAATGATTGAAAGAGAGTGAATCTAAACTTTGTGGATTGGGGTTTGAATAACAATTGCTTTATCTTTTATGCTTTTAGAATATTTGGCTTTGAGAGGAATTTTCAAAAGTGGTAACTTGGAGTCATGTTTGAAAAATTGTGACTTTTCTATTAAGGAAGAATGTTTGGAAATGCATTTATTCTCCTCTATTGGAAATGGTTTTGTACCTCACAATTTGAGTCAATTTGCTAAAGAAATTACCAATTCTAGATTATTTGTTGGAATTCAGCAACATATTGTTCCTTATAGTATGAGAAGATCTGGAGCTACATGGGCTGCTGTGCAAATCATGATCCAACACCAAAGTTTAAAGGTTGACGAGTTTGAACTAATCATTCGTTGGTATGGATGGAAGTTAACACCAGGTAACAATGTCTATCGTCGTTATGTTGACAAGAAAATCCTACATTTAATTGACCCTAACAGTATACTCATGGGTATTAAAACTGCTGAAGATAATGACTACACAGAGGAGAAATTTATCAATGTATTGAGAGAAGAACCTCCATTGGATAATGTAACAAGTGACTCATTCTTTAGAAGAATCAAGTTTCATTTGCCTACCTATATTTACGATTCAATTGTTCAATATAGCTCTACTGATGAAAATATTCTATTTGGAAAGGTATTTACATCCTTTTTGAACAAGTGGATTGATGCCAAGTCAGAGCAATTAGGATTTGACATGGAAATATCCACCAATGATAGATTAGTAATGATCTATAGATTGTTTGTACATTTTGATAGACAAAAATCACTCGATTTGTACAAGGAGCTCACTTGTTACAAGGAGGATGTTAAACAAGATGAAGGAATTGTCAAACAAGATGAAGGAACTCTCCTCACCTCTACAGAATCATCTATTACACCAGCACAGCCTCTCATGTTGAATAACATGACAATCCAAGACTTGATTGCTGCCATTCAATTGGGTGTTCAAAATGCTCTACCAACTACACCTAAGGCAATCAATGGTAATAGTAGTGAATTGGCAAGCAATCCAACAAGAAATGCTGATATGAAATTGGAAAAGATTGCCCAGTCCCAATATCCATTGCCAAGAAAAGTCAATGGTGATGAAATTACTGCAAATGAATTTTGGGAGAAGCTTACTCCATTAGCTCCTTATAAGAATAAGAATCCAATCATTACTAAAAGAAGAATTATGGATTCAACTTGGAAAATAGTTAAAGCTAACACACCAAATCCAATGTACAAGGAATGTCCTGAGCTTTTAGAAAAGATTAGAGGCAATATTGAATATGGTGAATGCTTGAATTGGTTACTTGGACAAGAAGAAGGTTTTTACGATACCAAATCACCAACAATTATTGATTTTCCAGATTGTTGTTACATTTCTGATCACATTGCAAGAATTGGTAACATGATTCCCAGATATACAGGAGGCTATCGTGTCATTGTAGAGTGTTGGAAAATTTTGAAAATTGTTCGGTTAGAGTCTGAAAAGTTTTTCAGAATTGATTTTGGCTTGTTGAAAACCGAAGTTAAATTATTTAAAGCCAAAGGTGCCATAGATACTAGTGTTGATCACTCATTCATTCCATCTGGTTCAAATAGAAGAAGTATCAAAATTGAGCCCACCATGATCACTGAGCAAAATTATGGCTCTGCTGACAGAAACAGTTTGGTTAAATATTTGAGAAACAAATTGGGTTCTCTCTCTACCAAAGATATCAATTTGTTAAAGATTGCAAACATGCTTTCATTGACTCGCTCATTGTTGAAACCAAATGCAAACACAGTCTCTATCAAGCAAGAATTTCACAAACTGGTCAGTGAAAATAGGAATGAAAAGAACAAGAGGAAAAGAGAAGAAGAGGAAGAGAGTGACTAATCCAATAAAAACAAATAATATTTGAGATTTTAAAATCATTGTCAACTGTCAATATTCATACTTTATTAATCCTAGCAATTTTAAATTATCTCAGCATGCTACCCAATTTCACTAATTCCAACAATAATTTAATAATATTGAAATAAAAATTAAATAACATTAAATAAAAATTAAATAAAAATTAAAATTAACAAATTTATAATACAATTTATGCTTCTTCGCACCACTTGTTTTCTTCTCTAATTTTGGCTTCCTCTTCTGGGGTGAAATCATTTTCAATACCGAACATTTCTCTAATTTGTTCTGGTGACTTGCCCTTGATCATGGAGGCAACCTTAGCACAGGTCAAATCCAAAAGATCCTTAATATTCAAATAGTTGGCAGCCATGATAAGTTCAATCAAGAGAGATTGATCAATTTCCAAGAACTTCTTGTCCCAATCACAGATAACATCTTCAATCTTACCCTTCAATGGCTTTTCAATTTCTTGGGCTGGTTCCTTGTGGTGATATTGACAATATTCAATAACCTTTTGCAATGGCTTGGAATCAACGTTTGGAATTGGGATGATTGGTGTTTCATCTTCATCACCTTCTTCTAACATATCCTTAACGAGACCGGACATCAAGATGACATCTCTATCAACCTTGAAGGAAACTTTATCCTTGGATGTTAATTCGACTTGCTTGGTTTCAGACATTTTGTTGTATTATTATTGTTGTTGTGTTTTTTTTTAAAATGATAGTAGATGCACGAGTTTTATAACAATATCGCTGCTGAACATTTTGAAGGCTTCACTTTCCAGCATCGCCTCGATAATGGCTCACGGCGGTTGTTGGTTCCGTTGTTTGCCAACAGATGAGAAAGTAACAAACACAGCGTGAGAAATTGAACACATGCCGAACAGAATTACAACGTTTATTTAAAAGTGGAAGGTCATTATATGGCGTGTTCCATCTTCTAAAAAGCAACAATTTGGCTGGTGAACTTACAAGAATTAATTGGCGCCACGCAACCCATCACACTTTAATCAAACACGGTCAATCTGAAGAACGGGCCAATCGGCGAGTTGCTCACAAACAATTGGTCTTGTAATCGAGGATGACTAGACATTACAAAGAATACAATGTCATGTAAATTATGAAAAGGATCACAAAGCCACCACATCAATCTACAATTATCTTTTTTGAAGGTTACTCACTACAATATATTACTCAATACACGTTGAGTGATAGGATAATGAAAAAGAAGTTTGTTGAATTGAAACTCTTCATCTATAACCGAATATATATTTGATCAAGATAAAAGATCAAAATTCACACAAACAATACGTAGAACTCAGAGAAACGAAGAAAAGAAAATTTTAATCATCACAATCAAGATGATACTATCATCATGTAATATTGAATACTTTATCAATTAGTATTAAATTAATAAATTGAATTCTACCAAATCCATTCAATGCACATATTTGTCTTTTTCTAATTTTCATCATCCAACCATATAACAACAAAATATCCACACCAATATATTCTACTATTGTTGTACACTCGAAAGTCATCATTCAACAGTAATAAGAATAGGCACAAATTCAACAGGTAACCTTCCATCAATATATTAAACCATCTCCTCTTCCTAACAACTTCATAACAACTCCGAAAGATTTTTTCACTACTTCTCAAGCCATTTGATGATTTATTACTTTTGAAAAAATGAGCTTCCTCGATGATAGTGATGATGAGAGTACAGTTTCATTTGGTGGAGGTATGATCGGTGGTAATCCACTTGCTTCTTCGACGTAAGTGTGTTGTTATTGAATAGAAGTACTATAATAATTTGGATTGTTTTGTCAATTTTGTTATTAACATGTTTTATATTACTTAAATTATTATCGACTTGTTATTGGAAAATTAACATGATTGGATGAATATGATATGAATATAATATTATATTACGGAATATAATCAAAATGTTGATCACGGATTATTTAATAATAACAATATTTGATCATGATTAAATAGTGGAGCAAGATTAGGAACCCTCTTTGGAGGTGGTGATTCCGATTCGACAGATTCCGATTTTAAATTCAAACCTTCTCCTACCAGTAGTAATGGTTCATCTCAAATGCAAAGAAAACTTTCATCTGCTTCCATTAGCTCTACTTCAACAACAAATTCAGCAGTCACTCCTTCTGTTTCTACAGCCAATGTTCAAAATAAGGTTCGTGGTGAGAATGGCACTGTCATTCATGCTCTTGTTGTTGAATTATTCTTATTGTATGTTTATTTCACATAATTTATTTTTTCTAATATTCATCCTATTATGTTTTATTATTATTTATTATCATATATTTTCAAATGTTTCAACATTACTATCAATTATTATTATTATTATTATTATCATATATTTTCAAATATTTCAACTCTATTTCTCTAATTATTTAATTTCAAAACCTCTTAAAAATAATCATTTAATTGCAATAATCATTTTAAAATAGTTCAAATGAAGTAAGACAATATCAACCTTTCGGAAAAGTTGGAGCTGCCATCTTGAATAATCATCCAATTCCAAACTTGATTTTCTATCGTAATCCATCAGATATTGTTCTCCAAGTTCCAATCACTGCTCAACATACTCTATTGACTCTTCAATTGGGTGCTACCTCAAATTTTGCATCTCTTCACGATTTGCACTCTAATAGAATTTTATCCATTGGATTCCAAAATGCTGATGCTGCTACCCATTTTGCCAAAATGGTTTGTGTGGCCAAGTTTATGGGACAACAAACTATGGATGTCACTACTGTTAATTTGAATGAATTGGGAAATAATTCTGGTGCAGTTGATCCAAATGTTGCTGCCTGTAGGGATGGATTGAAAATCTATGTCAAGTACAGTGGTTGGATTGTCGATAATGATCCAAAGAAGGGTTTTTCATTGGGTAAATTATTTGACACTAATGAGAATTCAAATAACTTGTTCGGATTTAAATTTGGAGAATCTGAAGTAATAAGTGGATGGGAACATGCATTGAAAAATGTTCGTCAAGGCGGAAAGAAATTCTGTGTTATTCCTTCTCATTTAGCTTATGGAGAACGTGGTGCTGCCAATGTTATTCCACCAAATTCAATTCTCTGCTTCCAAATTGAAGTTGTTAAAATCAAAAAGATCAAATCTTCTACTACTAGTTCAACAACTGGTTCAATGCCAACCATTATGACTAGCCAACAGCAACAACAACAACAACCAATTGTACAAACAGTTTCTTCTCCTGTAAATTTAAATCAACAACAAGCACAACCAATGGTTGAATCTGATAATTTGAAAGTGAGAATGGCTCGTATTGGGGCTCAATCTTATGGAGTTGTCTTGCCACAACAACAACAACCAGAAGTAGTTGTTCAACAAGCTCAACCAGTTCAACAACAACAACCAGTCTCTACACCTATTGTACAAGAACAACCAGTTTCTACTCCAGTTATTAATACTACTACTGCCACAACTGTTCCAGAGAATACAACTGAAACAAGTACATCTGGTTCTAATAGTGAAATTGAAGCTCTCAAACAACAACTTGCCTCATTGCAATCCTTAATTTCTCAACAACAACCAGCAACAACAACAGTTTCCACTCCAACAACAGCAACTCCAACAACTACTACTACTACTGTTACAACTGCTGTTGAAAAACCAGTTGAAAAACCTATTGTAGAAAAGCCAGCCGAAAAGAAGGCACCATCAAATCAATGGATTGATGATGTTTCTGTACTCTTGTCTAGATTGGATAAAATTGAAAGAAATATTGACAATCTTTCTTTCACACAATTGATCAGAAATACTTCCAAGTTTGGAAATGAACTCGATGAAGAGGAAGATAAGGATCACGAAGGTGATGAAGAAGAAAACTCTGCCGAGAAGGACATTTTGATCAATGGATACCAACTCAAAAAGTTTAAAAAGTCTCACATTTACATGTCTGGTCCTCTCTTGATTGAAAATATACAACACTTGTTAGCTACCAATTCCAAGCTCCAAACTGATCTTCAAAAGGAAAGAGAACAAGTTGACTCTCTCATTGAAAAGATTTCACAACTTCGTAAAAAGCAAGAAAAGTATGCTCAACAACAACTCGAACTCACTCACTTGTCTTTGGAGAGTAGCAACCTTTCTGAAAAGGGAATGTACGAAGAAGAATTGCAAAAGCTCAATGAAACCATTGCCTCTCTCAGAAAGCAATTGGCTGAACAAAAGAGAAAGACCTCCAGAGCTCAAGAACAAGTTCAATCTGAAAAGGAAAATATTGAAAATCTGCAATCAGAAATTGAAGTCTTGAAGAAGGAAATTGAAGAAATCAACAATGAAAACAAAAAGAAGAAAAACAGGACTGAAGCTGATCATAAAGAAAAGATTGCTTCCTTGGAAGAGGAATGGCAAGAAAAGCTTCAAAAATTGGAAAATGAACATAACCTTGCTCTTCAAAAACTCAAGAGAGAACAAAAGCAAGAAATTGAAAGAATCAAAACTGAAGCAAGCCAAGATTTGGAAAGAAACTTGAAGAGTTCTGAAAGTGGAGCTGAAACTTTGAGAGAAAGCATTGAAAAATTGTGGAAGGAAAAGATGAAGAATCTCGAAGAACAAACAACAGAAGAAATTGAAGGATTGAAGCAATCTGTTGCCAATCTATCAGCATCCAACTCTTCTCAAACCACTCAAATTGCCAGACTCACTCAAGAACTTGAAGCCAAGACTGAAGAAGTTTCTGATTTGGAAAGCACCAACGTCTCCAATCTTCAAAAGATGCGTGAAAAGTTCCTTGAAGCTTTGAATACCAAGTCTGATAATGTTAGAACTCTTTTCAAGACTGTCTTTAGAAATCTCATCAATAAGGTCTATCGTACCTTCTCTACTGGTATTAATGGTAAGAAACTTTCTCATGCCAAGGTTTCTTCCTTCTTGGGACAAATTGTTAAAAAGTTCAGTTTGAAGGTTATGAGTCTCATTACTGAAGAATTCAGTGGTTTGGACTTGTTGAACATTGATCCAAATGTCTATATTGATTATGATGAAGATGAAGAGGAAGAAATTGATGAGGATGTTTCCAGAAGAAGATCATTGATTCTTCTCGATTTGGAAGAAGATGAAGCTGAAGATTTGGAATTGGAGGAAGATGAAGAGGAAGAAGAAGAACCAAAAGAAGAAGTTTCCAAGGCTGCTTTGGAAGCTGTTATTCGTCAAGAATTAGAAAGTGAATGGAATGTCAAACTTGATGACCTCAAATCAGAATTCGATATTTCATTGAAGGAAGAAATTGCCAAGTACGAATCTCAAATCGAGTCTTTGAAGGAAGAAGTTGCTTTGGCCAAGACTCAAACTCCTGTCGTTATTCAACAAGCTGCTGCTGAACCAGAAGTTGTTACCACTCCAAATACTTTGGAAGAAGAACCAGAAGAAGCCATTGTTGAAGAACAAACCAAGGATGAACCAATTGTTGTTGAACAACCAACACAAGAAGAACCTGTTGAACAAGCTCCAGTTGTTGTTGAAGAACAAGAACAAGAAGAACCTGAAGCTGCTGAAGAAGAACAAGTTGAGCCAGAAACTCAAGTTGTTACAACAGAGCCAGAAAGTGTTGTTGTTGAAGAGGAACAACAAGAAGAACCAACTCAAGTTGTTGAAGAAGAACCTGCTGTTGAAATAGTTCCAGAAGTTGTTCAAGAGGAGCCATCACAAGAAGAACCTGCTCAAGTTGTTGAAGAACCTGTTGCTATCGAAACTGTTCCAGAATCTACTGAAACAACTGAAACTGTTCAAGAACCATCAACACAAGAAGAACCAGCAGTTGAAACAGTTCCAGAATCTACTGAAACAACTGTTGATCCTGTTGATACAGAACAACAAGCTGAAGAAACTACAGCTGAGCCAACAATAAGTGAAACTGAACCAGTGACTGAACAATCTACACCAGAAGTTAGCGGTGAACAAGAACCTGTTGAACAAGCTCCAATTGTTGTTGAAGAGCCAGCTCAAGATACTTCTGTTACTGAAACAAAAGAAGAAGTTGATGATTTGGAATATGTAGATTCGACACAGCCTTCTCTCGAAGAAGATAGACCATCCAATGGAAGTGCCAAGAAGCTTCCTTCTGTTTTTGAGGAAACTACTGATGCCAGTCAGATCGATCCATGGTTGCAATCAACTGCCACAAGTGCAGTTATTGAAAACAAACCAAAGGCTAGTTTCTTATTTGAAGATGATTTGGAAGATGAAGTTGCTCTTAAGAAGAAGCAAGAAGAACTCCAGAAAAAGAAGAAGGCAACCACATCAAAACTTTTTGATGATTTGGATGATGACTTTTTGTAAGACTATTTAAACATTATTAAATTATTATTTTGTAAACCTGAGATTCCCATATGTTTGTGTAAAATTACAACAAATAATTTATTTCAAAAGTATAGTACAATATTTCTAATCTCGTATAAACAACAAATTAAGTAAGATGGAGAGCAATTTCAACACCTTCTGGTTGTCTTTCTTTTGGAATGACGAAACGCTTCTTTCTGAATCTCTTATATCCTAAACAATTGAACCAAGTGAGTGGAATAAGCGCTGATCCTATAACTAAAAAGACAGCCCACAAAATATGAATACTTGACAACATGCCAACACAACCTGAATCCACAAATTGTACAAACTTTTCTCCAACACTTGAACAATTATTGTATGTCAAAAAGGATGGAATCAAATCATAGGCAAACAATAGAATACTATCAACCGATTTTTGAACATTGGCCTTAGTATCTGGATTGGCAGCAACAAAATCAATACTTGTGGCATTGGTAACATTGTACAATACGAGATGGAAATCACGTTTTTGACTGTCTGCATTTGTCAATTGTTGGTTCAAACTTGTTAACATGCCATCAACTAAACTCATACTGACACCACTATTCTTAACAAGTTGAGATGAGTTTGAACATTGAGAAAATATGGAAACCAATGATGAAACTTGAGAAACAAGTTCAGAACTAGATGTAGTATTTCCCTCTGTACCCTGCAAATATCTGTCTGCTGTTGCACACATATCCTGAGTGACCATTGCAAATGCAAAGTGAATGGTAAACAAAATCCAAGCACAAACAAGCATCATGTAACCAAATCTGACACCATACAAAGCAAACTCCTTCCAATGGGTTAAACCACCCAATAAACCCAATAATGGAACCGATAACATGACCACAGCAATAACCATCAATAAAAAGTATCTCAAAAAGTTCAAATGTCTAATTTCTCTAACCAAAGTATTGGTAGAATTCAATGCAGTTTGCTGTTGTGAAATTAAAGTGTTAATGTCAGTAATATCTGAAGTCGATCCACTTGCAACTTGAATTCTATTAGCAACAGTTTGCAAATTAACAGTCGTATTAAACATGTCAACCAGAGTTGCCTTGAAATAAACTCTACCATTCTCAAATGAAACATTGAAAATCACATTACCAATAATCAGCAATGTGCACAATCCTCCAATCAAAACTAACATGACTGCCAAGATAATTTTCAATGAAAATGTCTGACATTGTCCATACGGTTGTTTTCTTTGTTCTCTTCCATAGAATAATTGCTTGGTTGGTTCAATACCACCAAAACATCCCAATCCACGAACTGTATCGAAAAAGAGTAATGCAAGAATGGCCAGAATGGAAACAATACCTCCTCCCAATGCACTCGTACCAATTCCTTGCCAACTAGATGAAATATTTCGAATAATAATATTGAAAAATTATTCCAATAATTTAATTTACATTGAAACAATCATTTAGATTAAATTATTGTACAGTAATTTAAAACTTACTAATCTGATGATTCTGGATCGAATTTATCTGGAGCTTGTTTACCAGTAAAAGTCAATCGGTAGAGATTTAATTTGAAAGAGGCAATTTTCTCACTAATTGATGAGAAGGGATTGTATGAAGTTGTTGCTCTAGTTTCGTTCTGTGCATTGACGAAGGTTATTAACAAATTATTGTTGTTATCCGATTTATAAAAGCCTACTTGTTGCTGCTGGTCTGTATATTCTCGTAAAGATTTATGAAACAAGACGAAACTGATGGAAATTATAAGAAATATAAATTGAATAGTGAGGGCTCTCCTCGACCGATAATTATTAGATGAAAATTGTATTGATGATGACATTTAGAGATTTTGTGGATGATGAATTTTCATGATGTTGTTATTTCTTGCTTGCAATTTTTTGTTGTTGAATGTCATCACTAGTTTGATGGGTCTGTCTTGTAAAAAGGAAGAATGATCGCTGTGTCGAACGTTGAATTGGAATCATTGTTCTTGAATAAGAACTTTCTTCCCTTTTCATGCTCAGCAAGATAATTACAAGCTTGCTTTCCCAAGGTTTCGAATATTTTGTAGTTAGGGAACTGGACTATTAAATTGTTAAATGATAAAGAAATTAATGAGTTAATACATGAAGAATTTAATTGTCAATCAAATTTTTATTTGTAGATAACAGAACAGAAACTACAAATGGATTGACAATTGTTGTTGGCGTATCCATTCGTTCAATCAAGATTACTTTTTGCTTTTGGGATCACCCGTGCCATCTTCTTGAACGAATTGATACGTTATTTTGGTTGGTTTCTTTGGTTCTGGTTTTTTTGGTCTTCCTCTTTTTCTCTTTGGTTTCACTTGAGAATTTAGTGATGATTCTGAATCGTATTTAATCTTCATTTCTTCATTGCTCAAGTTAATAAATTGCACACTCGTGCCAGTCGTGGAACTGGATGAAACAGGTGAATTGGTGGCTGATGATGATGCAATAGATGATGAACTGCCTACTTGATGTACAGAGCTAGAATTGTAGCCAGTGGATATCATGTCACGATTCATCTTGTTTTGCTTACCAATCTTATTCTTGTTATTCTTCTTCTTCTTCTTGTTTGTGGTTTGGGTCATTTGTGGAATACTATTGTCAGATAAATGACTGGCAGAAGATTGGGATGAAGAGCTAGTTGGTGTGGATAGTGAGCTGCTAGCAGGACTGTATTGGTCAACTGGGGTGGATGACATTGTGAATTGTTGTGATCCCAAAAAAGTATTATTTAAATTCAAATTTATCATCAAGGGTGCAATAATTTCAACTTGGTCAGCTACACTACAATTGGAATTATTATTACTAGATGGGATAATGCCAGAATTGACTAGTTCAATTAGGTTCGTAGTGGCCATTACTGGTTGACCACCGTTCATAAGAATAGTGTTAGTAGATACTGAATTATTTACATATTGTTGAGGAGGAGGATTAATGACATTTGTGTTAAAAAGTGGTTGTTGTTGATGTACTAATTGGTCTACAATGGATGGGCCATTCGATGATGATGCAGATGGGTCCTGTGATTGTTGTGAATTGTCATCTTTCTTGGTATATCTGCTCAGTATCATGAGCAATGCTTTCTGCTTCTCTTCTGGTGTCATTAATCTATTCGAAAGGGAGAAAGAATCAATGTAAAATGCTTCAAATCAGCAATGTATAGTTTTTATACAAAAGATGACAAGATGATCGGTTATTCCGTAACAACTACTAATCCTATCTACTTGATTATTCTCCTTTCCGTTACTATTGTCGATTTTTAAAGTAGCAAGACTTTGTCCACACAAATACAAGAAAATCAAACTCTCTATCCGGCCGGCTACTACAAGTGAGGCTGCCGTGCTGCGATAAAGGTTGTAGGTGGTGGAGGGACTTGTTCGTTTTTTTTTCAGGTTCGAGCAACTGTGAGAGCATTGTGTTTGTTGCTTCAACAGCATCAGAGCTGTTTCATTGCTTGTAGCATAAAAAACTCTCATTTCCAAAGGGTTTTTTGGTTTCCCGCCTAAATTGTTAGGTTTTGAATTTTTTGCGCAGCGGCATGAATGGTCAATAATGGCAAACATGAAAGTGCGGAATGGAAATGTTTGGAAATGGAACACTTTAATTGAAAATGGTGTAACTATTGAGATATGTGGTTGTAATGTTGTGGGAATGTAGTTGATTGGGTAGAGTTTAAAAGATAATGCAAAAAAATCTTTATACTTTTCCTTGGTTTGGTATAAATTGGAGTGAGTAGGATAAATTTCGCTCCTTTGTTAACTCAACACTATGAGTGTGAACTGTCGAAAGGATTTTAAGAAACTGATATTACGAAGAATGCAGAATGTCAACAATTTGAGAAGGAGCTGGCTCAATATAGTTGAGCATGCTCACTTTACAAATTCGAAATGATTGAATATTCACAAAATACAAATTTCCAAATAGTTTATTCATCTTCTTCATAATCTTCTTCGTCATCCTCATCGAATGAGAAATCCAATTTTTCATCTCCAAGTAAATCGCCTAAACTGGTTGCTCCATCTGGTACTTCGAGTTTTGGATCTTTCTTGTTGGTGGTTTGAGATTCGTTTTGTTTCTCTGATTTTTCATTCTTATCATTCTTATCACCCTTTTTAGAAATCTGATTCTTTGTTTTTCTTTTCTTTGATTCTGGAGTTTTATCAATTTTACCAAATAGTGACAAACGTGCATCTGGATTCGGATTTTCAAGATATTCATCGTACATGGTTTCCAATCGTAGTTCAATATCTTGCTTATCCTTTTTAGGAATATCCCCTCTGAGGTGCAGAATATTCTATTCGAATATATTACATGATATCGCACATGAGATTCATTGAAATCATAAAATTCATGGAATTCAATTTGGTATATTTTCATTGTTAAGGAAACTTACATATAACAAGTCGAGAGAAACGTCCTTATATAATTCTAATAATTTCTTGATGTTTTTCATGACATCTTCAGGAGTTTGACTATCAAAAAGGGTTTGAAATAATATTTAAAGCATTCAATGGCCAAGATACGAAATAATTATGATACGAATATAAATGATTCGAATAAAATTCAAAATTAAACATACGCTTTCAAAATTAAAAAGATACTCTTCATAGGTTCGTAGTAATTCATACTAAACATATCCACATCCATTCTCTGTGCCGAATATTCAACATCGTCTTCCTTGGCATTATATTCTGCAGTGAAGAATCTCTTAATAATTCTAATATCTTCCTTCATTTGATTGGAGGCATCAATTGGGTCATCAAAATGTACCTTATTGAATAAGAGTTTCTCCATATATTTTCCAACAAATATTTCGGCAAGTTTTTCAGTGAGGTGATCTCTGTATTCTGCCTCAAGTAAATCCTCCTCCAATTCCTTATAATATGGTTCAAAGATCATTTCAACCATCTTGTAAACTGGTGCATCTCTCAGAACAACAATCAAATCCTCCTTTTCGAGTTTTTCTTCCAAAGGAACAACCATCCAATTTTCTGTAAATAATTCATTCAGTAAATCCTTAACATCGGCCATAATGACACGTTCACATAACAAGTCGACCATTTTGTATCCATTCTTTTTGAATTGATCTTCCAAGTCGAAGAGATTGTCTTCCACAAGTAAGTGTTCAATTCTCTCAACCACTGCTTTCAAGTAGTCAATACTGGTAGTGTTATTGTTAATGAGAGCACAAATGACAACAAGTGGAATATCCTCAACTATGTTTGATAAATATTCATGTATAATTTTGAAAAAAACTTACTATTTTCCTCAACTTTTTCAAAGGAGGTGTCAATAAAGAATCTGAGTGAGGCTTTCAAACCACCCATAGATGGTGGAATCACTTCTGGAATTTCAGTTTCCATCAATTCATCCAATTGCTGATTGATAAATGTAAATACTTCAACACAGGCAGCAGTATATGGATAACCTCTAATGTTGGCATTGAGCGGAATATTCTCAAAATCTCTAAAGTCCAAAGAAACTGTACTATTGGTATATTCAATCATAAAACTGGATCTAGTACTGATATAATCTCCAATGAGTTGTTTCTTTTCATTTTCAAATGATCTTGGATTGGTAGTGACTTCATCCACTAAATTCTTATAATCATCGAGCCAATTGATAACTTTGAGTTTGTCACCAATACCAAGAGTATTGTAACTGGCACTCTTTGGATTTACCAATCCTTCAATGTATTTTACCAACTCTTCCTCATAGGCACTGGCAAGGAATGGAACAATCTTCCAAGAGGAAGGGAAGCATGTCGACACATATCTAGTAACACCAATATTCAATTTTTCACCCAATAAGGTTGTCAAATCATTAATCTTTTCATCGACACTCTTTCTCCCTTCGGTGGCATAAACTGCTTCATTGAACTTGTCACTCACTGATTGACGAAGTCTCTTGAAGAATTCCTCTTTCATTCTTCTCAATTTAGGTTCAAGTACAGAACTTTCATGGATATCGTCTTCATCTGATCTCTTATTCTTTTTCTTCTTTCTGAGAGCTTCGAGTCTTTCATCGTATTCCACTAATTTACGTTGATCTCTTTCTTCTTCCTTATCGATCATTCTTGCAATTCTTACCACAGTTTCGGGTTCGTTCTCAGCTGTATATTCCAAGTCAGCAATACGCATCCACAATAAATCTTCAAAACGAGTTCTTATATCATCAATCATGTGGAAATAATCCTCGAAAATGTCAATATAATCAGAACGTGTGACTTTGGCTTTAACTTCTCTGAGAGCGTCATCCTTAATTTCCTCCAATAGAATGATATCTATTTACAATAATTTTTTGGAGAATTACCAACAATATAGAAATATTTAGAATGTCCATTCAAAAATACAATTATAACTTACCAGAGTGAGCACTGAGTACATATTGATCATCATGGTAACTCAATTTTGCTTTAATCTTTCTCAATTTCCTTCTCAAAACTGTCAATGTTTCCAATTTCTCAATTGTCTTTTTAATATTGTTGTGTGCCAACAATACTTCACTCACAATATGATAATCATCGATGAGTTGTCTATTATTTTCTCCCAATACTTTCATCATGTTAAATAGGGAATTTTCGGTATTTTCATTTAATTTTACATTTAAATCATCTCTGATTTTTCCCATCAAATTAATGGCCTGATCTGCTTCTTCAACTTGAGTTCCCGCCAAATTGGTTAATTGGGTTTGAAGTTTTTCCACTTGTTTTTCAGTAGAATTTTTCAAATCGTCCAATTTCTCCAAATCTTGTGGAGTTTCCAATAATCTACAAATACTTTCAATGGCATTCTGTTGTGATGATTTTTTAATAATTGAAATAAAAACATTCTCCTCGGAATCAAATCCCAAATTTGCCGACTTCCCAAAAAGATTTGCCATACCACTATTATATCCACTATTTCCTCCACTAAACGAATTTAAAAATCCATTATTCGAAACCGAAGGACTCGTTGCCAAACTAGGTCCATTCTCTCCAACATTTCCATCCATATTATACTCATCCCCAACAGCACCATTAAATTGTTCTCCAGACGAAGATAGAAATGGATTCGTCGTCAAGGGACTCGTTGAAAAATTCGGAGACGACGAAACAGCAACTGTAAACCTACTCGGAGTGCTTGAATTTAAAAGTGATGATAAACTTTCCTTGTTTCCTTGTCGGTTGATGATTTGATCGACGGCAGAGGATTTTCGTGATCGACCGATTTGTTGCTGATCGGAAACTCCAAGCAGGTTTTTGTTTTGCATTTTTTAATAAATAAAATTTAAATTATTGAAAATTAGATTTGGAAGAAAGGTTTCGAATAATGGATTTTTAAATTAGTATTGTTTCAGATGCGTTTTTTATTGAGAAACTTGATTACAAAATGTCATCTTTGCTTTTTGACCGTTGTATGATGAAAGAGAGAAATCAAATGATATGAACCGTGTTCCACCCTTTTCAAGATTGAAAAAATTGCCAAAACTACTGCCCTCTCTACTATTGGAAATACATTGAAGTAGTGATTGAATACAAAAAACATTTTCATCATCATTCTACAAAAAATTGATTCTTCCTATCCGAAACCTTTCCCTTCCAAAAACTTATCACCAAATACAAACACCGAACAGATTTCTGATATTAATTAGTAATAATAATCAAGTAGCATGGCATCATCATTTCAAAACTTTCGTTTTCTCATCTCACTTCTCTTCATATCCATTATAATATTCTTTCTGTTAATGATCATCAAGAATAGACAAAACACTCAACAAAACATCACGACAAATAGTTTGAATCTCCGACTCTCGACACTTTCTCTCGGAAAGAGAAGTGCCATACCACAGGAAGATAATTCAAGTACGAGTAAATTTCACATTATCAATGCTAATGATGATTTGGATTCGGTAATTACACACAAGAAGAAGAATGCCATGACAATTGATGATTGGCAGGAGGAGGATGAGAATGATTTGCAGGATAAAATGAAAAAAGCTAAACAAATTGCTAATTCACATGAATAAAGTATTGGAATACTTGGAATATTAAATACTGATGACAGGAAGAAAAAGATTACATACAATTTGGGTGTAAATACTTGTAATTTCTTTGTTTTCTTATTTTAACAGTTTGATGTGATCCCCCTTAGCTCAGTCGGTAGAGCGTCAGACTGTTAATCTGCAGGTCGGTGGTTCGAGCCCACCAGGGGGAGTTGCTTTTGGCCTTCAGGTTGCTTCATTATTTCTATTATGCTCGAAGACGTTTTATTATTTATCTTGTTCATTATCCATCCCTTAATGTTTCATAACACCTTATTCCCTTCTTCATCAAATCATTATTTCTAACAAACGAAATACAGTTAAGGGGTAAGTAAATTCAGTTTTGGAATTTTCCTTGCTTGAAATTTTCCCGCTTGAACTTTAGAAATTGTATTTTTGTAGTGTAATAGCTGTTGAGGAGAAAACAGTTCGCTCTTTTTAATAAGAAAAAAAGCAACAACAAATAACAATAGGTCATCAAGAAAGAAACAACAAAGAACTTGGAAACAATTGAGATATTTAAAGAGGAAAGTTCATTGTATCACACCAGTGTTATCATCAACAAGTTAACAATTGTTGATATTTTGTAGGAATCAGAATATTTTGTTGATATATTTTGTATCAAGTTGATAAAAGTGAGAATGGGACAAAGACCTCCAAAATCAAAGGATTCCGATCGGAAACCAACATCATCACAAAGTGCCAAGACTAGTGCTTTTATTTCATCTGTGTCTGGAGATGTGGGAGATGATTTTGCCATGTTACCTGCAATTTTGGCACCAGGCAAGAAGAATGTAAGGTTTCAACAGCAATTAAAAGCCATGCAAGCAAGATTGGAGAGATACAAGAACGATATGGAATTGTTATCGAAAACACATTTAGCTAAGGATGAATTCCGAATGTTGCGGAGCTTGTTTACATCATTCTGTAAGGAATGTTTAAATGATGGTGATGGACAATCACCCAACAAATCCTCGAATACCCCATCAAAAAAGACAACAAAGAAATCAGAGGATTATTCACTCTATTTAAGTGTGGGAGAGTTTGCCAAAATATTCTTTCCAAAATTAATGGATAAATTTTCGTTAGATCTAGGAAATTTTGAAAAATCACATAAGGAACTACCAACTTCATATGAGGATGCATATACTGACTATGAAAAAATTGTGATTAATTCCCTATTTAATGCAACAAGTGATTTTAATAAGAGAAAGTATTTGACATTTCACAGATTTGTAGTTACTATTAGTACAATGTGTAGAGGAACAATAGAGGAGAGAGCCGAGTGGTGTTTTGGATTATATGATCATAACCATGAGGGTTTTATTACAAAATCTAAATTAGTGAATTTAATGCGAGCCTTAAAACATGTAGGAATTTTAACTATTAAGAATTCTAAAACTTCTGATATTGAGCAAGTTGTGGAATCATTTTTTGAAAAGGCAAAATCAACACAAAATGACAGGACACTTTTCAAAAAAGTTGAAACTGGTTCACCACCCGAATCAGCTACGGATAAAATGGATTTACATACATTTGTGACAGTTTGCAAGGAGGATCAAACATTCCTCAATGGGATGGGTATTGTTGAGAATTTCTTTTTACCAATTTTGAGACCAATTGATGAATTTGTCAGATGTGAAAATCCATACGAGTTTGAGGGAGAGCTATACCTCTCCTATTCTGATATTGTTGATAGAGATTTGTCAATAGCAGCTGATATTGCCGATCATAACAAGTTCGTTAAACTTCATATCGAAATTAGAGGAGGTTTTCTCAACGGATATATGACCACGGATGCTGAGCACTTTACAATTGGGGGCATGGACAGAAGAAAAGTTTTAAGTGTTGATTTGAGAAAAATCGACTCTGTTGAAAATGAAACTCAAATAGTTACTGTGCCACTATTGAAAGAAATTGAAAAATCCCAAATTAATATTGAGGAATCAGACTCAGAAGGTGAGAAAGAGCCAGAAATACACAGCCCCACTTTAATTTTTTCTAGACCAAACCATAATAGAACTAGTTCATTCCCGACTAGACCCACCAATTCAATGGCTCTTTCTCCCACTTTCAGTATCACTCTTTCAAAAATATTTTTCGATGAAATGTTTGATGGCTTAGTTTTGAATCCTATTGTTCCAGTTCGATCTCAATCCGAGAAGAAAAAGAAGGCAAGTAAGAATGAAAAACGAAAGCTCCTCCTTGTTTCTGAGTCATCAGAATTGAAAATGAAGTGGATTTTCACCGTTCTCATGTATCATTTGGATAATAGAAAGGGTGCCGAAGGTGAAGCTTGTAGATTCAATTCATATGCCCCAGAGAGACAAAAAGTTAGAGCCAAATGGTATGTCGACGGAAAGGATGCCTTCCAAGATATTGCACTTGCTATTAGTTTGGCAAAGGAGGAAATTTTCATTGCCGATTGGTGTCTACACCCAACTCTTTATCTTTTGAGAGGTGATGGTAAGGAAGTTGCCGACTCGAGATTGGATATTTTACTGAAAAAGAAAGCAAGTCAAGGTGTTAGAATATACATTCTCTTATGGAATGAAACATCTTTGGCTGGGCTCAATTTGAACACAAAGAAAACAAAGAATTATCTGAAAAGTTTGTATCCAAAGAATATTTATGTCAAGACTCATCCAAAGCAGTATCCAGTCGAGTGGTCTCACCATCAGAAATTAGTTGTTATTGACCAATCGATTGGATTTCTTGGGGGTTTGGACATGTGTTATGGAAGGTGGGATGACTATAAGCATAACATTACTGATATGAATCATTCCCACTCAAAATATCCAGGAAATGATTACCAAAATCCAAATTATCACGCCTACTACAAGTACGCAGATAAATTGGACAGTTTTACTGATGTTATTGATAGAGAATATTCGACCAGACAAGCTTGGCACGATATTCATTGCAGTGTAACTGGACTTGCTGCCAAAGATTGCTCATTCAATTTTGTTGAGAGATGGAATTTTTCAATTAATGGCTCAAAAGATTCAAAGGAAAATAAGAGTCTTAAAACTCTAATTTTGAAAAATCCTGGAAAGAATCCTCTATTGGAATATTACGACATTAAGAAAAAGAAGAACCTCCTTTTGAATCCCTTCAATTTGAATACGCTCAATGAAGCTCTTCAGGGTACTAAATCTGGAGATGATGATGATGGTAATAGAGCTAAGGAAATTATCAGCAAACTCACCGAATTGGATCCAAGAAATAGAAGAAGAAAGTACGAGGATGAAGATAACAAGTTGGCGCAAATCGAACAGGATTTGAAAGAAAAGGTCGATGAACAATTCAAGAAAAACTTCGAATACTCTGATACTGATCCATCAGATGTTGATGTGATTTCGCCAGTTATCAAATCAATCGATCAACATAAGAGTGTTTTTGATTCAGCCCCCAAGATTAAGAAAAAACATCTCAACCACAACAAATCCAAGACCCTCCTTCCAGTAGCCAACGTAAACTCCTCCAGAAATTCTCGGGAGCAAAAGATTAAAAAGTTCCAGTGCGCAGATGAAGGTTTCCTGTGCAATGCCCAGTTAGTGAGATCTCTGTGTAAGTGGAGTGGTTCGCCTCGAGATGAACAGAGTGTCTATGCAGCCTATCTCCATCTCATAGATAATGCCAAACATTATATTTATATTGAGAACCAATACTTTATTGGTTCTACATCAGATTTGCCAAAAAATGTCATTCCAGAATATATTGCTAGAAAGGTTGTTGAAAAGATGAAAGCAAAGGAAGTTTTCAGAGTAATTATTGTTGTTCCATCACATCCTGAAGGCGATATGGCTGCATCAACAACACAGCAAATTATGAAATACTCGTATAATACCATCAAGAATGGTCCAAACTCAATGTTCAGTTACATTAAGAAACATGTAACTGGTGCCACAGATAAGGACATTGAAAATTACATCTTCTTTTGTACATTGAGAAACTATGGATTTGTAAATAATGATTGGAGAGGCTCTCTCGAGGACACCAATACTATCAGATTGGGGTCAGATGCATATACAGACATTGAAGATCAAGAAGAATCGAGTGAAGATTCCTTCACAACTAACAGTGATAGATTCAGAGCTCTCATGATGATGAAAACAACTGATTATGGCAAAAAGGCTGTTACTGAGCATATCTATGTACATAGCAAGATGATGATTGTTGACGATTATATTACAATTATTGGAAGTGCCAACATTAACGATAGAAGTATGCTCGGCACGAGAGATTCTGAAATTGCTGTGGTGATTCAAGATCATCCAACTAGTGTCATTCACACCAAGATGAATGGTAGACATTACAAGTCTGGTAAATTTGCTCACAGTTTGAGAATTAGATGTTGGAGAGAACACTTGGGCTTGCTTCCATCTCAAAATGAGGATGAATATGACTATGATAATGAACCAGCCTCAAGTTCTCGTGTTGAATCTGAGGAAGAGAATGATAATGAACATGAATCTGACTCTGATGATGATCCAAAGATTTTGAATTTGAAAATTGGTAGATACAAAGGTCAAGATAGATGGAAAAAGTGGCAAAAGCAGAGAGAACAAAACAAGATTAAAAAGCTCATTAGAAACGATCCAATATGTGATGCAACCTATAAGGAGGTTTGGATAAAAACAGCCAAACATAATTCACAGATCTATGAAACTGTCTTTCCAGACTCTGTCATTTCTGACAAGTTTAAAACAATGGAACAATATTTACAATCTGCCCGATTAAATGTCAATAAGGAAGGTAGTGTAAAGGAAGAAAAGAAGAAGGAGAAATCGTCAGATGCAAAGGAGCCAAAGAAATCAAAAGAGGAAGAAATTGAAATTCATGAAGAATCAAAAGATTCCTTCAATGATATTCGTCTAAGATCCATGAACTTTGGAAGTAGTAAGCAAATTGATTCAACTCTCTCTGAAAAGGAAAAACGAAAGCTATTGAAACAATTGAAAGGAAATTTGTGTGTATTCCCTCTAAATTTTTGTAATGAAGAAACATGGTCCAAACCACTTCACGTATCCCTTGCTGTTGGTGATGAAATTTATGTGTAAATAAAGCTGTCCTGTTTCTATTATTCTTATTGCTGAATCCACACAAAAGAAAATGATGTACAACATGAATGAAAATTGTAAACTGAAGGTAAATCAATAGTTCGTTTATCAAATAAATAGCAAGAGGAAAGTAAATCATTTCAAATTACCTCATGTAATAAAAAAGAAAGAAACATAGCAATCACTACTAGCGACTAAAATCATTGAATGCTATTGTTCACAATGATAGAATTTCAGTTATTGTTTTGAAGAGGTGATGACAATCAAATTTCAAGAGTAAAGAGCTTGCTGCCAAGCTATCAACTATTCCATCCTTTTTGGTATCAGTGACATTGGTCCATTGAGCTCAACATTTGATAAGCTTTCATAAAATTTCTAATAAAAAGTGAATTGAGCTTCTTGTCAACTCCTGTTTCATTCAAAGTACAATCAATAAATGATTGATAATGCTTAATAAGTGTAAAAGTAATAAAATTTGAGTATGTAAGCGGGTAGTACCACAGAAATTAGGCGTGTGACCTTATTCTCTGTCCGCGATGGAAACCACAGCTCTCTGTATGGTCTCTCCATGAATGGAAGGCCCTCTTTCAAGAGAAAACTTCCAGGTTACAAGACGTTTAGAGTAATAAAGATTAATGATAACAACCATCATGATGAAATTATTTTACTACAAAACAATCCTCATTTATGGTAATTAAATATATTCACAAATAATAATCATCATCGCGATGATCCACAATATTCTACAACATAAATTACATTATAAATTCTTGATAATCTACTTATTAATCTACCACCAATATTTATTATTTGTAATTTAGTCAAAAGTAGATGATTGTTTTCTTCTGCTCATCGGATCAGGTGTTCTAAAAATATTTTTTTAAAGTGAACTTGCACAGTGGAAATCAGTGGCTTGTTCGACTTTGTAACGAGTTCCACCCAACAACACACAGCAAAAAAAGATCATCAATTTTTATTTTTAAAAAATAATTACCACTTGGTATCCTTGTACTCTATAAACACACACAAAATGGCTGATGATGATGTTGAATTCGAAATTGTACGTAGTAATGTTTTTTGATAGTAGTGATTGATCAAGATCTTTTATGATGATGTATTTTGATAATGATCAAAAATATTCAACATTTAATTCATGATTTTTTAATATTATCATATATGAATATATTTTCTCTTGCTGATCATTATATTGTTGAATTTAACAATTTCCATATCTCAACATATTCTCTGATCATCATGAAAATACTAATTCATTAATAACAAAATAATAATAATAGGAAGATGATGAAGGTGAAGTTGTAGGTCTCGATGATAATGACAAGGGAGATGATGAAATGTTGGACGATGAAGTCGATGAAAACCTTGTCGAAAATACTTACTACACTGCCAAGGGTGAAGTTGATGAAAACTTGGATGAAGCCCTCGAACTTTTCCAAACTGTCCTTGACTTGGAAGAAGAGAAGGGACAATGGGGTTTTAAATCACTCAAGCAAATGGTCAAGACTCTTTTCAAGGCTGGTATGATGGAACAAATGGTACAACGTTACAAGGAATTGCTCACCTACATGAGTATTGTTTCTAGAAATGAAAGTGAAAAGGCTATCAACAAGGTTTTATCTATGGTATCATCATCAACAGATAAGAATATGCTTGATCAAATCTACGGAATGACTCTTGAAGTTTTGTTAAAGGCTAACAATGAAAAGTTGTGGTTTAATACCAAACTCAAGCAAGGTCAATTGTTTACACAAACACGTGATTTTGAAAAGCTCAACACTTGTATTACCGATCTTAAAAAGTGGTGTATGTTAGAAGATGGTGTTACGCCCGATGAAAAGAAGTCATCTAACATGTTGGATGTTTATGTTCTTGAAATTCAAATGTACAGTGAACAAAATCAACTCAAGAAACTTGCCCAACTTTATCAAAGATGTATTGGTATCATTTCAGGAGGTGCTGTCGTTTTGAATCCTCGTATTACTGGTATTATTCGTGAATGTGGTGGTAAAATGTATATGCGTGAAAAGAAGTGGAGTGAAGCTTTTAATGACTTTTTCGAAGCTTTCAAATCATATGATGAAGCTGGTAATCCACGTCGTATTGATTGTTTGAAGTATTTGGTTTTGGCTTCAATCTTGTCTCAATCTTCTATCAATCCTTTTGATGCCAACGAAGCTAAACCATACAAGGGTCACTCTGATATTGTAGCCATGACTGATCTTGTTCAACACTACCAACAAGCCAATATCAAGGAATTCGACAAGGTTTTGAAGAATAACAAGAAGGCTATTTTAGAAGACAATTTCATGAAGGAATATATTGAAGATTTGTTAAAGACAATTCGTACACGTGTCTTGGGTAAGATTATGAAGCCATACACTCGTATCAAGATGACCTTCTTAGGAAAGGAATTGAGCATTTCTGCTGAAGATGTTGAAGCTTTAGTTATTGACATGATTTTGGATGGTAAATTGGATGGTTATGTTGATCAAGTCAACCAAATGATCACACTTTCTTCACAAGGACAAGAATTGACCCGATACAAGGCTTTGAGCCAATGGACTGTCAAACTTAACGATGTTCACCAAGCAATTCTCCAAAGAGTAAATTAAATAATAAATCTTTAATTGTAAATTAAATTTTGATATGTGTTCATGGCACGGAGTAAGTTATTCGAAAGTTAAGTAAACGATTTTAAGGTGGCGGTCTACCTATTTTAATTGGAAGTGCAAATGTTGGTTTACAAATATTCGAATATCTATTATTGGCAAAATTACAAATTTAGCAATTTTAATAAAAAATCATTTATTATTACAAGTCAAACTTTTTTGTTGTTTGAACATTTGGTAAGGGAACAAGAGCATTTGGAAGTACATGATTTCCCGGCTTTTCTGCATGGACAAGCTTTTGTACATGTCGAACCCTTCGAACATGTGCAACTTCCAATTGTTCCCTTTGGCTGTGGAGATTCTTTTACCTTAAGTTTTGTTTTCCGAAGCTCCACTCTTCTTTCCTTATAAGCTTTAGACTGTTTCCTTATTTTATCCTGATGATATTGAGTATCTAACTTGATGGCCTGCTCTTTTGGAATCACGAAGAGACTACCAATAAATCTTTGAATTTTTCTTAATTGTGCAAATTTTCCAAGCAATCGTTCACCTATTGCCAGATCAGCTCTTCCACAATAATTTCGACTGAAATCTAATGTCTTTGGTGTTGTATGACAAATAGTACTATGTATGGACTCATTGTTTTGGCTATTGCATGCAATATCACAAAATTTGTGACTATATTTGATTCGTTTGTCAAATATTTCTTTAACAACTTGTGCTTCCTCTTTAGTGATCAATTTTTCTGGTTTAATTGTGTGTGGACAACCTGAATCGCACAGAGAATGGTTATTTTGTAAATGTTGTGGATAAGCTTTCAATAATGCTTGGAGTTTCTCATTTGAATTAGTGGTGGTGTTGGCTAATTTTAGAGCTTTCCTAAAGGATGATACAATAATACTGGCAATACGGGGTGCTTTTTCTTCTACTTCCTTGCTCAGATTTTTGATTACATGATTTGGATCTAACTTTTCTAATGCTGTTGGTTCTAATTTCTTGATGACTGCTGCCACAGTTGAGTCTTTGTCATGAACAAAAGAGCCAATTTTGAAATGTAAAATACCATAACCCATTACTGGAAATGACTTGTGTTTCAAAGATGTAATTGCTAAACGACATGCTTCTGGCTCCATTAATTTAGAGGCTCCCATAAACCATTGTAAGGCACTTTTTCTATTAGATGCTCTTTTCTTGATAACGTGTGATCGTTCAATTGTTTTTTTTGCCTTTGTTTCGAATACCACAAGAGTACATTCGTAAACATTTCTCCTAGATGAATATCTTGCATCAACTGATATATCCAAAAATATTGCATCATGAATGAAGGAGTAAATCAATGCCGGAACTTCTCTTCCCAGTTCAAATGCAGAAATTAAAGGACCAAGCACTTGTTTCATTTTCTGATTTGCAATCTTTTCCAATTCCTTGTCCATTTCTTGATTTAATACTTGACTACTACTGCTCCATAACTTGTTTGTTGCTTGATAATATGATTTCTTATTAATTATTGGCAATCCGACAAGGGTTGTAAATGTTTTAAATGATTCATAGGTAGAGTTCGAGAGTTCAAATGATTGAATAATATGTCTATTCAATTTAAGATTCCTTGGACATGTTCTAAAAACAAATACCGTATTACAAGCCAAACAAGTAAAACGGAATATCTGTTCAAATCCATTTTTAGTAATTTCTCTTAAATGTATATTTGTGCTCTCACAGATTTTACACTGTACTGGTTTCACAATACGAATCAAGTGGTCAGTTGGAATAATGGTAAGGCCGATATTTTGATTTTCTAAACTTTTAAATGACTGTGGGTCTAAGGGTAAAATGTTACTTTCATTATGAATGTGAAATTGATATGATTGAGTTTTGTTAGAGTGATTATGTTGTACTGTTTCATTTGTTCCAAATTCAATATTTGTAAAGTTCTCATCTAAATTATTAAATTGTCTCCTGAATATGTTATAATGTTTTCCACAAATTATACCATCGTGGCATGCATGATGAATAGGTATTTTACCAACAAATCCATTCTTAACTGTGTAGAATTTTGCTGCAAAAACACCTGTCAAGACTCCACAAACAAAACAAAATTTTCTTTGCATTTTTTTGTGATTGTTTGTTGTTGTTGTTCTTTGTTTGCCAATTTTCGTTCTTGTGGAACTGAAGGTAAAATCACAATTAAAGCATGACAAAGCATGACGAAAAGTAACCAACACACAGTCTACATTATTTTGAATTTAGAAACTCTTCCGATCGTGGGATCAAGGAGGATCAAATAGTGAAAAATCTAATTTAATTTTTAAATGTAAAACTCTAAATTTTCTCTGTGAAAGCTAGTATCTATTGATCAAAATTTGAAAAACAACTAGACAATAATATTATTTACGATATAAAAGATTAGCACATATTGGTTCACTATTAGCAGACGGAAAGGAGAGCAAAGGAACAGAAAAGTATTTCATCACAACAATTTTTTTTTTTATTGAAGGAATATTTTCGGAAACACCTACCGCCACCTTAATCGGAGAGTTGACGAGTTTGAGGTTTTAAAATTATGAATTCATTTAGTTTTAAGCAAGAAGGGAGATAGTTCAGTGGTAGAACATGGGATTGTGGTTCCTAAGATCAGGGTTCGATTCCCTGTCTTCCTACACCTTTTTAATCTTAATAATTTAAATTCGGCTACTCGTATATACCATAAGTATTCAAAGTTTAGAACATAAAAACTCCTCAAAAATTAGAAAAACGTTTTTAATTAAATAATAAATTGTTTATTTACAATGTATCCACTTGATCCAAAATCATAGCAACACCACCCATAATCCATTTACTTGGATGATCACGAGTCTTTAACTTGCATGTGAAAATATAATCAGGACCTCTATCAGGTGTTCTGTAAACAGGACAATCGTAGAAGCTGTTTGGATCAGACTTTTCATTTTGAACAGCCTTAATGTGGATAATTGGCATTCTTGGATGCAAATCCTTCAATTTGGAGTCGATCAAGTGATTCTTCTTTGGATCCCAACCAGCACCTTCCAAGAACATACCAGTAACATAGGCACCTTCTCTGGCAGATTGTTCAATTTCATCTACAGCATACTTCTTTGTTACTTCAGCAACTAGAGTCATTTCATCTAGAGCCCAAGTCTTTTGTCTGGCAATAGTTTGCATAATGGCAGTCAAGAATGATTGAGGATTGAACAATCCAGAAATCCAAACAACCTTTGGTGTTTGCAAGTCTCCTGTCCAATTCAATAATTGTGCATATCTTTGCATCAAGTCATCAAACCATGAGTCCAATTTTCTTGGAGATGGATAAGCAAGAGATGACCAAGTTTCTGGAACCTTATTTTGATAGATACAATCTTGGAGAATGGTCATCTTTTCAGTAATTGTCAACAAACCATCCAAACCACTTTGCAATTCCTTGAGTGATCTATCTAATTCTACCAATAATCTATTCATGTATTCACATTCTTGATAGAATGAGTTTTGGTATGGAGTTCTTTCTTCATCAAGTCTATCAGCAATTTCTTCAAGGTTAAATGGTTCTGGTAAAGTGTCCAAAATTCTACGAATACCTGCTTGAACCTTATCTTGGTAGGACATACCATCACCAGCAGAAGTTGAACGAGGTTGCATTTCTGCAATCATGTTGAACATATTTTCACCTTGAGTGGTTCTGAAACCAATTTCAGCGTTAGGATGCAAACCAAAGGCAACTGGACTTTCAGGTGGCAAAACCTTTTCAACATATTCCAAATATCCCTTATAAGTCAAGTTGGTTGGAGGTGAAAGGAATTCTGGACACAACTCAAGTTGATCAACAACATCAGGTCTAATAAACTTCTCCAAATAGGTCTTACAGAGTTTTCTATCCCAGTCATCAGTAATGTGGCCACCATACATAATTTCACCAAAAACGTATCTCAAATCTTCCCATGGAACCTTTGGTCTATCTTCCAAGTAATTGTTCAAGACGTGAATACAGGTAATTAAATCACCAAGGTTAAATGGATAGTTTCTGTTCCAACCTTGAGGACCGAACTTCTTTCTTTCAACAATACAAGCATGGAAGAAACAGAGTGAGAACAAGATTCCCTTGAATTCTGTTTGTTTGGAACTTCCTTCCCAAATATTATCATCAAATTGCATAAGGGATCTGAACAAGTTGGCTCTCAAACCACTTGGAGGTTCGTTAGTTAGCTTAATAGATCTTTGCAAGATACCAATTGGAATTTGGTTAGAAGGTTCAGCTGAAAGGAATACTCTAAAGTCTGGATGTCCCAAATCTTCTTCTTCATCTGATTCTTCAGAATCTTCTTCAACCTCTGGAATTTCTGCTTTCTTATCTTCTTGTGGGGAGGTTGGATCAATAGAAATACCAACTTCAGGTTCTTCTCCCTTTTCACCTTCAACTTGTTCTTCCTCTTCTAATCTCCTGGAAGCAGCAGCAGAGGATGATCTCTTTAATCCTTCCTTTTCTCTTCTCTTCTTTTCTCTCATTTCTTGTCTACCATATTGTTCAGCATATTGATCCAATTTCTTTTCCAAAGCACCTAACCATTCAGGAGTCAAGTGAAGATTGTTCAACATGACCCAACCACCAGTTCTGAAAGCATGTTGAAGGGCATTTTCGGCAACAACTGTTTGACCTTCACCCAAAGAAACGTTCTTGAATTTACCTGCAGATTCTGTAAAACCAAACTTTTCACCAATTCTTTCAACAGCCTTTACAGGGTCAACACCAGGAGAAAGGATAAAGAATAATGGTGTAGTAGGACCTGCATCACCATATGAAACTTCAAGGTCAACAGGAATATCCTTAACGTATTTCTCACCAATTCTCTCCTTTACAAAGTTTGTTACAGCCATAGTTAATCTGTCAGGTCTGAGACATCTGATAATCAACAACTTTTGGAATGGTAACAAGTTCTTCCATTCTAATGGTAATGGTTTTTCTTCTGGCTTTTCAAATTCAGTCCATTCTTTCCATCTTCTCCAAGAACCAGCCATATCATCTGGTAAGAGTGAGAATGCTGGACTAGTACCTTCAATAGCAGTAAGTGCTTGTACATAGGCCCAACTCAATTCAGAACACCAACCAATAACAGTTTCCTTTCTTTCAACACCATCAACTCTAGGAGCTCTAAGTAAAAAGTCAATTTGGTTTGGTTCAATTTCTCCCTTCTTTCTCATAATTTCAATACACAACATCATTGAGAAGATGAGCTTGTGTCTTTCAAAGAGACCTCTAGAAACGTAACTGAACAATGTTTCTGTAATACTATCGACAATGTTTTCAACTCTCTTATCTACATTATCAGCTGGTTCAGCCTTTTCAAGAGCCTTGTTAAATACAACCATAAAGGCTTCAAGAGAATATTGATACATGTGGTCAATCTTTGACAATTGGTCAATAAGGAAATACAACATGGAACCTCTTGTAGAAACGGTTCTATAAACTGAACGACTTTCATCAATCATCTTGTTATTTTCAAGAATTTCTTTAAGACTGACGTTGATTTGTTGAGATTTCTTCTTGGTTGCTTCCAAGTTATCAATAAGTCTGTGATTTTCCAAATAATCACCCTTGGCATTTGACAATTCATTTCTAAGAGCATCTTCACACCCCTTAAGTTCAATCTTGAATTGTCTAAGTTGTCTCAAATATGAAAGTCTCAATTCTTCCAAGTCAGGTCTTTCCTTATTGACAACAGTACCAAGCAATTGATCATCCAAACCTTGTTCAGTGACCATAAAGTTCAACAAGGTTGTTTGAGCAACAATTTCAGGTCTATAGTGAGGATTTGGTAATTTGGTTTGAAGGTAAAGTCTGAATTTAGGATCAAAATCAACTTCACGATTACCAAGCTTGATAGATACAGAGTTACCCTTTCTTGTATAACTTTGTGCAAGCAATGGATCAAGAATTGGATCAATATTTTCTCCAATATTTTCGATCAAAACAGGATAACCATTCATAATAGCGTGGATAAGAGTTTCCAAATATCCCTTCTTTGTCAATTGAATGACTTGCAAGTTATTCTTACTTTCCATATTCTTAATCCATTTAACACCTTGCAATTGTGGATCAATCAACAATGGCCAACGTTTACAATTGGTAACAATGGAACCATTTTCAACTGAAACTCTATCTGATGGCAAACCTTCGTTGTTCCATTGGGCAACTTGAGCTTCTTCAGCAAGTACACCAAAGAGAGGATCAATACCTTCTGATGTTGGAATCTTTCTTTCTTTGAGATCGATAATCCACTTTTCTTCAATAAGCATATTTCTATACTTTTTGGTGAAAGGACCGACATATGAAAGGAAAGCAGCGGCCAACAATACATCACCAACGAGAGTCTTTTCTCTTTCTCTTAAATCCTTGATAGATTCAGCCCATCTGATCTTTTCATCAGACAAACCATTGACCAATCTGTGAGCAAGATTCAATTTGTCTTCAGTCTTCTTTCTTTGCTTTTCAATTCTAACCAATTCTTGAGCAGCATTATTGTGTTCAGTTTCAGCTTGCTCCTTTGCCTTTCTGAGTGTGTTCAATTTGTCACTAATCTTCTTCAAGTGAGATTCGTTCTTTTCCTTTTCTTCCATAGCTTGGGACAACTTTTGTCTCTTTGGTTCAATTTGTTTGTCCAAATCATAGAAAGCAACAACGTTAATAACCCAATCGCACAAACCAGCAGCAGCTGTTGACTTGCTTTCAATGAAGGATGGAACAAAGTTTGGATGTTGAAGATATTTGCTATTCTTCAAAGCATCAATATTTTCTTGTGGAATCTTTGGAATGGATTCAGCATTGTAAGAAACTAATTCAACCATGAATTGGTTTGGATTATTCATCATCTTCTTGGATTCAGCCCAAACAACATTCTTTGGTACACCTCTTTGTGCCTTCAAAATCATGACAGCAGACAAAACAACGTCGACAAATGCTGGAGGATTGGTAAATGACTTCAATTCTTGGAAATCTTTAACATTCAAAACTTCCAATGACTTCTTAGCCTTTTCAATAAGAGGTTCAGCTTGTTTCAATTCATCTGTACAGACCTTAGCAAGGGCATTAACTTCATCAACAACCTTGTTTTGTTTAACTTCTTCCTCTTCGACAATCTTTTGCTGACTGGCTAAGAAGGTATTTTCTTTTGTAACCTTAGCCAAGAGTTCTTCTGTTGCTCTCTTCTTTTCTTCGACAATGATAGCTTCTTGAGCAAGTACAGTTGATAATTCCTTGACCTTTTCTTCAGATTCATTAATCTTGGTCAAACCATTACTCAAACGTTCAATTGTTCCGTTCAATTCTTCTCTCTTCTTGGCCAACAATGTCTTGTATACTTCAATAAGTTCCAAGAAACTCTTTGGTGTGGTATAATTGTATCTTCTTTCAATGTGTTGATAGCTCTTACAAGCCATTGAGACAGATTCGTGAGCAAAGGCCATATGTTCTGAAATATTCTTAATCATTTCGTCATCACCCAAATTCATATCAGCATCAGTCAAGAATCTATAGGCAACAGAAATTAAAGCATCTCTTGGCCATTCGTGGAACCAATCGATAACAGAGCAGTTCATAATGGCTGGGAATTTTCTGCACCAAACACGCAATTGTTCACCAACAGGTGAGAAGCAAAGAACCAAGTGCAAATTCTTCTTGACCTTTTCCAAGAAGAAGTCCCAACAAACCTTCTTATCATTGTGATCCTTACCAGCATATTTAACTGCAGGTTGAACAGCTTGAATTGACTTTTCAACATCATCAGGAGTGAACAATTCTGGAATGAAACCAGAAGACAAAAAGTCGTTAATAAAGACCAATTGCTTTTGGTCAAAGATTTGAGAATCTGTAAGAATGAATGAAATCTTCATATCCTTTTCACCAGATTTCTTGTACAATTCCAAAAGATCCTTCTTAAAATCGATAATCTTGTAGGAAGGTGTGACAGTGATTTGAGAAATTTCATAATTATTAATGAATGATGCCAATTTAGCCAAACTTTGTTTACCACTACCACCTACACCAACCAGCAAGGCATTACCTCTTGGATTTGACAAAATACGACTAATTCTACAAACGTGCCAAATAGCTTGCTTAAACAATTCTAGATTCATAATTGATCTTGATGAATTGTATTCTTCGAGCTTCTTTTCTAAAACTAGCTTCAACTTGTTAAAATCATTGGCTTCACAATAGACACCAGTACCGTTATCACTTTCAACAACGAAAGAGCTGAACAACAAGCTTTGCCCATCTTGAATTTCACAATCGAGAACATCCTTACTAATCTTTGTAGCCATAGCAGAGAATTTGTTAACATCATCTTGTTCTGTCATTCTGTCAGAGAAAACTCTGAAAGCTTCGTGCATCCACAATCTAATCATGTGAACAGGATCACTGTAGTGTTCCTTAGTAGAACGGCACAAACCTTGGAAAATGTTTGAAATTTCTCTGAGATTGAATTGGTAGTGGAACTTGACAGCAGTTGGCAAGAAGAACTTGGCAACTTCCTTATGAAGTTTGATTGTAGCATCAACCAATTTAGTACTAATTGTTTGAACTCTTCTATCGAATGATTCAACGTGAGCAGAAATGATTTGAGAATAAATTGTCTTCAAATCAGCATCTGCAGGGAATGTACAAGCAAACATACCAAAATGTCTTTGTAATCTACCAGTAACTGTGAAAGAACCAGCCTTTGGATTCATAGCGGCAAGGTATTGAACATTGGTAACTTCCTTGACTCCCATATTATTTCTATCATACCAAAATCCATAGTCCATATGTTGACGGAGGAATTCAACAGCAGATTGAGTACCATATTTGTCAGGATTAGGCATGTTAAGATCGTCAATAAAGTAAATAAGCTTCTTTCTACCTGGTGGACCGTACATTTTACCAGCCTTCTTGGTAATAGATTGTTCAAGAATATTTTGGAATGATTCAGCATCAGTATTACTGTTAAAGTTAATTGTAGTGTAGAGAGTTTCTTCATCAAGACTTCTCAATTTACCCTTAACAATGGTTGTCTTACCAGTACCAGCAGTACCAACAAGTAATACAGGTCTTCTTCTGTCAGCCAACAAGTCCATCAAATAAGTTAAACGTGCTGTATCAGCTGTAGAGACGACAATTTCATTGAATGGCAATTCAAAGTCATGATTATATTCCTTAACTTTTGTAGCCCAAGGTTCAAGTCTAACAGTTTCACCTTCAGTAACAACAAAGTAATCAAATACAGTTGCATTTTCAGGGAATTTAACTTGAGGGAAGTCTTTCTTGAACATGGCATTGAATAAAACTCTTTCATCATCTTCCAAAGCACCACCAAATGCCCAAATACAAGCAAAAGCAAAGTAATATTCATAAATTTCATGAGAACAACCTGGTGGACAAGATTCTGGTGTAATCAAACCTTCTAACAAGTAGCACAATGTTTGAATCATGCTGATATCTTGTCTTGGAATAATGTGATTGTGTTTCTTCAACCAGAACAAAATGTGTGGTGCATAAGTATAGAACAAACGATCAAGATTTTGCTTTTCCTTTTCAACAGATCTTGTTTCAATCCAACTTTCCTTGAATGGATTCCAACCAATATCAGTTTCGTTCAAGAACAAGATACCGGCTCTTGATACAGTTGCAGGAGTAGCATTTCTCAAGTGATCAATTTCGAAAAGCATTCTCATACTTGGACTCAAAGGAATTCTTTCATTGTTTGCCAATGTCAAAACCTTATTGTCGTCCATGACTGTATTCATAGATTCAATCCATTCAGCATCGATATCACCATCCAAAACAATCCATTTTGGTAATGGTGTCTTGGTTTCGTACATTTCTCTCATAGTATTGGAGAGCAGACCATCCTTCCAATCCTTTGAAACTGGGTGAGTATAACCATAAAGTTCACCACTGGTAACAGATTTTGGATTAAGTACGTGTGCCCAAGTTCTACGACCTTGAATTTCAAAGGCCTTAGATAAAGTTTTCCAAACACATGATTTACCAGAACCTGCAGGACCTAAAACAAAGACAGAGTGTCTAACATCAAGCAATTCCTTAAATTGTACAACCTTTCCAATGAAAATATCATTTTCACCTGTTTGTAATCTTTTTTCTTCAGTTGCTTGTTTGACAGCCTTGACCAATTCTGGATCACTCTTTGCTTCAATTTCAATCTTTGGGAACAAATCTCTAATTAAACCTCTGAAGATTTCAATATCATCTCTTGAAAGTTTGGCCAAATTGGTATCTCTGAGAGCTCTCATGAGAATTCTGTCTTCAGAAACTTGAGGTTCAGCTCTCTTCAAACCACCAGCAATAACTAATACAGATTTAACGGCACGGAGACCCCAATCGTAGTGATCTTGTTTTGAGAGCAATTCCTTGTTCAATCTATACAAGGTAACGAATTTCTTAGCCAATTCCTTTGCATTGATAAAACCTTCAGAAGCCAACATGATTTCGCAAATATTCATAAAGTCAGGAACAATCATAGCACATGGTCTAAACAATGCTTTAAGATTTTCTGGCAATTCAGTACGACCCTTATAACCAGGATTCATGGTAATAAAGACACCACAAGTTGGAATGAGGGAAATAGTTTCTTGTTCAAACAAAAATTCCTTCTTTTGAGCCTTGATAGCATCAAGAATAGACTTGAATTGAGTAGCAACGACAGACAAGACACCAACTCTAATACGATTGAATTCGTCGAAACAACCCCATGTACCAGTCATTGACAAACCCTTGAAAATATTACCAAGAGAAGCTGGATTCATTTGTTCAGTACAGTTAAAGACGTAGACTTGAATACCAAGTGCTCTACCCAAATCTTTAGTTGTTTCTGTTTTACCAGTACCAGCAGGACCAGCTGGAGCACCACCCATAATCAATCTGAGTGATTGTGTCAATGTAATATAACATCTGTCAGTAAGTGGTGTAATAACCAAACAACCACAGTTACCAATATATTCATAACCATATTTAAATTCAGCATCAGCAATATTAATAGTACAACCCTTTGTATCATCCCAACTGTATCTGAGTTGTGATTGCCAGGTAAATACCTGAGAGCTTTCTGCCTTTTCTTCAATAAGTTTCAAAACAATATCTCTATTGTGGACATCGACAGTAATCAAGGTAATAATCTTCTTTCTGTCTCCTGGAGTTAATTCACCTTGAACAAGTGTTGTTAATTTAGCCAATTGATCTTTCAATTGATTGTAATAATCCTTCAAGGCATTCTTGTTACCTTCTTCTTGTCTTTCAAAGGCAGAATTAACTTCACTTGTGAACCAAACACGAGAAGCAACAATGACAATTTGAGCAGGGAATTGGAATACCCATTGATCTCTTTGTTGTTCAACGTAGGCGGCATGAGCATCACCTAAGGTATGAGTCAATGAACTAACAATAGTATTCAAAACTCCATTGAGCCAATCTTCAACAGGTCCTTTACATTCATACTTATCTGGGAAGGTAATGATTTCATCTTCCTTACTAATCATACCATTAGTAAGATCACTATTTTCATCAAAAGTTAAGGTTTCAACAGCTTCTACAATCTTTGACATGTGTTTCATGACAAGCTTTGGGAATGAACCCTTTGATAAAATATCAATAACGTCACCAGCTTTGATGAAATAGAATCTTGGGAAAGCTTTACACTTAGTTTCAAGATATTCAGACAAGGATTTTTGACACAATTCAAGCTTTTCTTCAATGTGTTGAAGGATTTCTAAAACGTCCTTACTTGTATCTAACTTGGTACGAATAGTTGGTTCAGTACAAGCTTCAACAATTTTTGGAACAGCTTTAGCAACTTCCATAAAGTTTCTCCATTCAGTATCGGCTTCAGCGAAACGAACAGCATCTTCGTGCAACTTTTCCTTGATATCCTTTGACATCATAAAGATTGGATAAAGGTTTTGCCACTTCTTTTGAACACCAACCCATTCAGTAATAATACTATCAATTGTGGAGAGAGCAATTTGCCACTTGGTCAATGATTCTATAAAGAATTCAACATATTTCATAGTGGACATATTTTGCAATTGAACTTGATTGTCTTGGAGAATTTCAACAATATCTTCTACTGCTCCCATAATTGAACACTTCAATTCACCATCATAGCCAAAGTCAAAATTGAGTGTAGACCATACACTTTCAACCTTTGTGAGGGCCTTTTCAATAATTAATTCCTTGCTGGCCTTATCAACAATAGTTTGAACTGTATCTACATAACTGTGCAAACCAAGATCTAGCAATTGATCCAAATTAAAGTTATCATCAGGATCAATAGCACCCTTCTTGTGAGTTTCTTCGAGCAATTCATCCCAATGTCTTCTTCTCATTGCAGGATTTCTCAAATCTTGAACAAGAGGAAGTGAGGTAAGCATGTTATTAACAGCATTGTTAAGTCCTGAATAACTGTCCCATGCTCTTGCCTTGGTATTAAAGTTTTGAATAGTCTTTTTAAGTTTCTTTGATTCTTCAACGAGTGCGTCAACATCTACCTTCTTGAAGGAAGTCTTCATCCAATCCTTGAACAATGACAAGATATGAGAAATGATATCCCACAAAGACTTGAGCAGCATAACTTCTTCACGACAAGTCTTGAGGGCATTATATTCGCTTACTGTAATTTCAAACAAGTCTTGCAATTCTCTCAACTTTGTTGCTTCCTTTTCCATATCCACCAAAAGTACTTGCCACTTATCAATTGATTTATAAGCATCTTGAGAACCCGACTTGTAGAAGAAAGCAGCCATATCTCTGAATTCTTCTTGGAATTTCAAAACCCTCTTACCAAATTGTAAACCTTGTTCCTTAACCTTTTGAGATTCCTTATCTTGCAAGTCACTAAGTTCTGTTCTTCTGACCAATGATCTCTTATAGAGGCCATCCCATTTAACTGGAGCTTGTTCTAGTGTATGAACAAGATTTGGAGCAAGTTCAATTCCGTATTGAGAAAGCAAAACTACAATTTCTTGAAGAGGTTGGAAGATACCATTTTCGCTCTCTGTTTCAGATTTAATATCTCTGATATATCTGATAACTTCTCTGAGAGTTGTAATATCACCATCAGTAACTTCTTTATCAATACCACTTTCAACAGTATTCATGAATTGATAAATATCGTTCAATCTTTCAGAAACGTTTTGTACCAAGAAGTTAGAGAAGAGCTTTTCCCAAGAGGTACAAATCTTGAGTAATTCTTGCTTGATTGGTTTAGCATCGACTCTCAACCAACCAGCATTATCACAAGCAGTAAGTTCTTTGATTTGTTCATGAATGTTGTGATACTTTTTGATTTGTTCATCAAACTTTGGCAATTCAACATGATGAGATTTACCATGAGAGCCATGAGGGAAGTTAACTTCTAAGAATTCATCAAAGAATTCCTTTTGGTCAGTCTCATAAATAGCCTTTTGAGCAATAAATTGCTCAGCAAATTTGTTACATTCGACTGTAACAGTCTTGATACTTTCATGAATTTGAGAAATGGTAGAAATGACATCAGTATTAGATTTAACTTCCTTAATGTAATCACCAGAAGATGAATCCAATCTAGGTATCGAAGCTGATACTGTTGTAAAATCATTAATCCATGAATCAACAACATGTACAAATGAATTTTCACCCTTTTCATCCAAGCTAGGAGTGAAAGTAGCAAAGTGCACTTCACTATTTGGTTTCTTTACAAGGTTAAGAGAAATTTCAAGGAATGGACTTTGTTCAGTCTTGAGTAAATATTCAACATTCATTTGATCCATGAGAGCTCTTACAGAAGCAATAACTGATTTACAAATACCATCTACAACAATATCGTTAATATGCTTGACAAAATTCTTCCATGGCTCAGCACTTTCATCAACTCCGATACAACCTAGTTCTTCTGGAAGTTGTTCTTCCGAAGATTTTTGTTTACCTCCTTTCAAAACTTCTAAACAGTCTGAAAGCTTAGCAACAATGAGTTCACCTGTCTTTTTAACCATCTTTTCATATGTAACCTTCATTTCCTTATTTCTTCCGTCGAGCTCCTTCATTGTCAAAGTTCTAGTTTCCTTTCTTTGGAACATTGGGTTCTTTTCCCATTTCATTAAAGCCTTTTCAATTTCTCCAGTATTCTTCTTGATAATTGATAAAGTTGTACTGGCCAATTTGACAGAATTCATGGCTTCAGATAAGAATGAATCAATTTCAACATCATTCTTCCAACTGAGACTATTCAAAGCTCTTTCAAGAATACCATCAATCTTTTGGATTTGTGTTTGGAATAAAGGTCTTTCAACTGGAGTAAGAGAACCTTGGACAATGTTATACATATTTACAATATATTCCAAACTACCAGTTTGAGTTCTATATTTTTCATTCTTGGAAAAGAGATCAATAGCTTCTTGTGGAATGGACCATGCTGGTTCTCCTTCATGGAGAGTATTAATCTTTTGGAGATAATTTACTTCTCTCAAAAGTTTAACAAGGGCAGGATCAAAATTTACAATAACCATTCCATCATCAGTTCTCTTCAATAACATTTCATTGAGTTTAGTTTCGGAAATTTCACCAACTGATTTGGCCCATTCAGCATACTTTTGTTGTTGGTATTGTTTAATCTTTCCAACAATGTTTGAATGGAGTTTTACAGTTTCCTTTCCTTCAGAGTTATCAAAGATGGTCTTACTCAAAGAAATTAATCTATTCATTGGTCCATTAATTCTTTCCAATAAAGATTCAGCCCATTGAATAGCTCCTGTTACTGGAGGCATGTTATGGAAAATAATTGGACTAGTCTTTGATTCTGTAAATGTTTGTTGAACTCTCTTCAATTCTTTTCTATAGGTTTGTAATAAATCACCTTGCTTTTTGACAATTTCTTGTTGAACAGCCTCACGATCAAGTAAACCTTCAAAACTTTCAATAACCTTTACACCAGCATGAATAGTACTACAATCTTCAAAACTCTTAGAAATGATAGAACCAATTTTCTTTTCAAATTCCTTAATTTGATTCTTAAAATGATAGAAATCTTCTTCAAACTTTTGTTCTTCAACTACCAATGCATCATATTGAATTTCCTTAAACTTGGCAATTTCTTCACTGAAATGTACATAAATATCCTTAACTTCTCTACTGAGTGAATCACCCTTAGTACCACCAATTTGGAGTGTTGCCAATTTACCGAATAATCTACCTTGATTAAAAATATTAAGAATATCTCTACATCTTTCCAAAAAGTGATCAAGTCTGTGGAAGAGAGAAGCAGGAGGAACTCTCCATTGATTTGTTGGACACTCTTGTTCTACCTTTAACTTGTAAGCAAAGTAATACTTTTTAACCAAACCACAGGTTGAGAGAGTATTTTCAAATTTTTCAACAGCATCTGGGAATTCCATATTGAAAATTTCTCTACCACCAATATATTCTCTAGAGTGATCAATAAGATCATTACACAATTCTCTTACAAGAACAACAAGACGTTCGCTCTTGTTATAGGTTGTAGATGTTTTCCAAATCATGAAAATTAAATGGAAAATACTTCTAAAGACATTTGGTAATTCTGAATATTCTGCATGATTGTCACTCTTTAAATTTACACTTTCGAAATATTTACGGAGAGGTTTTAAAAATCTGTGATTTTCAAAGGCTTCATGTTTTCTAATTTCAACTTCTTCGACCATCTTTAAAAAGGATGGAATATATGTACTTTGATTTTCCTTCAAAATTTCAATTACTTTAGTAACCTTTTCACCAGCTAATTGTTTGGCTACAGATTCCAAGTCAAGATATTTTGAATTCCAAAAATTCATTTCATCTAGAGGACCAGGATTATAATTTGGTACAAATAATGATTCTGGATCCTTGTTTAAAACTTCCTTGATTTGATTTGCCCAATTTACTACTGCTGTTTCGAGTGTGTGGATCATATCCTTATCTTGATCCGAATTTTCGGATGAAGTTTCTTGAATAACATCATCTGGTGGAATTGGCAATAGTGTCTTTCCTTCAACTTGTCCTGATGTAACATAGGTAGAAGCTATGAATTTTTGGAAATAGGTAACAACATCACGGGAGACTTTATCTTCATCCTCTTGGTCGGATGCTGATGTTTGTTCTACACTATTTTTTAAAATTGGTAAGAACAATTTGTTGGAAATAAGTGAAAGTGTTTCTAGAGGTGATTCCAACACTTCAAAATGAATAAGTGCAGTTCCAATATTTTCAGGTGTAATACTAACTTTAGTCTTTTTAAAGAAGCAGATGACTTTCTTTGAATATTGAGAAGGCATTGAGATTGAAATCTGGAATGATCCAGTACTATTGATGAAAATGAAAATTTGCTTTGCTTCAGCATTCTCAAAGAAGGTACTTGTTATTTTTCTATTGTTGTTGTATATTCAAGAATGATATCATCACAATAATAAATAGAAGAAGAACGGAGATTTGATTCAATTTACAGCATTAATAATTAGCTCAACAGTTCTTGAACTGAATTCTACATACCTATAATCCTCAGTTTCTAACAATTTTTTAGTATCCTTCTCAGAGACTCTGAATGTATTCCTCACAGCCCTTTCAATCCAAGCTTGCCTCTCATCAAGAATTTTGCTATCGTCAACTTCTTGTTTTGGGGGCATTTTTTTAGTTGTATTTTCTGTAGTTTTGCACGAACTACATTTACTTCCATACAACTGATTTTTGGCGCCAAATTCAAGCGGTTATCATCTGCTCGCCTTCCTCACCAAATATTGAGTTGATCAAACGAATTTTGATATTCATTGAGATGAAGAGAAGTTTCAATTCTAGAATAAATCATGCTTGTCTTCCATATGCAACTAATATCATTTCAAATTCTCTTAAATTTAGACTTGATTCAAACCTTAGTCCTAGGGCCCAAAATAGCAGCAAATGAAAAAAACAATGATACAACACGATTAGTATTGTAAATGCAAGTTCTCCTTTGAAAATCAACACCAAAGCCTTGCTAGGGTAAAGAGAAGTGCTTTCCTGAACACTGAATTGTATGCCTTTAATCATATTAATTTTTTTGACAAGTTTCCTAAAGTGAAAACCTCTTTCTTGATACGAGGTAAAAACAGGTGAATGAATAACCTAACAACACTCAGCTCCACTTCTTACCATCACAACCTATTGTGTTTAGCTTTCAATAAAACTAAAGAAAAAAAACAAAATACAAATCCAAGTCGAATCATCTATTTGAAGTCTGATTCCTCTTTTGTTCTGAGATTTTCAAGAGTCAATACGAACATTTTGAGAAGTATTAATTCTCTCTTTCATCTCTCTTGAAGAACAACAACATTGAATTATTACAACAACTCGAGAGAAACTTACCGAAACGAATTATAACAACCAGCCGAGCTGAGAGAAACTCTATCTGCTTTGATACGTAACAAGCAAGAACGAGGAGTGATCTTGAAACTCTCATATCACCTAGACGAAACAATTCAACAACAATTGGTTGACACTGCACGATTTTAAAAACCACAACAACATCAATGCTGATTTCCTTCTCATCACCTCTTTAATATTTACCTGAATCCAAATATTAATCATCATCACTTTTATTATTATATTTCAAATAATAATAATTAATAATTAATCAAATTGTACAACAATAATCATTTAATATAACACAATCATTCAGACCAAAATTTACACAATGAAAGCCCTATTGAGAAATCTCCTTCCAGGCAGTGCTCACAATAGAGCTGTCGATGATATGATTGATGCAAACTCAAACAACAACAACAACAATAATAAGGATGATGATTCAAAGAAGAAGAAGAAATCATCACATAGAACCAAATCCCTCTTCTCATCTTCATCCTCGCAGTTGCCATCCTCTTCGGCTACCACTAATTATCATCAAAGAGTTGCCTCCCAACAACAACATCACTCCAACACAACAGGTTGTCTCGCTAGGCCTGATGACAGTGGTTTGGAGGATGATTCAGATGGTGGAGAAGAATTTGATCATCATCATGATGCTGAGGCAAATTATCTATCAGGTGCCTCTGCTTCCAATGTACAATATCCACAGAGTTTGAATGCCCTCTCGAGTAGCTACGGCCATACCAATGGTGGTCATCAATACTTTAATACGAACCTTTCGAAACAGTCGAGTAATTCGAGTGTGTTGTCCTCCTCTTCGAATGGTGGCACTGATTCGTCATTGGTTGTACAGACAAGGAGTAGTCCCAATGTGATGCAACACTCTCCACGTGGTAATACTTCCTCATCGTCTTCTGATGTTAGTAATCATCATCATTATATGAACAATAATGGTCAATCATCACCATCTCCTTCTTCCTCAACACCAGGAGGTACTACGGCTGGTAATATAACACCAAAGAGACGTTCTTCCTTATCGAATGCCCTACGAAGGCTCTCACTGAAGAAGAGTTCATCAGCCAATAATGCTACTACTTACCAACAACAACATTCAGACACAATGTCTGCCGGTGTAATTGGCTTACCAATTAATTTTGCTGATTTAATGATGAGTCAATCTTCATCCACCTCTTCCATTCCAATCCATAATCATAATAATAACAATAATTATGGAGGTTCCTTCTCCTCGAGTAATAGCATTCTCTCCTCCACAGCAAGTACCACCACACAAAACAATAATAATTCCAATTATCTGGGCTATAATAACAATCAAAATCCAGACCAACTCTTGTACACTCCAAACTCTCCTCCAACCAGTCCAATGAGCCCTCTCTCCTTCGCCTCTGCTCAACCTCATCATCATCATGCCCAACATCAATCCTTACAACCCCACTTACTTTCCTCCTTTACAGCAACTCCCATTTTGGCGGGAACAGAACAAGTCTCATCATCTTCTTCATCCACTACTAGCAATAACAACAACAACAATAACAGTAAAAGAAAAAGTCTAAATGTTATTACAGTGGGACTCTCTAATAGCCACACTCAATCCTCAGCAACAACACCATCTGCGAGTCAACAACAGCAACATTATTCCAGCAATTATTCTTCAACAACAACATATTCAGCAACAACAACAACAAATAATTCATATATTGGTACAGGTAGTAGTGGAAGCAATCATTGCTCCCCAAGTTTCTTTGAGCCTCACTCACCCTCCATGATGCTTATGATGGCCTCACAAAGTCCATTATTGAATAATTCAACATCGTCGTCATCATCATTGGGTAATCATAATCAGCAACAATACTATTCTGTAGGGTCTAATATTAATTCTCAACAGTCGTCATCATCAATAATGGGTCAAAGTGGCACACAAAGAGCAACAGGAACACAACAATTATTGGATGTTTTTGTCAATAGAAGAAAGTGGAAGGAAATATTATGTGTTAATACCACAACTGCTATTACCAGTTCAACACTTGCAAATAATAGTAATAATATTAATACCAGTAGTTCTAATAATTCACAAAGTAGTAATACGAATGAAAACAAATTACTATCAACACCAACTTCATCAATGAAAGGTGCGGATAGTGCAAGAGCTGCATCTCCTCTCTCTCCTGAATCGATGAGTATCATTTCTACATCAACCAGTACAGAAGAGGAAGAAACTGAACAATCCTATTCAACTGTATCTAATTATTCACCACAATTCCAACCACAAGCATCATTACAACAACAATTACCACAACATGTTGGCATTGAATATGGAGATGAATTCAAGCTTCCAAACTCACCCAATGAAAATATCTTTAGGACCGTTGTTTTAGGAGGTTTCCTCTCGTATAAGGACGTTTTGAGATGTGACCTTGTATGTAGGGCATGGCATTTGAGAATTTCACACTCTAAAGAGAATTTCATCTACTTCCTTCCTCAACTCTTATCTTCCATCTCGGTGTGGGAAGAAAAGGATGAGTTGCAAATTATGCTTGCCACCCAAATTGCCAGAAATTTATCACATTTGGAAATGTCCAAACGAATGCTGATGGTTCTATTCGGCCTCTACAGAAGATCCTTACATAAGGAAAAGATTTTCAATCGTGCAGTTTTTAAGGAGGTTCTTCGATCAGAGGTTCCTGACTTGTTGGGACTCACGGATAAGGCAAACATGTTCTACAAGCTCACCTCTCCAACTTGGTTCTCTCCCTATGAACACTTCCAGTGCCCTATCTATTTGTATCTTGCCAAGAGAAGCTTGAGATTTGTGGAAAAGGTTGATGGTGAATTCCAACAACGTGTTCAAGTCTTGCTGAAAATCAAATATAATCACGAGGAAACTATTTCACCTTCACAAGCCTTTTTATCTTTAAGTGGACCACCAGGTAGTGGTGTGAATAGTGCATGTGCCTCTCCAACCCTCTCTCCAAATGTTAATCCAACTAGAAAACTCTCCCTCGTGGCAAATAGCCCACTTCTTCGATCTGTAGATACTCGTACATTGAATGATTATTCTCCCGATAGGACTGAATCTTCAACAACACAATCGAGCACTCTCAATCCTCCAAACTCTCCACTTTTGAATTTCAGCACCACATCCACCTCTCCCTCCACCAAACAGTTGGCACAACATCAAAGTACTCTTGTTGATATGATTAATGAAATCAAGACATGTTGGTTCTTTGCTTATGGAACCATCGATAAGGATCAATCAGATATGCAAGACAGAGCCTATCCAACACCATCACCCAACTCTCAACATAACCATCATCAAACTATTGTCACAACAGGTCATCACCATCATCATGAAAAACCAATATTGGTTCACGAAAAGATTGTCAAATACTTTTCTCAATTCAGTTTGGCCCGAATGAAGAATGAGGTAGTTTTTCCAGAAGATGAGGATTGTCCTTCTCCTATACCTTTTTCTGCTAGTAAGGCTACCGATAAAACGAATAGAATTACCTCCAATATTGAGCACTGCTACCATGAAATGACCCAATTCCGAAATGATCCACACGGTGAATATCCTAGTATCAAATTGGCTGATCCTGAACTTTGTGAACAATTTAATGGTACAATCTCTAAATGGATTTGTGAGTTGCAAAAATTGGGACTCTATCAAATTGAGTTTGTCTTGCAGTATGTGCTAAAGCTGCTCTTTTTTATTTGTACAGGCCCAATGTATGATCGTTCAGAGTTGTACTTTGGGGTTACTTCTCTTCATGAAATGATGGAAAATGATCAATTGGATACCATATGCACAGATCCAGAAGCATCAAGAGAAAGGCTTCAACAATGGATCTTGGATTATAGAAGCAAACATGTTGACAGTCACATTTATCACTACTACCTAAAAATCAAATATGAATGTAGTGGATTTACTGGTGGGTGTGATGAAGAAAGTTATTTATTGACCCTTAGAGTTTCACCTGATTTTTCCAATTTTGAATTTGTTTCCTACTTGTTTGAGAGTAGATATTGTAAAGGAATGGCTATCAGTAGCCTGCCACTTTTTATTAAGAAGATGTAAAATTTAATGTACAAAATATTATCAATGTAAAATAAACAAGTTTATTCATGACCAATTCCTTTTACAGAAATCATAACATTTGAATATTTTCTTATTTTCATTGATGATTCATGTTTGATTGGACCTATCAGAAACCAAATGACTCAGCTCAAGTCTTCATGTTATGTTCAATTTTTGGTCTTGTTGTTCAAAGCATTCCTCAGAGTGTCAACAATTGATAACTCTTTACTGGCTTTGATTGACTCAAGGAAAACGAGAAAGATTAGAGTGAGAGAAGAGCCAAATCGCCACAAATGCAACAAGTCCCCTGTACTCAATTGATAGTCATGTACAGCCTGTGCAAAATCAAAAACAATGTAAAATACAAATTGTAAAAGCATAAATGAGGTAATGGCGGAAATCCATACTGAATGAATGGTCACCAATGTTTGATTTCGGCGATAAATTGCAAATATACCCAACAGTGTTGCTAAAACAGCCTGAATGGCTATAAAAGAGGAATAGTGAGGATCAAATAACTCCCCAACCATGGTGAGAATAAATAGAAGGGAAACAAGAGTTTGGTGGGAGCAAATTCTCTCTGGATGTTTGAAAAATCTTGTCAGTATGGATGGTGGATTGGAAGAATGATTTTCAGGTATTTCAATTACGCAATTTTGTACATTATCTACAAATAATATCTTTTTTTCGTCTAGACAAACATTTTTGTTAAGGAATGGCGTCTTTCTCAGTTTGATTTTTGAGGAATCATAATATATAGGTGAGAAGAGATTTTCTTCCAAATCATCACTCCAATAATCGTTTTCATTATAATCGTTTTGATAGAGTCCACACAAAGGAGTTAAATCTTGATCTTCCATAGTATGACTATTTGTACTACTGCAAGATGAGCTATAACTGTTAGTTCGTGAGTGATTGCATGAATTGGCTTGTCTTTTCAAAGCCCTTTTTTGATTATTTACAAAATTAGATTCATTCGATTCAAAACATGTAGTCGTAGTCATATTGATTGTTGTTGTAATCTCAATACAACAAGTGCATTGCTCCGATTCGTTACAACACATACAATCAAACGAAGTATTAATATATGAAGTTGTTGTAATCTCCATTTCTAGTTCCGAGTTCTTAAATATTTACCAATAGATAATATATTTACACTAAAAAGTAATAGTACTATTAGAGGGGTTGTCGTGCTAACCGAATATCACTAACTATTATCACACAATTACAAATACTATCTATATCCAACCAGTTGAAATTTAGATTCGGAGCGAATATTTACAAAAAATCCAATGAACTGATGTTGTATTACTACTATTCTACTAATTAACCACCACACTCAAAAAATAGCACCAATAACAACAATATGATGAACAAGTAATATCAAACAATATATCACCACTTGTGTCGCAAACCGAAAAAATCTTCTTCAAACTCTACTTGATGAACCTGAATAGAACTTGCAAGCGCACCACTTTAAAAAACGCAACAAAAGCTTTTTCTCTAATGCGCTATTAGCGGGAGATTTTGATTGTTTTTTTTTAAAGAAGATCTTGCTATGCTTCTCACTGTAATGGGTGTTGCACTAACGAAGAGAGAGGAGTTGAAGAAGAAAAAATAATGAAACTCTTGAATGGCAAGTGGTGTTTGAATAAGGAGAGCAGAGAGAGTAATAGAATAGTGTGAGGAAGACGACACTGGGTAGGAGGCGCGAAGCTATTCTTCTATTTGTTGTCTTGTTATGGTGTTGGAATTAATCGGGCCTTCAAAGTGCTATTTGGAATCACATGATGATGATGGTGATTATTAAACAATTATGAAATTAATACTAAGAAGATAATGAAGATAATGAAGAAGCTAATTGAAAAACTATGAAAATGATTGAGATGAAGCGGTATAAATTGCAGGAATAATGAGGATTAATAGTGAATATCCCATTTAGAAAGAGAAAATTCGTCAAAAGGAAATTCAAATAGATAGACCGAGGGAGGTGATGGAAAAAATGTTACACCACGGTAATTTCGCGCCCAGCAGTTGCCGCTGAATCTTTAGGAAAATAACCGTTAAATTTAAAAACATATTTTTAACAAAAAAATGGCCTCCAACAAGCCCCTTCGTATTAGCAACAAGGTTTTCGAGTTAATGGTGGCCAAAGGTGCAGATGTTAACAACCTGAGCACCACTGTTAACAATTCACTAGAGATATTCTACTCTAATCCTAACATTGCCCGAGCATCTAACCAATCTCCTTTGGAAACAATATTCAACACATCATCATCAGAACTAGAGAAATTGGCAAATCGCAATACACAACACCTCTCCACCAGCACCTCCATTCTCGACCTATGTGATGAACCAGTGCAGATATATGTTACTCTCTTCAACATGCTTTCTCGTATATGCTTTGGCCGAAAATACTCCTCCAAACTTTCAACTCTCAAGAAAGAAAACCTCCAACTCTACCAAAGAAAGACTCGCATGATCTCTGTTGCCATGAATCTTTTGGCCAATGCTATGAATGAAAGGGCTACCCTATTCTCCTCAGTAATTGGTGTGTTTTTGATATCTACAGGCGTCAGTGCAAGAGATGTGGATTTACTTTGCAAGTTGGGGTTGAGTTCTTCTTACAAAACCGTTGACTCACACTTGGTAAAGTATATGGCTAATCGAATAAACATATTCGATTCTTCCCTGAAAAACAACAACCAATTAGTCTTTTATTACAACGACAATTTGGAATTTTCTGAAGGGCCAAAATACAGCATCAGTGCCAAACAACAAACAGTGTTGCACACAATTACTAACCTGGCAAGAGGTATAAATCTTCCAGAAAACCTCCAAAGCATCGACATTTCTATCCTAAACAAAGAATTATCAGTGTATAAATGTAATCTTAGCAAAGAGATTACTCGTAGTGAGAAGTTGAAAATTAGAATTTTAAAAACCTATTTACCTGAGGCTATCAATTATTTACGGGATGATAGTGAGATGGAACAAGAGAAGATCAGAAGCAATTATATACAATTTGAATGTTATCCTTCATTCATTGGAAATGGTGCAACAAATTTGGATAAAACATTGTTCTTTGAAGAAATAACTAAACGTCAATCTCAATGTGTAGTCAATGGAGACGAAATATTTACGGCTTTCATCAACAGAGCCCATTCCAG